GCTAGTTGGTACTGGAGCATGAGCTGCAAAAGACTGAAGGTCTTGGTGATAGGGTGAACTGTGAGTCTGTGACTTCTCCCTGGAGAAAAAGGCTACCACTAAACCTTATCAAGATAACGCCCTTTTAACTGATTGATTATTATTTGTGTAATATCTTGTCTATTTTTTGTCCGGTATACCGGTTTCTTGATTGACTCGGAGGGTGAACGTTATTTGTTAATATGGTTACTCGGATCACCCGAAGATTACATCCATTCCAGCAAGAGTGAGCTTAACTGTTGATAAAAAATGTATTAGCTCTTTTTTCCCTCTCCCTGAGAACAGTGTGATTGTGTCAAGAGATTTAGTTAGTAGTACAGTCACCATACTCTCCTAAATTATTTATTTATTGTAATAATGAAAAAGCATTATGTACAATATCAAGGGTTATGCCCCTTTTCTGTTTCATGACATCCATCCAATCTTCTTGTATAATGAGGATTGATGAGCACTTTATTTAACGAGGCACTACATTTCAGTGTAGCAGAATTGTAACCAGGTGCCTCATTGTTATTTGTCTCAGCCTCTCAGGCACTGTTCTCTTTCTTACCTGCTTCTCAAGAAGTTTAAGAATTAGCATGATGATTACATCCACTTGTGCCTGCATGTTCAGGTGAGATCGATCGATGATCGTCATAGGCAATTGTGCAGTTACAGTGCTATCTGTTTGCTGACATGTGTCCAGCTTTTTTACCACACGATGATCACCAACTTGAATAGTCTGTTAACCTAAATGTTGACGATCATTGCCTGAAAATTCAGACAAGAGGCATGCAGGTACATGTTCTTGTTCCCAGTTCCCATTGGTGGTCCAGAACCTGACTGACTGAAGAACTGATCTGCATCTCTTGGATCACTAAACTCCAGTTTACAAGGTCCAAGCAAAATGAAGGATGATCAATCAGAATCAGATAAGAAGATGAACAATGGCCGACTTGTTGTGGAGTGACACTGAAACAGAGGAGTAAAAGCAGGCAGTGGATGATATGGCCTGAATTTTTCTGGCCTTGGAACTTGGATCGTCACTGAAACCGTAGGGTATGTAAGGTGGTCAGGGGGACACACCACCACTCCTTCCTCTCCTCATCCGATCTTCCTATACTATGGATCATGGGGCATGGCCAAATTCACTTAATTCCTATGGATCTGCAATTAGTTCTCTGCAATTCTGCATGCATTTCATTCCGGTGTTCCCTCCTGCCTGTCTGCAGGAAGCTGCACCTTCTTCCTCCAAGGAAACCTGATTTGATCTTCAGATCATGAGCATGAAAAGTGCAGCTGTATAAAGTAATCCAGCTTTCTGTTTTTTTTTCGTTTTCCTGAAAAATGCAGAATCATTTGGTGCTGTTTCCGCGAAGATGTTAATGAACATTAATTAAGTAAATAATAATACTATGCAGAAACCAACATTGGATGCCACTAATTTTTTTAAGAAGAAAACGAGACATTGGATACCACTAATAATGATAGAAATGATGATATAGTGAGTGAATCCAGCAAAGGACAGCAGCTAAATGAAGCTGACAAAGAAAGATGGATACGATTAACTGGACCCTGAAGATCATATATAATACTAATAAATGGTAACAATGACCAGCCTAGTGAGAGAGGTAAACATGTAGTACCCTGTACTGAACAGTATTAGATCGATCGATCGATCGCGTCTAATAAAAAAAAGGGACGCACGCACATTGGTTGGTTGTGACATACTCCCTCCGTTTCGAAATGTTTGACACCGTTGACTTTTTTAGTACATGTTTGACCGTTCGTCTTATTCAAAAACTTTTGTGAGATATGTAAAATTATATGCCCACATAAAAATATATTTAACAATGAATCAAATGATAAGAAAAGAATTAATAATTACTTAAATTTTTTAAATAAGACGAACGGTCAAACATGTGATAAAAAGTCAACGGCGTCAAACATTTCGAAACGGAGGGAGTATATAGAAGGAAACGTGCCATATGAGTAGGACAAGATAGAAAAATGCAGATGTAATGCTACCACTAAAGAAACCGATCGATCGATTTCATTTGGTTTATTTTGCTTCTTTCGTCGTCCAACCCTTTTCTGATAATTAAGCAAAAGGCTGAAAAAGGTATCGAGGATCAAATAAGGATTAATTATACTAGCTGACCACACCATATGCAGTTAACAGATCTCGAGTAATGGAATTAATAAACATATGCAGATGGAATTAAACACGTACATGAGCTACGCAAAAGCGTGCATCCGAGCAGAAAAGGGATGATGAAAGTTCTGAAGAAAGAAGCATATGCAGCAACAGCACGATATGCATGGATATGGTAGCTAGCTGCAGGTAGAGGAGAGTGACCCGGCCGTACGTCATTGTCAGTACATCAATCAGTACAGTGGAGATCGATCGCCATGGATGGATGGATGCATGCATGCATGGCCTACAGGGAAGGGGAACTGGATCCCCAGGAATCCAGCCATGGAGGTAGGCAACAAGCAGGCAAGGCCTCTCGAGATTACTCGTGGATTTGGCAGCTAGGGACTTAGAAGCTAGCAACCCTGCTGCAGTTCGATCGATCCATCAGTAAACCTACAGACATGGGGCAGGCAGGCATATGCCTACATGGATATACTCCATATTTCTGCCTTGATCAATCAGAGACTATCCACGCGTGCAAACTGTGCAAGCGATTGATTTAATTTGCATCCCATCCCCGCCCATGCATGCGATCCGACAATGCAGACAATCACATTCAGCATGTTCATGTATGCATGGTTGCCAATGATAAGCTTTGCTTGCTACCCCTTTCGTTCCAAAATAATTTTATTTTTCACCATCGAATTTGTTCCAAACTAAATTCATCTTTCAAGTTTTCATTATATAGAGTTTGTAAAAGTGAAATGATAATATATTGAGACTAGATAATTAAAAATGAATAACAATTGCATTGGATTTATTTAATAAAGTGGAGTATATTAATTCTATTTTTTTATACTTGTATTGATATGTATGTGTTAGATGAGTGAAAAATAAAATTATTCTGAGACGGAATTGGTACTATACAAAGTACAAACCATGCATCATGCAGGCTACAATTCTCTCCTTGGTTTATCCAAGTGGCCGTACATGCATGCCTGAGACAACTCGTACTGATGATCAGATCGATAATATAGTATTATTAAGGAGATGGATTTTCATTCTTGAGCGATATTCACTTGTTTCTTACATATTCTTAAATGATCACTAAAAATATTTTGAGAGCCCTATTTTGTTGGGGTACTCACAATATTTTAAACACATTTCCTAGGATTAAAGCTATAATTTTAGATGCATGCTGGAATAATGAGGCCGGAATGATTTGATGGGAAAGAAGACACATCATAATAATAGTGTTAGTACCCTCCACACTGATCATCATTGTCCAGGAGAAAACATTCGCTCCTTTTTTTAATGAGCCACATAGTCCCTTCATAAAAAAACGAATCTGGATAATTTTTTTTCTGATTCGTTTTTGAAATTTGATTCTTTTTTGATGAAGGGTGCAAGTAGTCATTGGCCATCCAATCGTTCATGATCTAAATCGGATGGCTAGAAAATGGCATACAATCGATGGCATCACCAGATCTAGTTAGATACTAGCTGACATTCTGGATGCCTTGAATTTACTACGTTAACTGAAGAAAAATGGTAAAATCTAAACCATTAGAGTGTAGGTTGATAGTAATGGTTTTTGTAGAATGTAAAGAAAAAAAAGAAAATAATTGTATATTAAATATAATCCTATTTTTAATACATATTAATTATATAAAAATATATTAACATATATATAAGTTAAGAGAGGTATAATATCCAACTCAACTAGCGTGTCCAAAATTATGCGCAAAAATCCTTATTTTGATATCAATATCATCGTGGCATCATGCACGTATGTGTGGTGTGGGCATAGCGGCAATCGACTTGATGTTAGTTCTTTTATCGAGCTGGTGTATAGGCGGTATGATTTTACTTTTTTATTATAACCTTACATGATTGTAGTATTGTAATTTTTTCTTCATGTTATATCAATTTGAAACCTCACATCTATTTGTGTGATTTTTTGGGAAAAGACTATACGTTAGGATAATGTCCATGCTGTACCTAACGAGATCCTTCTTTCCTGACCCCAATCCCCAATGGCAGAAGACGCAGATGGCGATGAGGGCGACGAGGACAACTAAATCCTTCTCCGCTGACCTCGACCCTCCGTGGCGGCAACAAGGATGGAAGTAGATGGTGATGAGGACGGATGCTGTAGTGCCAGTGGTAACGAGGACCTAGAGACGGAGACCGAGCAAACGGGATGTTGCAAGAGCTTGTGCTGCAGATGGAGCGTGTGGCATGGTAGCAGCGATGGTGGATGGGGCCATTGGTGCTAGGGTCTATCAGCGACGGTCCATGTGGTTGGCGACAATGGCGGTGGCGCTTCCCTGATCGCCATGGCCACGCATGGAGGTGGATCCCGAGCTGTGGTATGTGGAAGCTTCTAGAGGAAAAGGAGGAGGAGGTCTCGGTCTAAGTCTTGAGGAGGTGTCGAGGAAGGATGGGAAGCGCCACATAATTGTAGTCATCCTGCCGGTAACCATTTCGATCTCTTCTTCTCTTCCCCTCTCAGCTTAGATATGATACCTGATGGGTATCAGCTGGTATCACCAAGATGTCGATCAGTTTCAACAAGGTATCATTTGATACCTGACAGATATCACCCGATACCTATGTGGATACTAGGCCTAATACCGACCAACACGTATTGGCCTGGTACTGACTGGTGTCAGTCAATATAAATGGGGTATTAGTCGGTACCTACGGTGTAATAGATATGATACCGATAGCTATAAGAAATCTGATATCATCCCAAGGGGTTCCTGTAGTATAGTAGCCTGTTTTTATATTTTTAAAAAAGAAAAGTGTGTGGGTGTGGGCTATTAATAATCGCAGCGTCACTACCACCGCGCGTACGCAACGCAACTGCTCTCAATTCAATCTCGCTTAATTCGATCGTCTTCTTCCTCCATCCCAAAGCTCCACTCCACGTACGCCTCGGGATTTGCTCCATTGCCTCTGCTCTCCCGATCGATCGAGTAGTCCCCGCCCGCTGAAACATGCATCTTCCCTACCTAGCTCGTCTTCCTCTACTACTTATACCCGCCCTAGCCCCTAGCTAGCTACTAGTGGTAGTGTCACAGTGACAGTGAGTAGTGGATACCATGGAGCACCCAGTTAGTAATACCATGGAGCCGGATCTCCGGGCCAAGGACCACCGCGCGTGCTCCGCCTCCGCCACCGACACGTCGTCCAGGATCATCGCGCAGTGGGCGGCGCGCCGCCGCCAGCTGGCGTGCGACGACCAGGTGATCGACCGCCGCGACCGCGACTCCGAGCTGCTCGCTCTCGCGCGCCTCCACGCCGTCTCCATGCTCGACGCCTCCTTCCTCCGCGCACACGACGATGCCGGCGGCGGCGGCGGCAGGCGTGCGCGTTCGCCGGAGCGCGCGCTGGTGCGGAGGATCGCGCGGGAGTGGACGGCGTCGTCGCGGACGTCCCCGCGCGGGGGCGGCGCCGGCGGCGAGGAGCTGCTTGGCGAGACGGAGCGGCAGCGGGTGCGCGCCGTGCGGGAGCGCGTGCGCATGGCAAGCCAGGGGCAGGGGCACGGTGGCGCGCACACGCCCAGGCTGATGCGTGGGCGTGGGCGGCATGGGCAGGACGTGGTGACGCGCATGGCCATGGAACGCCAGCGCGAGCTGCAGGGCCTCTCCGACCACCGCGCCGTCTCCGCCTTCGCTCACCGCGCCCGCATTCAGGTCACATCTGCATGCCATGCCATCTCTTAGCTTCACTTAGGATTTTCTTAATTGTTATTCCCAATGCAAATCTGATGAAATTGACTAGTCGTAGTCTGCATTGCGGTTGCATTTCATTTCGCAGAAATGAGAAAATGAATGCCAACCTTCAATTCTCACCAAAACAACTGCTAATATACTGAGTACTACTACGTTGTAGTAGCACTTACCACCCCATATATATAGTACAGATGAGTTGATGTTGTTTCACTCTAATTGAGTCTTGTCCAGCAATTGCATGCCTTGTCTAGCTGCTGCTGCAACCTAATCATGTCAAGTGTCATAAAAGAAGAGTATCTTTCTTTCAACTCTTTTGATCAAGGAATTGTTTCTCATGTAAATAATTCTAATGGACCTGCTAAACAAGCAGCTGAAAAGGTTGCCCGAGCACCTTCCTTTCCAAGTCCCCACTTGTACTTGCTTCATGTCTGCCCCTCTCTTCTGTGCACCTCTTCTGTACTTGCCGCATTGCACATAGTTAAATACGAAGTACTTATCAAATATGTGAAGTTTAATCCTTCATTGACTAGTAAATTCAGCCAAAAAAAACGCTGTTGTGTGATCCCTAGCTAGTTCCCTACCATGAATAGTTTCAGTATTGCTCTCTGAAACATTTCTGAAAAAAAATCTGAAACTGTCTTCTATTAGAGTAAACAAAAAAAATATCAAGTGCTAATGACAGATTTTTTTTCCCCTTGGAATAATTGACAAAACGATGTTTTGTTTCATGGGATTGATAATTATCATTTTACAGTCTTTTCTACGAGGTAGATCCTTCCATAGTGGAAGCCCTATGCATGATGAGAGACCACTCTCTATGGCAGCCAGAGAATTAGGACAGCTTAGACAGAGTCATCCAGTCTCTAGATTCAGGTATGGCTTCCCTTGCCGGGCATCATCTGCTCTAATGTTGGTTTTCTTGGTTGCCAAAGATTGGACCTTGCTTAATAGAGTTTCACTGACTTAGTTAATTGGCTTCAAAAGTACTCTTTGCACTCTACATGACTGTTATAAGTATAATTTCAGCATCTAGTACATAGAAAGGACCACTTCTGGTCAAGTTGCCAAATGAACAAATTTTTGGTAGTTGTTTTGAAATATATACCTTTTTCCATATATATATTTCCAGCATCATGGTGACACAATATTGTTGTTGACCTAGGGAAGAAGTTCGCTCAAGAACAGAAGTTACCACAAATGGCCCAGCAACAAACCACACTGGACCCATGGATACTATTGTAGATCTGCACTTACATGAAAATGATCATCGCCAAGAGAATGCTACTCACAATGAAATCCAGACACATCAATCAATGGAAAATGAATCTGTAGATATCCAAAGAAGTATAACAACCAGTAATGATGATGTTGTCCAAAGTGACTTTGGTCAAGAACAGCTTCACAGATATGAAGATTATCCAGATTCAGGGTCCTCAGAAGAGGCCAGTGAACAATCTGATTCTTCCAGTCCATCTGACAATAGCAATCAACAAGAAGAAGAAACTTACGAGCAGCAAACTAATCTGCTATGGTCAAGAGAGACATCTAGTAGTGAAGATGGAGATCATGAATGGAATGTTATGAATTCTCAAGAAGCTGAAGCACAATGGAGGTCAGGTCCAAGTTTTTCTTCCAACCGAAATATTAACAGGTTCAGTCCACCGGACGATGATGTATATGGAGTGGAGCTCAGAGAACTCCTAAGCAGGTACTTCTTCTTTTTTCCAAGAAACAAGAACATGAAATGGCATTTACACATTTTGTTTGAATAATGCACAACCAGATTACTGTATTTTGTAGGCGTAGCGTCTCTAATCTTCTTCGTAGTGGCTTCCGAGAAAGTTTGGACCAGCTGATACAATCGTACGTTCGAAGACAAGAAGAGCATGATGATCCTCTTGATTGGGATTATCAAAGGCAGGGAACAGCTACTGGGTTACACAGCGACGATCAAGGTGAAGACAGGATCGATGAAGCAACAAATCAGACTGTTTCTGACACCAGGGATCACCAGCCGTCGATTCTTCCACAGCAACGGCATTGGCAGATGGAACTGCCTCATCATCATCATAACTGGAGTCAACAAGCCATGCGTCATTCTGAACTTGTGAGCCTTCATTCACCCTTGCTGAAAAGTTTCAGATTTTCAGTATGGTTCAGACATGGTACAGCATATAGGAGTAGTAGATAGATAGGGTTATCATGAATGGAAGGAATGTGTTTGGCAGGACTGGGATGCCATCCATGTTCTGCGAGATGACCTGACCGGACTACAGCGAGGGATGACCAGCATGCAGCAGATGCTAGAAGCTTGCATGGAGATGCAGATGGAGTTGCAGCGCTCCATCAAACAAGAAGTCTCTGCTGCTCTGAACCGCTCACTAGCCGTTCCTGCAGGTCAGAAGTTGATCTCTTCAACCTGTTTCTGCTATCTCACTGTACATATCTGACAAAGCTGAGATGATAACTTGATATTCTTAACAGGCGAAGAAGGGATGTTAGAGGATGGATCAGAGTGGAAGCTAGCGAGGAAAGGAACATGCTGCATCTGCTGTGACAGGCAAATTGACTCGCTTCTTTACAGGTACTCTTTCAGAAACTAACAGTAGAATGATCAATGATGTTATTCATGACTGACAAATTAAATGAACACCTTGTTGTACTTGCATACGATGATCAGATGTGGGCATATGTGCACCTGCTCAAAGTGCGCGAGCGAGCTGCTCCACGGGGTGGGCAAATGCCCACTGTGCCGTGCGCCTATCGTCGAGGTAGTCCGAGCTTACTGCATAATGTGACACACAGTTACTTCAGGCCTAATCATAATATAGAAGAAGAGAAGATGATGAAGATGATGAGTACTAGCTTTGTCGGACTGAAGCCTTTTTGAGTTTTGGATGCTGGAGTTGTACTACTTTACTACATTAGTAGGGGTTTAATTTAGGAGATGCTACTACGAGTAATTGTGAAACTTTCACAAATAGTATGTTTTAATAATTCTAGTGCCTGACAGAGCATCCATGCTAATGTAATGTGCTCTTGTAGGAGTAATAACTTGTAATCCATTAGCCTTGCAAACTCATTAATGAAATAAGTGACCCTTGAGATCGATCATTAGCAGTATTCATCACTTCTCCGTTGTAGTACCATATTCATCAGGGTTCTGACTTGCTTTACTTTTGGATCTGCGTTAGATTTCTTTTTTTTTTTAAGAAGGGTATGTTTTACCTGGCCTCTACATCTAACGGATATATGCAGCCTTTTTAAATTCTCTTATGTGAAGATTTAAACTCAAGACCGAGATGCTATTTAGGTCACTGCATGTTTACTGCGTTGGATATATATTAGTTATATCTACACCTTATTAATTTGAGCTGATGGTTGCTAACAGATTAATGGCCTATTATTATGTACTATACTACTACTACATAATGAGATAAGTGATCCTTGAGATCCATCATTAGCAGTTCATCACTTCTCTGCTATACCATCATCACTTATTCATCCTCACTTATTCATCAGCGACGATTGGTGGCCTTCCTCCAGGGTTTACTTACCTGGGCATCTCCGAGCCGGTTTCGACTCCTTGATGCTCCTGGTCTCTTGGCAGCTGTGGAAGAAATGGAACTCCAGGGTTCTCTCTTCTGTCTATGTGGTCTTGGAGTCTATTCTTTCGGATGGTCATATGTGGTCCTTAGACGGGGTTGCCGCTTCTAGGGTTTTCTTGAGAGTGTAGCATGGCTCTACCCCTTTCCGCTGTTAGGAGTTGCTTTTTAGCCGCTGCAGTACTTCCGAAGCTTTAGTTTAAGTTTTTTCCCTTTCCCTTGGCATAAGCCGGTCTGGCTGATTGCTTTAGGTAACGAAAATTCTTTTTCTTCTAATATATTGGCGTGTAATCCTTTTGTGCGTTTGTGAAAAAAAATTGTTCTTTTTCTTGTGAAATAAGGTTGATTGATATATTGATTAGTAATTAATTAATTAGTTATGGATATATCATAAGTTGCCGATAATGCCGGGATTCACCTGATCCCTGGGCTGTGGGCCAAGCTAGAGAAGAGACTTGTACTTACTGCGCAAGACGAGGCGATTGGCGAGGCAGATGCAGTTGCAGTTGAGAATTGAGATGATGCAAGGCCTCTCACGCTGCCGACGCCCTGCCAATTGCCAAAGTCGGCGGCTTCTTCTTCTTCATCAGCTCTCCTCTGCCTTCATCGCCACTCCAATTTCCGCTTCCCCGGTCTCTTTTCGCTGCCTGCCTGCCTCCCTCCTTTATTTCCTTGGTCTTCAGTGTTCTTCTTACTTGCTTCCCAAATTCGTGCCTTGATCTATGGGGGTGAACTACTTTTGGATCTGGATATATGGCATGTTTAGTGTTTACTACGTTGGATATATAATACTAGTGTATAATTATGTTTTTTGTTGTGATAGATTTGCTTTTATACCCTGCTCCAGTAACAGCGTGCAACGCTACTCGGCAACTAAAACTGACAAGAACAAGAGCAGCGATCTGATCATTCAGCCTCAAATTAACGACGTTACAGAGGAGAGCAACCAGAGGCCTACCGATAGCAGTGAGATCAACCCTACTGTTGGTGTTTTTGGGGAACATTATTTGTTCTGGACTCAACACATTTGTCAGCTTAGCAGCCACCGTGATGGCACCATATACAACAACCAGCTTTATTGGAAAAATAATTATGATATCGATGTCACTAACCGTGAAGAGAGTAAGTGATATTATTATTTTAACCTCGCTCTTCTCTTATGCTATAGTGTATTATACTTCCTCCGTCCCATAATATAAGGGATTTTGACTTTTTCTTGCACTGTTTGACCACTTGTCTTATTCAAAAAATTTTGAAATTATTATTTATTTTATTTGTGAATTACTTTATTATCTAAAGTACTTTAAGCACAACTTTTCGTTTTTTATATTTGCACAAATTTTTTGAATAAGACGAGTGGTAAAACAGTGCAAGCAAATAGTCAAAATCCCTTATATTATGGGACGGAGGGAGTATGTATTTTCTTCTTAATTGCCACATTTACCAAGCCTATATATGTGATTTACAAACCTGATCTTAAGGTAAGTTGCATCATTTTTGTTCCATTATTTTTACTGGATTACATGCCATATGCTCGGCCCAACGAAGCCACATGTACAAGAAAAAAAAAACTCTTAACAAGAACAAGTCAGTTTTCCATGCATACATAGGGTCATTAGACAATTTTGCTTACATAGTGATCTTCTTTGCTGAAGCTCCGGTGGAGCCAATGAGGTACTCAGTGGCCACACGATGCAATCCTGATCTGGAAAACTGTCTATGCATGACATGTCAAATGGTGCAGATTTTCTCATTGAAGTTGGCTCACACTAGTATAAATAGTGGTCCAACACAGTTATATGGATATATTGCAGCACGGGATCATGTCGACTCAATGCTTAATTATGTTTTCAATCGCAGCAGAGATGATCCCATCGCCGTGAACCAGGTATATACATCCATACTTATCTGCAATCATTTTGGATTACGTTCTGAATTCTGAATGTGTTGTAACAAATATACCTTTGATTTCAGTTTGTTCATAGAGCTATTCCTTAATAATATACATACTGTTCAATTTTACAGGGTTCTCTTATCGAAATGACTGGCCCTAAGAGAGGCATTGCACTGATCCCCGAATGTCTGTTTGAGTTTGACATGAGAATCAAAACTGGGGAGAAAGAAGAAGATGATCTACAGCTGATCGACGGAATGATAGAGTTGGACGAAATGAGAATGCCCGAGACGCCGTACACAACTCGCATCAATGGCGATTCTGGCTCCGTCGACCTGTGTTTAGCGAATGTTTCTAACGGAGTAGAGGCAACGGTGGAAGTTGTCATATCGGAACTGATGGTGAATGGTTTTGATCTATCGATCAGCTGTGTTGTTTCAAGTTCAAGGTACGAATACGATGAAAGTAAAGAGTTTCAGATATTCGGTGGCAGTATTGGTGAGGCGTGTGGCCTAAGAAGGTTTGTGTTGGCTGTCTACTTGGACACTGATGCAGCTGAAGTTGAAGGTAGATCAGAAAGGGTCCAATGGTGTTGAGCATTGCTGCTCCTTTTCATGTAAGCTGCATGGATGCGCCAGCGAAGATGTAAAGCTTGAGGAGGTGGCTTCTATCTCGGTGAAGGTGACCTGGTCGGCTTTGATTGAATGAACTCCCTTGTGTTACTGTTTTCATTTGTTGCATTTCAGTTTTGGTTGCCTGCAGTCTGTACCCCTAAGGGGATTTAATTTGGATGATGCTATTACCATTTTGTGAGGGAGACCACCCGTGTTTAATTCTTGTACTATTACCTGACACTGACAGAGCATATTCCTACATGATAGTAGAGTAGTACATGGTAATGTGGGATGCAGGTCCTCTGCAGTACTGCATGTGCAGTACTGCTCACTGACATGTGGGCCCCACAGCATCTCGGTCCCACATGTTAGTGAGTAGTACTGCAGAGGATCTCAATTGGGTAATGTGGTATGTGGTCTTGTAGGCAGGATCGAACAACTTTGAATCCAGTAAGTAGGCTCGCAATTAATGAAAAAAAAGTGATCCGAGATGGAGGGATGGATGGATGGATCATTAGCAGTATGTGCGTTTTGTGTACTTGTAGCACTCCTGTGTGTCAATTTAATTCGATTCCTTTTTTTTTAGAAACACAGTACAAACGCAGGCACTCACAATGTGCGCACACTCACACCTATGAACGTACACATAAATAAGATAGCATTATGAGATGGAAAAGTGTATATGCAAGGAATGTTTGGAATCAAGTATAGTAGTCCGTAGATAGATGTGTAGTGTAGCAATTAGTAGTAAGTTGATCCTACATGGCTACATGAATAAAAGAGTGAGAGAAGTCGTACTAGAAGAGGATGATACCAGAATGCGAGGAGCATGGGGATTGCTCTTCGATCTAAGTGGATATGGTCGCATCGCACTTCCTAGGAGAAGCCTTGGCAAGGCCTTTCCATCCCATGTTCTCCGAAAGAACAGAGTTTCGTAGCTGCATCTATGGCTTGCCAGATCGGTGATGGCACGACGGCTCTTTTCTAGGAAGACCGGTGGCTAGATGGATCCTGTATCCGCTCACTAGCGCCGGCACTCTATGATCACGTTCCCAAGCGAACCCGACGACGAAGAACGGTAGCAGAGGGGCTACTCAGCAGGACTTGGATCCACGATATACGAGGAACCCTCGAATTGCAGGCCATCGTAGAGTATCTCAATCTCTGGTCGTTGTTGCGGAAGATAGAGCTCTCAGATCGGCGGAATCAATTTATCTGGAAGGGGGAGAGTTCGGGCCTCTACTCCTATCACTCTGCCTACCAAGCATTGTTCCTCGGTCGAATCCCATTCCAATCTACGCTGATTTGGAAATCACTGGGGCCGCTGCGATGCCGCTACTTTATTTGGCTAGTCGCACTCAACCGCTGCTGGACGGCAGACTGGTTAAGCATCAGAGGCTTGCCTCACCCCAGCATGTGTGTCTTATGCGATCAGCATGAGGAAAGCATCAATCACATTTTGGTCGCATGCCCAGAATCAAGATAACTCTGGTGGCTATTGCTTTCGGCCATCAGTCACCCGGAATGCTTACCCGTCAATGAAATCTCATTCCATTCCTGGTTGTGTGACAAGAGGGAAACCTTCTCCAGCTCTCAACGGCGCGGGTTCGATACCATTACTACACTAACAGCATGGATAATTTGGAAGGAACGGAATAACAGGGTGTTCAACCAAAAGCAGAGAAACTGGACAGAAGTGGCAAGGGCAATGGCGGAAGAGGCAGCGCTGTGGCGGCTCGCCAATACTGCCATGCCGGCCATGCCTTTAGGGCACTTAGGTCGCAACATTGTGCCGCGAGATTAGGGTTTAATGTTCTTGGGTGACTTCCTGTAATCACGTCTCCTTCTGTTTTTCTCTTTCACCTGTACAGACTTTTACTCCTCTTAATACAAAGATGCGCTCCTTGCATATTCCGAAAAAAAAATGATACCAGAATACTATACTAAGTACTAGAAGCTGGAAGGGTAGGGTGATGGCAGTAGCAAGCAAGAATCCAAGTGCGGAGATCGGCGGAGTACAGCTGCATCGCCGTCGCCGGCGCCCGGCCGGAATGGAATACTATACTAAGTACTAGAAGCTGGAAGGGTAGGGTGATGGCAGTAGCAAGCAAGAATCCAAGTGCGGAGATTGGCGGAGTACAGCTGCATCGTCGTCGCCGGTGCCCGGCCGGAATGGGATAGATCAGCAGTGGGGCCGAGGCTGAGCACAGAGATGGGCCATGGGCTTCAAATGGAGTGGAGGCCCAAGTGTGCCTTCCTTCCTCAATCAAGCACAAAAGACATTCAGCAGTAGCACCTTACCTCACCGAGAAATTTAGGCAATCAAGCACAAAAGGGCATGCAGCAATAGCACCTCACCTCACCGAGAAATTTAGGGGAGGGAGGGCCGCCACCGCCGCCGCCGCGCCGGTCTCCCACAGGCCGCGCTGGTCTCCCACAGGACAGGACAGGGCGCCGTCCTCTTCGATCTGTGCTAGCCGCCGCAATATATCCTGTATGTGCATCTCCCTATCTAGATTAGATTAGCTCCTTTCTTATTTTGTCCGGCCTTACTCCTCATCCTCTTTAATCTTTCTCTTCAACGTTGATTACTCTTGTCTCTAGTCTCTCTTATGTATAACTACAAGTATATTCTCTTATGTATAACTACAAGTATATCCATTTCAGTTTAGTTCAGTTCAAACACATTTGGCTACTCAAGTCACTCCATCCATCCCTTTTCTTTTCTCTTCCTATTAAATAATTTGATGCCCTGCCCCCTACGGCCCTACCTGCCATCGGCCCATCGCACATATCGCACCACTGATTACATTTTCACTCCTCAAATTTACACCCTTGTTTACACCCGTATCGTATATCCATCTGCCCTCTAATTCTGCCCAAATGTTGATTTATATTCCACCTATTTTTTCTTCCTTTTTCGAAAATACATAATTAGTGCCTTGATAGTATTATAAATGCCTCATAATCTATCTGTCGAGGCAGTGACAGACGTATGATGTTATAGATGGGTGTACGATAAACTAATTTGTTTATAAAACAATAAAATATTTAATTGTTATACAATATTATTTCTAAAGAAATGTAAAAAAATCCAATACATCATAAAAACCAGATTAGAAATAAACTAAATCTTATTTTTATTTGTAGATCTCATTGTAATGCATAGGCATGTAACTAGTAAATAGTGAATATCACAACTCACTTGAACAATATATATAGTGCATTATGATCATTAGATTCATAACAAGTGTTGATCACTAGTTTATCCAAAAAAAATTATATGACTATATCGTTTAATATTATTAACCTTTATAGCATTCTAGATTATATTTAGCAAAAATATCTTTCTCTTAAAAAAACTAGCCAGGTACCTTTTATAAATACAATATCATTAACAAAGATAATAGTTATTATTCCTCATGTAAAAACATAGGTAATATATATTACGGAGCACACACACATGAGCTAGCTGCTTAGTATTCTTGTGCAAGTAATAGTGTTGTGTTGTATGTAGCAATATTATTATAAAAAATAAATAAGAATGAGAAAAAAAGAAGAAGATGGAACAACAGAAGAATATAAGTTTAAAGTTTTTAGTTTCACACCATTCACTGCAAAGAACAATTTTAATAATATTAGTATATTATCGATTAATGTGACTATATACCATACCATGGATGTGAGCAACCACCCTCATGTGTTTGGGCTAGTGACTAACCTACTCTTTTTCTTACTTCTTTCGAAGTTCTCTGAACGTATTTAGGTAAAAGATGTTTTATTTTGGATAAAAAAGAAACAATTTAACTAGATTATTTTTAGAGAGAATCCATCGTGTGCCGCTGACTTTGTTCTTGTTCTATAATATGCCATTGAGTTTATTAAGTTCTACAGCATGTCATTGTATTTTGCTTAAATTCTATAATATACCATCGCCATCCATTTAGATTCCGTTAGTACTGTATAATTTTGTCCTAATGATTGAAATATCCCTAGGACAAAAATTTCCAAAATTTGGCCGAAAATTCCGAAATATCATATTATAAACTAGGTAGAGAAGTTGCCCATCTCAAACTCTTTAAGTTTTACAATCTGTGTGATAAAATTGTACAATGCTAACGGAGGCTAACTAGACGACGATGGTATACTATAGAAGTTAAGCAAAATACGATGCCATATTAGAACTTGACAAACCCAATGACATATTGTAGAGTAAGGACAAAATCAGTGACTCACAGTGGATTGTCTCTGTTTTTTATGGTTGTTCAGTTAACTACCTATCTACTATGAAGCTGCATTTTTAGAAAAAGTTAAATCTTATACTATAAGTCCATATCTTACACATTAAATTACATACACTTATAATATAATTTTCAAATTATAAAATGCCCTATTCTCATTTTATAGGAGAACTATGGAAAAATGATGTATTATCTATTTAATTATGAGAAATATATTAGTCCAAATCAACATATATGTAGAAAATAAAAAACAATATGAAAGAATTACGGAAATACGTACTAATGTAGTTATCATATATAATACAATGAGAAAAGAAGACCATAGTCAAATGCTTTATTATTGAGCAAAAATGATGGTATTATTTTTATCATCTTTTAGAGGAATCTATCTAAATATAGTTAATCAGCCCGTGTTAGTAGAAGCATGTATCGTCATGCATCAACATATCATGAGATTATTAGTTATAGCTAAGTACACCGGCGTAATCATACTTAGCATATCACGAGACTATCGGGTAATGGACAATTATCTTTAATTGTGCTAGAGAAAAAATATCATACTTAGCATATCACGAGACTATCAGGTAATGGACAATTATCTTTAATTGTGCTAGAAAAAAAAAGTACTCCCTTCGTCCCATAAAAAACCAACTTAGGACTGGATGTGACACATCCTAGTAAAACGAATCTAGACATGCATATGTTCAGATTTGTTGTACTAGAATGTGCCACACCAGTTCTACATTCGTTTTTTTGGAACAAAAGGAGTAAATTACAATCCATACTATGTATTCTAAAAAATTCTTACAAATTTTCATATAATGTTGTCCTTTAACCATTTTCATTTACACAATAGCTAACTTTACATTTTAATTTGGACCACCATATTTTATCCATCTCCAAGTCCGGTGACTCAGTAATCACGTCGCACATTAACTCTCTCTCTCTCTCTCCATTTTCTTCTTTCATCTGACAGTTGGATAACCGATAGATCTAGCAAGAAAGAGCCCGGATATAGCGCCTTCGCTCTTCGTCGGGTCAGCTCCTGCCTTCCAAAGTCCCTGCAAGCCCGACATCTCCGACCTCAATTGCAATCATAACAATAGTGTGCATCATGATAGGGGAGGAGAAAAAGACTTGTCGGTTACTAGAGGTTAAGGCTGCGCATGTAAGGCAAAGGGGAGGAACGATGGTAGCTCATGGAGAAAGAGCGGTGATGGCGGTGCGTAGAGTGACAGTTAGCAGTTGCAGGTGGTATGAGGAATTTGTCGTCGACACAATCTTTTAATTTTTTTCCTAAGTATTGATGATGCGTGGGTCACCAGTTATATAAAGAAATAGCTTTTAAAATATTAGCTTGCCCTAAAATAAGTGTCAAAACTTTTGACCGTCCGTCTTTGAAAAGTTTATGAAAAAATTAAAATAAATTAGTCACACGTAAAATATTATTCATGTTTTATCATCTAATAACAATAAAAATACTAATCATAAAAAATTTTAAATAAAAAAAAGTTAAACGCCGGATGTAAACCGTAATAAAAAACTACACTTAATTTGGGACGGAGGGAGCGGTAAATAAAAATATGGAGATAAGGGCGGAGTATCGCTACTTGAGATAAAGAAAAAGAAAGAGAAAATTCGATCTATAGCACAGAAAACAAGCAGGTACCAAAAAATAGCACATAAAGTTTACACTTTCGATTAGAAGCACATGTCATCTATTTTTCTTCGATCCGTAGCACTTCCGTCACATTTTGAGCAAACGGTGTTAGTTCTAGCGTAAAGAAATTTCATGTCGGACTAATTTGCCCAGCTCATCTCCTTCCTTCTCATCCCCATCTCCACTCACTCCCCAAACCCAATTTCCTCCCCGTCACGAGCAAGGCGCGAGCCCGGCCGCGAGCGTCGAGCAAGCAGCGCTCCACCATCGTCTCCCCTCCGCCCGCCGTTGTCTCGATCCCCTCTGCTCGTCGCATGCCGCTGTACCAAACAAACCACCATCTGTCACCGTCTCTTCTCCTCCCCGCTTCACCAATCAATCCAAACCCTAGAGCAATACCCCTTGCTGGAATCGCTCGCACCCTAGAGCTCCAGTTCCCACCCCAGCCACGGCGGATCAGGGGCAGTCTGGTCTGCTGCCGCAGCGATATCGTGCGCCCCGGATTTGAGAGTTCCAATGCCGATTTCGTACGTGGTCGTGGTCCCTGGGTGGATTATTGGACAGTGAGATTCTTCTCTACTGACTTTGATTTGTTTTCTTTGATTTTGCTTCCCGGATGATGTTGGATGTGGTTCGTGTTCAGGAACCTTTGCGCCAAGGCTTCGGTTTTGCGTGGTTCTTGGATCCGGTTAGAGTAGGTTGTGGTTTGTGTCGGCCGTCACGCCATCCGTCCTCATGGTCGCGCAAACCAGCAGCAGTTGTTGTCATTTTTCCGCTGAGTGTGATGCCTCTTCTCACGGCCAAACCAGTCACGAATGCTATACAGATAGAACCAAGGGCAAATCGGTCTTTCTCCGTACGAACTCACGGCTAAACACTTGATCTGAGCAGCAGCAGTGACGGAAGTGCTACCGATCGAAGAAAAACAAGTGGCCAATGCTTCTAGTCGAAAGCGGGAAGTTTCCATGCTATTTTTTGGTTACCGACTTGTTTTCTATGCTATAGATCGAATTTTCTCAAAAAGAAACCTCTCGTTGTCTCCTCCGCTCCTTGCCTCCTTGCGCCGCCGCCAAGACGAGTGGCGGCTGAACAAGGGAGGGCCGGGCGGCGATCTCCATCGCAGCGGAGGGGAGGGGATCCTGGTGCGTCTTCTTTCTGATTCATCTCTCTCTCTCTCTCCCACCCCACCGGGACTGGAATTTGCGGGATTGCGTTCGTAAACCCTACTAGCTTCTCTTCTAGATCTTCTCCTCCTCCTTAATTTGATAGCCTTAAACCTCTCTTAAATAAATAATTCAAGTAATAACAGTTTGTTTGTTCACCCAAAAGTTTGGGGGTTCAACTGAACCCCCATGTCCCAAGTTGGATCCGCCCCTGTGTCGAGGTCTTGGTGGTGGTGGGTACCATTTCAGAATCAAACCTCATTTCCCATGCATAAAATAGTATGTATAGTGTGTTTACTTAATTTTAGGAGAGAAATAGAATGCTCCATTCACACATACTAGCACTCATTTTGTCATCAGTAATGGAGATGTCATCACTACTACTCCCCATGCCATGCAAAATAAATATCCATATTACCGTTTCATTGCCCACATTATGATCTTTAATTCGGAAATAATAAGGCATTGCAGCGAGAAATCCATGGCATGGGGAGGTCTCTTCTTGAGCTTCAGCCGTCCCTCACAGGACCAACAGAAGTCATGCCTTTCAGCTGCTGGTGGTTTCAACTATGATGCGCCTCTCCATGGTGCCTCAAGACCAAAATCAGTAGCTAAATTGACTGCGGGAGATACTGAAGCAAGTGACAAAGCGCTTGTCGAGCGCGGCTTCTTCGTGAACCGTTCACGTGTTCTGGTTGGCTCTGGCACTACCACCTTCAACCATGCCAAATCCGCGCTTCTCTCCTGGAAGTAAAGCCCAAGAACTACAAATTTTGTTATGTTGTTCATCTGGTCTCCATAACCAAGCAAACTGGTGTATATCTAGGCATTTGGCACTAGGCTGGGCAAATGTGGAACCCGACACACCGGTGAAGGCTGGAACAAGGTTCTGCATTTGTTACAAGGAGCTGATCCCTTGGGTCATGTTGCCCCTCCAGATTGCCTATGTGACCGATGGCAATGGAGGCAACTCCTCAGGCCATGGAAAAGGCTGCGTTTTTGCTTATGGTAGCGGCACTCTACAAGGCCATCTGCTGGTACGCCTGCCTCCTAATCTCATCAAGTAACAATGAAACATTGTAGTACTCACTACTCAGTAATGTAAAATGTTCAGAATGCAGTGCAGAGTTGCAGGTGTTTTTTTACTGAATGAGTTGGATGATCATATTTTGATGGTTTGCAGGCAGGGGAGGAGAGGTTCTCGGTGCAGCTGGACGAAGACGATCAGGTGTGGTACGAGGTGATGTCCTTCTCGAAGCCAGCACACATCCTGTCCAGCCTCTGCTACCCGTACGTGCAGCTGAGGCAGAAGCATTTCGCGCATCAGTCAGGGCAGGCACTGCTCAGGCATGTTGCCAGCCGCTCCAGGGACACACGGTGATCGACTTCGTCTGCAGATTTGATCTTTTCTTCAGGAGTAGTCTTCGCATGTTGTGAGTGAGCCTGCTTGTATGTTCCTGTATCTATGTCCGAATCTGCTCCTGAGAGCATTATTAGTTTGTAGTTTGAATTTTTGAGCTCAGGGTAATTATTTAGCATTTGTGCTTTGTTGTTAAGTTTTAGATCAAATTGAGGTGTTATGGTGATGTAAATTCAGATTTCCATGGTTTGTTACTAAATCAAAAGGAAGAATGAAAGATAAGCACAAGAGGAACCCCACAGTTCCACGGAACAGGTAGAAGAGACGTCTTGCACCAGGCAAACGCCCCTTGTTTATAGTGATGAGAGTATGGATTATCTGTTTGTCCCCTTTACCATGGTAGTAGAGTACTCAATGGATTAGCAACTTTTTCCATGTCTGTCACTGTCACTAGAAGAAGCTTTGCTAGTGCAAGTGTTATCTGAGTTGAGCAGACTTGCAGCAGCAACTGCTGCTTGATTTTCATTTCATTTTATTGCCTTCATTATTGGTCAGCTTAGCGTTAAGCATTCAAGCATAGCCTCTGCTCATCAGAGGAAAGAGAAAGATGATGTCAAAATTTATGCATGTTTGCTGGCCTGCACATTAGTGCACTGTATATTGTTCTGTCTGTCCACCCATAAAGTTTAAATACAAACTTCAGTCCTTTTTCATCACATTAACCTGTTATACACACATAACTTTTCAGTCACATCATCTTTAACTTCAACCAAAATCTAAACTTTGTGCTGAACTAAACACAGCCAAAAAGAAGAAGAAAGCGTCCTCCCCTCCACGCAAGCAAGCAAAAAATAAAAAAAATAAAAAATTCCGCGCACGCTTGCCGCAATCCCGCTCCGGGATTCCTTGCGTTTTTCACATTTTCTTTTCCTTTTCTTTCACGCGCACCGCTCCGGTTATCCCGTTCCTGGATTATTATTACTACTTTTTTTTTGTTTGCCTTCTTTATCTGGGAGTATATCTTAATTAATTATGGAGATACTCTTTAGTAGTATTTTCATTTTATGCGCACGGTTGGTGTAATGAAATCCCGTTTGGAAACCAATTTCTGTTCTTTTTCTATTAACCTCATCAGGCGTCCCACGTTGGTGGGGATGTCGCGTTCCGATCCCGATGCACAAACACAAGTAATCAACGGCGGAGAAACGAAGCCGATTGGAATTATCAGGTTTGGCTGGTACCCTCCTGGTACTTAGCTGGCTCAACACAACAGACACGCTGAGAGGGAGTAGTTATGTCGTAATCTTAATGCAACGGTTATGTAACTGTTTATCAATTTTAGATAGAGATTTACAAACAGAATTCAATAATTGTGTACTCTTTATCTTTGGTTGGTAGTCTTTAGTTTGCTTTTTCTTCACAGTTGGTGTCCTCTTTTTTGTGTGTCAACCTTTTTATTTTTGTGTGTTACGTTGTAATAATTGGTTGTAACTCGTTGAGTAAAGGCCAGGATATTCTATTTCATTATAAAAAAAAAGAGCTGCAAGTTAATAAACAGCTTGAGTATATTTTATATATATTTGAGAAATTACTGTATTGGGATTTGATAGAATATATATATATTTTATTTTGTATTAGTACGTGTGGAATGAGTAAAAAATAAAGGAAGGAGTATTTAGGTGTGATTAAATGGTTAATGATTGATGAAAAATTGGCAGGTGCAGGTGTCCCAACCCAAGCCAAGCGAACGAGGATGATACTCTAGTACAGTGGAGTATCTGGCAGGATTAGGCAAAGTACAGTGGTTGTCGATGAGAAAGACAAATAAAGCCGGCCGCCTGTATACTTGCGATTGTCGCCCCCCGCACCGCACCTAAATTGATTGATTATTAATTTAACTGCCGCTCGCTAAACTGTAGTGCTCCGTAACATGTAGTTTGTGGCATTTTCCTGCACCGAATAATAATACTAACAATAGTGATACACTATCATTAGTACACCTCCAGATGGGTTAGTCCTACATGAGCATGGGATGCAAAGCAGCAGATGGTTTTGTGAATGCAGTCATCATATAATAAATAAACGTGCAATAATTGAGGAGGAAGCATGCAGCTTCCTCCTTCCTACTACAGGAAAGCAGATAGACAGACGGCGAGGCCCAGTTTGCAGGTTGCAGGGCAAAACACACAGGTTCGCTGACAAGTGAGATCGATCGTCGGTGAGGTGCCGTGGGTCATTTTTTGTGTCTGTGAGCTTATCTTCTTGTCCAGCATGAGAAGCTTAGCTGGACCTACATCCAATCCAACACCACACCACACCATTTTTTTACTATGTACTCATAGGGTTATTTTGTTTTCTGAGAGAGGGAGAGAATGAGAGGAGACAAGCATGTTGGCAGGACACCTTTTAGTAACTTTTATATAAAAAGTTGTTTTTTACAAAATACACTTTTTAGCAATTTAGAAAAGATGCTAACATAAATTAAGATAAAATTTGTATCTTAATGGGAGGAAAAAAAGGGTGTTAGCTGCTGAAAAGTTCCTCCTTGCTTACTTTACCTTCTGCTTCCTTTCCTTGCTAGGGAAGAAGAAGAAGAGGAAGCTGTGGGTCAGGTGGGTTTCCGCCCATGAGGAGTGGGGTCTCTCGGTTTCCTTCCTTCCTTCCTTCCTTCCTTCCGGTGCACTGCACGCGTCTTCTCCATTTCCCATCACATTTCACACGCCCGCACCGCCATTCCCCTCTACAAATACCTCCTCCACCTTCCCCTTTTCCTCCCTTCTCACACTCCAATCCATCCTCCCTCTCCACCCTCCAGGCTCCAGCTATGTCCGCCTCGCCCGAGTTCTACAGGCCCTCGCCGCCGGCCTTCTCGCCCTCCTGCGCCGCCGGTACCAGTACCACGGAGGTCGACGAGTACAGCTGCTGCCGGACGCCAACGCCGGGAATCAGGGAGCCAGCCACCTGCCCGCCGGCGCCCCGGAAGCCCAGGCCGGTGGCCTGCAGGAAGCTCCTCTTCGACCCAGCTCAGCAGCAGGGGAAGGGGAAGGCCATCAGCCTGCGTCTCGACGAGCTGGAGCGCCTCTTCCGCCCCATCACCAATAATGCCAACCTTCACCTCCAAACCAACAAGCCCACCCATACCTGACCTCACTGCACTTCAACTTCATTCATCCGAGTGCATACTAGTACTATTATATACTAAATGCTTCTTCTTCTTCTTCTTTGGATAATCAATCTCTTTTCGCTTTAATTTCCTCTTACTACTAGGATTAGTAGTAGTAGGATTTTAGTCTAGGAGTAATCGTTACCGCCACGAGCTGCAGTGTTGTATTTGTATGTATGTATGTATCAGCAATCAAGCCAAGCTTCACGTAAGATCGAGCAGTGATTTCAGTCAGTATGTATGCTCAAAATGATTTAGTTGTACAATGAATCAAAAGCTTAATTTGCTTACACTTATGTAGTATACTCCTGTCTAATGATAAAATTATTACTATTAATTGGACTACTTCCCTTCTTAAGACCAAATCTTGGGCGTCCCCATTCCATTTCCAATTCATTATTACACTGTCAAAATTACTTCCTTTTACCCCTTTCGGCCCGGTCAACATAGACTCCCCAGCCAGCCAGCCAGCTTTGACTTCAAACTGGGAGGGGGCCCCGGTGGCGGTGAGGCAGCCAAGAACGGATGACTTTGACGGTTGACTTGCACTCAACCTAGTCTGGACCTTTTGCATTTCAGCAGCATTTCAACCTGGTGGATTGCACACCACCAAACCTGATGCTACTCCAGCTGTGGATTAGGTTGCGGGGGACGACCTAACCCAACAAAGTGGTTCAATTCTGGTCATCAATCATCATGGGAGACCCAGAGACCGACCTCATCACTTCGGGAGCAACTGTCCCAAACAAAATTAATTTGTCTTCCATTCACGAGTCAGCATTAATAACATATATGTTACACAACTTTGTAACCTGTTATGTTAATTAACAGCCCTTATTACAGTCTAACAGCCTTATTAATTCTACCTTGTTATACGGCCACAGTGTTACTATGAGCAAACGCATATTGCTCGTCTTATGCATCGTTTGTTTACAGCGACGACTCGTGATTACTCATGAGTAAACCATTTACAGGGTTGATTTGAACTAATTAATTAATAGTATTGACATGGCGACCCAAGATGATAACATTTGGAAGCTCCGTCTACTCTGTTCATCGGGAAGCTCCATGATCTGTTGTTGATCATCAGCAGGTCTTCCCTGTTGCACAGCGAGCCCAAAACGAGTCGATAATCCAATGTCAATTCTGCAGATTAGTGCAGTCCAATCCGAATGATATGTTCATGCATAAGCATAATCAGCAAAACCCCTGCAACACAATACTAGTAGTCTGAATAAATTTCAACTTACCTCTATCGCTCAACGTACTGTTCCAAGTACTCTCTAATCATCAGCCTTTCCTCCTTCGTAAGATCGGGATTTTGACCAGTCAAACGCTCCCTTAATTCTCTCTCTTCATCGCTGGTACCATCCCTGGAGACCTGCAATGAAGACGTCAAGTTACGTTATCCTATCCAACACGTCCACAGATACAGGGAACTAGGGAGCTGGGAAGTAACTCACCTGGACGTAGTTATTCACATGGCCATCAGCATTTGCTTTGGTCTTCTTCTCATTGTCATTGCACACCCATTTGCCGTCCACTATATATTTGTATTCATACCTTCCTTCCTTCGGGAAACACAAGGCAAATGTATAAGGAAAAGTGAGTGTGAAGTTAGCTACTGTAAAATCGAGTCCAACTGTGTAACAGATATGGCAAATCAATAACTGTAAAGGGAAAGGACCAAAACGATTGCCTCCAGTGTCAACATATGAGATTAGGATATCCCAAATACGGTTCAAACTAAGGTTCTCTAGTTACAGTCTTTCAGAACCCTCGGTTCAAATCCTCAAGTATTCCTCAAACGTAAAGACTTTTAGATGATCCAACTAGAAGTTACACGTTGGTGGCATCCGGCATCTACTATACAAGCACTAGAATGATGAGTGATAAAAAATAAAGTCTAGAAATTGATAATATAATGCTGATTTTGATACTCACAGGCAACTCCCTCTCAAGATACCAAGCTCTTTTCTCCTTGTTGTATGTCAAAGGAATTATCTGAGTAAGCAGAACAAATGCAAATCATAAACAGGAAATCAATTAAGAATGCCTTCTGCAAAAAAAAAAAAGGTGCTAACACCACAGTTAGCTTCTATTACACTGGAAAGTAAACTTAAAAAAGTTCTTTAAAAAAAACTCCACCGAGTGGATGAGTTTTCGACATTAATATATCTACCATAGTTGGCACAAAAGCATACCTGTCCCCACCCGACATCAAGCCCAGAAATTTCAACAGAAGAACAACTATCACTTTCCCACTTCAAAGTGATGGAATTCTTTGATAAGCCTGTCAGCTAAACATTAAGAGAGTCATCACTTAGCACAAAATTGTACAAGCAGTGCCTTTTATCTTAACCATCATAACTACACACTGAGGGAAAAAAAAAGAAATATTGGTGAGTGTTCACTTACAATGTCAGCAGTAGCCAATTTAATGGCTTCCAACTTTGGAAAGCAAGCTCGTTTACTCTGCAGAAGAAACATATGTTCAGGGGAAGCAAGTAGCATAGTAACATAACTAGTAGCAATGTGGTAACAGGACACCAGACCACCAACAGACTTTACTTTGTAAGATAGTTGTGAGAGATGTACACACAGGCAACCTGTTGGTATCCATTGGTATTACCAGTGCACACAAATTATAAAAACAAAATTATTTTCCCACACACATTGTTTTGTACTGTTCTAAACAGTATAAGATACCTGTAGTAGCTGATGCCCTTCATTAAGACTGTAGCCAAGAATCCAGAACATATACGCCAACTGAAAATTTATATAATGGTATCAGGATCAGAATATTGCTGCTCTCAAGATAATGGACACCATCAAATCATAGAGGATCCTGATACTATAATCATCAATCCAGCGTGAAACTTGGACAGGCATCAGCAATATCATGAGAGTGAAAGTCAGTTGTGATACTATTGGATTATTTAAGTACTATAACATTGTGCAAATAGAACAATTTACCGACTATACCTGTGATGATTATGTTATAGTCTAGGACTCACTAGACACTAGTTAATGTTCATTATTTGGGAATGTATATATGTGTTTTCCATTTTTCTTCCCTTTTTGTGGGTGGGCCAACAACTAACTGAACAGGAAAGAAGAAGACAATATTATAATGTAAACCTAAACCTATTATAAGAATTCTTGGGAAACAAAAAAGAAAAGACCATGGAAACCTACTGTCACAGCAGGAGCTCTCCCAAGTCCAGCGGTACAGTGTATATATGTTACCCCACCATTATGGTTGACAAGCTTGTGCAGTTTGCTAATCACAGCAGGAAGCCTCAATCGCAAATCAAAAGCATCAAAATCCCTGGTGTAATTAAACATTATGCCACTTTAAGACTTTGAAAATATGGACAGAACAGACAATGGAAAAGGCATTCAAGTCAATGCAGGAAAAGTTACATTTGACAAATAAATGCTGATTCAAGGAAAGATGAATCATCTATTCCAAAAATAGAAGAGCATAGGAATTATAATTGGAAAGAGAAGGGGGAAAAGAGATAGACGTTCAGATCATGCCATCTTGTAGACATTATTAATGAAAATAAAGGGATTTCTATTGCATTTGACATAGACTACACCAAATCACCAAAATTCTTAGTTTCTCAAAGTAAAACGAAGTTATAGAACTTTAGGTACCTAATTTCGGCACGACAGTGCTCTATATCTTTACATTGTAGACAATATTCTTGAATGGCACAGATGTCAACTCCAAAATATCTGAACTGGTTAAGGATGGAATACAACTATTCACTGAAAGAACACATTGGGCAGCAATGGAAACAACAAGCAACTATGCTGTCAGTATAAAATAGAACTATTTTTATGAGATGTACAATATGCATTGTGCTGAATATCATAGCTGCAGAAGAAGTACAGTAGCAGGGAAGTGAGGAGCAAATGTAATTGTTCAATAGAATTATGGTTATTGTCCAATAGCACAGTAACATAATTAGGAAGAAGGCATGCTGACATAAAAGCACTCCCTATTCCAATAGTTATTTTGATAAAAAGCCATCACCAGAATTTTATAATTCTCTTCGATATAGTTGGTGTGATTCACAGTAAGTGACAGCATACATTTCAAGAATCAAGAGGCTCAAATTCTCTAAACCAGGCAACATAATTGGCATGCTCCTTTCTTTTTATAAGCATGATGAGAAAAAAAAATCAATAATAGGGATACTCAAGGTCTGGATCTTGCTGCAGGCAGAATACTGTTTTTACACCAATGTCCCTAAGTTTATCAACATCAAGTGGGCTCTGCACATGAATGCAGCTAATCAGACAGAGTTAAGAAGTGTTTTTTTTTCCTTCTGTAAATTGGTTGAGATAGATGATATTTGAGAACCTGTAAGCAGGAGCCCACGATCAAGTCTGGGCGTATGAAATTGTAGTTCATTCCAAGCTCATGTCTATACGTCAACACTAGAAATGATTTAGAAAAAAAGGAAATGATCTCAGGAGTGATCAATGATAGACAGTAATCCAGTAAAAGCTTAGTGAATAGTACAAGCCTGTCCATAAATATGGTCACAACCATTGTCCTCAAAGAAATAATATTTCAACTGTTCGGTGTAAACTATAAAGTTGTATGAAAATCTTAAGACAATGGACAAGCAAGAATACTTTTAAGATAAAAATCAGTGGCAGAACAATGTTTGTACACATGACTAATGCACCCTCTGCAAGGTCAATTGTTGGAAGAAGGGGAAGGTAAGAGTAAGAAAAAAAATTGTGAATGCGTCGTGACTTGTTCATGAGGAATGGAGAAAAATGACACATAAATGCTACTTCCTCCATTTCACAATGTAAGTCATTATAACATTTCTCACATTCATATTGATGGTAATGAATCTAGATAGGTATATATGTCTAGATTCATTACCATCAATATGAATGTAGGAAATGCTAGAATGACTTATATTGTGAAACGGAGGGAGTAAGTAAAACAAGCATGTGAGTTTGCACCGACAGACACAAAAACACACCGGTGGCACAACACTTTGATGGTGACATCTACATGATGTTAGTGCATTTCCCCATTTATCATCTGGGTAAGGAACCATTAAAGTCAGCGAGCAGCAGGTCGAGTACAATCCGACAAGTCGTGGTACAGCTAACATGTAGTATTGATTGCAGGTAAGGCATAATGGGTCTTTACCTGCTCCCATAGCTTGCGTCATGTTGGTGCTGTACGTATCGGATTTCTCCGTGCCCGCCTCCACTGCGCCACTCTCGGCGCTAGAAGTAGACGCCCCGGATGCCTGGAATGTTTACAGGACAAGGTTTACACAATGGGGTGAAACATGCAGGCTGCACTGCAGCGGATTCTATCATATGATAATTATTATTGTCGGGGATTTGACGAGTTAACTGCCTCTAATCTCGGGTAGATCAATTCATATGCAGGTGAAGGGAATGCTTACGGTTTTGACAGTGTTTGATCGGCGACTCCCGCCACGAACCATCGTCTAGTCATCATGGACATCAAAAAGAGGAACAAATAAGGGAGCCGATCCATCAATAATAGGGGAAAAAACAAGGACGTGAATGGAATGGAATGGAAGAGGGGTCACCAGATTGAGCGGCGAGGGCCGCCTCATGGACCTGGATCCCACGATTGGAGGCTCCCTGGGCGAAAACGAGGAAATCCAGCAGTGACGAACAGGCGAAACAAGTGTCGAATCGAATCGAAGCGGGGAGGAGGAGGAGGCGCCGGGGCCTCGGCCACCGCACTCACTTACTTGAGCAGGTTCTGGAGGCAGTTCATGGCTTCCCTCCCGTGCCCTGCCCGCGCGGGCGCGACGGCGAGCGAGGACGCCGAGGCCGAGGAGCCCAAAAATATCTCGCGTTGGCGTTGGCGTAGGCGAGTCGAGAAGGAAGGAAGGAGATACTAGATGGCTTTCGCAGTCGCCGCGAAGAGGAGAGAAGAAGGGGGCCGGGGGCGAGACGAGAGGAAGAGGATGTGAGGTGAGGTGGGTGGACCCGGTGTAGTGGGCTGGTGTTGTGTGCGTGTCGCGCGGGTGATGGGGGCGGTTTATAGGCCGTGTCCACGGAGTTGCGATGCTGCGATGGGGATGGTTCGACGTGGACCTTTGGCTCTTAGCTAAATCGAGTGGGCCCCACTTTTAGCCTTTTCCTTTTTGACCCCTTCTACGGAAGTGATCGGACGGCGACGCCTCATGCACGCTACGGCAATCCGACGGCTAGCGCTCGGGACAGCTGGCGCGACCTCCTCCGTTGGTCGGGATCACATCTCCATCTCATCGGTCATCACCATTCACCAACGTGGTTTTCTTGGGACACCGGCGCGTGAGCGTGACGGCATCCATCATGTCCCTCGTCCTACCATTTTCCAGAAAGGAAAAATAAAAAACAATCAGTATCGTCCGTGTAAATTGGTTTCGTGCACTCGTCATCTAATCTAAGAGGGGTGTAAAGTATTAGCGTGTCACATCGGTTATTATACAGGGTATCATATGGGGAGTTCAGACACTAATAAAACTAATTACAAAATCCGTCAGTAAATCGCGAGACAAAATTATTAAGCCTAATTAATCTATTATTAGCAAATGTTTGTTGTAGCACCACATTGTTAAATCATGGAGCACTTAGGCTTAGAAGATTCATCTTGTAAATTAGTCGCAACATGTTCAATTAGTTATTTTTTAGCTTATATTTAATACTTTATACAGGTGTTCAGATGTTCAATGCGACAAAGTGAAAAATTTTAGGGTGGGATCTAAACATGGCCTCATTTATTAACGCAGTTGTTTACACATAATGTTATAACCTTATTAACACGCTCATCAATAGTTGTAGCTAATGTGACGTGTCGTGATAGAGGAAAAGATAAAGACAGTACGTCATGTGAACGTACATCATATAACTAATGGTATAATGATTTTTTTTTATTATGAAAAACCATGGCTCAAAAGAAATATGTTATGCCTTTAAACTTTAAAGCTTTACCATTTCACAACCTCTCAACAAACTTAAGTTACATAGTAGTAACATGTAGTTAGAGAAGCTACCTACATCATGTTCGATAACAGACAATACAACGTGATAGTATTTGGTGGTAATGGATGCACCACTTTACAAAGGCTAACTACTCCTTACAAAATTCTTACAAAGTTTACGCTTTTATGTTATTTGTTGTATGTGATGACACAATTGAGCTACTACCTCTAGTAGAAGTTTGAATTACACGTAGTTATATTAGTTGCTACGACTACATAGCCACAACCAATATAAAGTATCAACGCTGCTAGAAGGCTGTGTTCAGATGAGATGGTTGTGGCTGCATAGCGCAACTGTTGTAGCACTTGCAGTAGATTTTGTGCTGCTAGTACTGTTGATATAGCCAGCAGCAGCCTAACAGTTGCAATATATAGCGCAAGCAAACACATACAAAGTTAATATTTACTCCCTCCGTTTCAAGTCATAACACGTTTTGACATTGCTCAAAGTCAAACTGGTTTAAGTTTGACTAAATTTATAGACAAATATAGTAATGTTTATAATACTAAATTAGTTTCATCAAATCAAAAATTAAATATATTTTCATAATAAATTTGTCTTGGGTTGAAAATGCCATTAATTTTTTTTTACAAACTTGGTCAAACTTAAAGCTGTTTGACTTTGTCCAAAATCAAAACGTCTTATAATCTAAAACGGAGGGAGAAATAGCTAAGGCACAATTTCATATGTCCATGATAGGTATTCCGTTACAATGAACTATGTAAGTATGTGAAAAATCTACTAGAGTAATAAATTCACATATAGATTACCAAATAAATTCTCTAACAAGAATAGGTGTTCGGAAGATGTGAACTCATGGACGAATTTTATCCAAAATAACCGCGGACATATTTTGTCTAAATTACTCCTGTGGAATAAAAGATTAATATATGTGATGCATTATGAAGATAGCATAATAAATTAAGATTTATTAGTTGAAAGGACTTGTTAAATGATCAAAAGATTCATCGGAATAACTAGTGGTAGTGGATTTGTTATCCGATACTCCCTCCATACTCGTAAAGGAAATCGTTTATGATAATGTTTAAGTCAAACGTTATGAATATAAATCATGAATAACTCTCAAGTTGTTGAGTTTGAAAATATAATAGTTATATGAATAGATTTGTTTGAAAAATACTTTCATAAAAGTATACATATATCACTTTTCAATAAATAGTTTTATAGATATAAGAGGTCAAGAGACCGTGTCGCTGTCCAAAACAACTTTCTTTATGAGTACGGAGGGAGTACGACTTTTTTTACGAGTACGGAGGGAGTACATAATAAAGATGACAAGAGGCTGGAATTATGCATACTAGTAGTACTAATTGTGATTATATATGGAGTATTTAATTAAGCATGAACTAAGAACTCACTTAATTAATTATAATCTCTAGTTAGTACAATTAATTAGCGAGAAGAAGGGAAGGGAAGGGAAAGGAAAGGCAGCTGAAGCTAAAAGTCAAGAACAGCGCAGCAACCGCCTATGGCCATGGCCATGAGAGGAGATCCCAAGCAGCGGAGAGCTTCAGCTTCAGCTCCCCACGGCGGCGCCGCCCACCACGTCGCCGACAAGCTCAGGAGGCACTCCACCTTCCTCCTCCTCCTCCTCCTCCTCTGGTTCGCCCTCTCCCTCTACCTCTTCCTCTCCGCCACCCCGCCGCCCCCACGCCCCGCCTTCCTCCCTTCCACTTCCACCCCCCGCCCCGCCCTCCGGATCTACGTCTACGACCTCCCCGCCCGCTTCAACCGCCACTGGGTCGCCGCCGACGCGCGCTGCGCCACCCACCTCTTCGCCGCCGAGGTCGCGCTGCACGAGGCGCTGCTGGCCTACGCTGGCCGCGCCGCGCGTCCCGACGACGCCACCCTCTTCTTCGTCCCCGTCTACGTCTCCTGCAACTTCTCCACCGACAACGGCTTCCCCTCGCTCTCGCACGCCCGCGCCCTGCTCGCCGACGCGGTCGACCTCGTCCGGGCCCAGATGCCCTACTGGAACCGCTCCGCCGGCGCGGACCACGTGTTCGTCGCGTCGCACGACTTCGGCGCCTGCTTCCATCCCATGGTCAGCTTCGATCTCTTCTCCACTGGTTGCGTCTGCGTTAGGCGGACTACTTACTAGATGATGCATGATATTTCTTGAGCTTGTAAGATGCAAGTTGCTTGCTTGCTTCTTGTTGCTATCTATCTAAATGGCATAGGAGCTGTTCGTGATAATCCACTTTGAATTAGGGGTCAATGCCAAGTCCAACCTAGCTCTAGGGCAAGTAATCCAGTTCTTTGATCCCAAATTCAGGCCAATTGAAGATTCATAGGCATCGGCTCTTGCCCTAATTGAGCTTGGCCGAACATATTTCTCACCCCAAGCATCAAAATTCCTCTTTTGCTGTCAATGGAGCTTAGTTCGTTGGGATTGAATTCAACACAGAAGTTCACCATCCATTGCATTGCATGCCTAAGAATCAACTATGCAAAGTCTTCGTCTATGTTCTCACTTGTCGCAACTCACAATGCAACTTAGTTGTTTCAGAATTCACAGTTTTGCTGATCGCCTTCTGATTCAACGAAAACACCCCCACCAAATGAAATTTCAATCTATTTGATCAGGAGGACGTAGCTATTGCGGATGGCATACCGGAATTCCTCAAGAGGTCAATCCTGCTACAAACGTTCGGCGTACAGGGCACTCATGTGTGCCAGGAGGCGGATCATGTGGTAATCCCGCCTCATGTGCCTCCGGAGGTGGCCCTCGAGCTACCTGAGCCAGAGAAGGCACAAAGGGATATTTTTGCCTTCTTCCGGGGCAAGATGGAGGTCCACCCCAAGAACATTAGTGGGCGCTTCTACAGCAAGTAAGCATATACTGCAAACCCTCATTTCGGTTGCTTCATCTAGCAATTATCCCAAATGGGCTAGCAAGGAGATCGTTTTTTGTTTGTGTGTTCCTCAGGTTCTGTCTCACTTTAGTTGTGTCTTCTAAAAACTCCGATCGCATGTTGCTGATTTTAGACTTCTAGATCTGTTCATAACAATATAGCTCAAAAGCAGTCAGTACTACACAGGGCTAATAATAAATATCATGGTTCTGCAATATAAAATGTTATTTCTTTAACTGGTTGGCAAAATTCAAAGACAAACCTTAGGTTGAGGTATCATCCATAACCACTATAGTTTCATCAGTTCCACATATGGATAGCTGAATCCTGAACAGAAAATCAAACTTCATTAGGTCACAGTTACTAGCTCTTACCTTTTACATTCAACAGGAAAGTGAGGACTGAGCTGCTACAAAAGTACGGAAGGAATCGCAAGTTCTACCTTAAGCGAAAGCGGTATGGTAACTATCGATCAGAGATGGCTCGCTCCTTGTTCTGCCTCTGCCCACTAGGATGGGCTCCATGGAGCCCACGGCTCGTGGAGTCGGTTCTCCTTGGCTGCATTCCTGTCATAATTGCCGATGATATACGCCTGCCGTTCCCTTCTGTACTACAGTGGTTAGACATCTCGTTGCAAGTGGCTGAGAAGGATGTTGCAAGTCTTGAGATGGTGCTAGACCATGTTGTAGCGACCAACTTAACTGTAATACAGAAGAACTTGTGGGACCCTGTGAAGCGGAAAGCACTGGTTTTTAACCGTCCGATGGAAGAAGGAGATGCCACATGGCAAGTGCTGAGGGAGCTTGAGATTTTGCTAGACCGTTCTCAAAGGAGGCATGTTGAATCATGGAAGAGGTGAAGACCACAGAGGGGAGGGATCTTTCCCTACTTGCTGAAATGTGGCATGTGATCAGTCGCAGCTGTGACAACAATGACGTGCAGCTTGCACATGCCACTCAACTGACAAAACAAATCAATATTTGATCGACACCATCCATAGCAAGGACCTTCTCCATGAGAAATTCAGAATGCCAGTTTCTCACATTCAATCATATTCTTGAATGGTGAACTGTGTAGTTGGCAATTGACTAAGTAATTTGAATGTGCAATCAGAGAAGCGCATTCTAGGCTAACAAGTTGGCGAGCTCTGTGCAGGGAATTAGTTTATTCTTTATTATTGGGAGAAATGTGAATCTCCTTTTTTTTTCTTGAGAGAGAGAGAGATTAAAATTGTGTTATAGAACGATGATCTGTGAAGGTCTTCGGATATGTTTGCAATGTTGTACTATTGTATACCCAATTCTTTTAAAACAGAAAGGTGTTCTTTTGAACACATGGTATCAACAAAACATAGCAAGGGATCCAGCAGGTCATCAGAATTCTGGACTTGAAGAATTCTAAACTCTGATTCAACACATGATCTCAAAAATTGTTGTCTGAACGCTTTGTTTGGACAAGCTGGGCCAAAGAAAACGATTGGGATCGGGGAAAGAAAATCGGTAGGCACAAAGGCACGCGCTTCGTGTCTCATGATTTGATAATTCCAATTTTTCATTGGCAATAACCACATAAAACCATGTAGCAAAAAGGCACAAATTTCTTTTGCTAAACTCAGAGCAGACAATAACCTGAAAATGTGAAATCTGTGTCGCGATCCTCCTTCCTCTCAGCCTTTATACAGTCTACAGTTTTTAGTCACAACTGAGTTGCAAAACACACCTGCAAATCGGCAATGAACAACACCGGATAACTGCCTCTCAGGTCCAAACAAAGCTGATGATTGGATACTTTTGCTGTATGTGATCCCTTCTATTTCAACATACTGTTGGATTCTACAAAGTTTCTTCCCTTATCAGAGAGAAGTATAAAGCATTACTGCTTGAACACCTCGCCGAATTCTGAGCAAGAGAACTCTTAATCACGATAGTAACAAACTAAGTCTTGCGCAATAACAGTGCATACAACTATTCCCAGCCAGTGAGAAATCCCTCAACTTCATGCGAGCGATATCTATATCAGAGCAATGAAGTTGCCCGATTCAAGCAAGCAAAGTTGTGGTCAAAATAAAATGAAGCAGAAAGTGACACTAGTCTGAACCCTGAATGAACATTCGTCCATTGTAGCCAGGAAAAGGAATTCAAGTCAACGAGTAACTGAAACAAGTGTTACAAATGAAAGATTTGTGATAGAAAAATGAGTCCAGTATACCGAAGGGAACACAAAATTCAGTACAACTTCAGCTAAAAGACACGACATGGATTGACCATAGAATGATTATTTGGAACGGAAGCAGAAGATTTTCAATAATTACCAATGTGGTTTTCAGTTTACATGTCGTGAAGTGACATTAACGGCCACTGAATTGATAGAGCCACATAATAGCACAATTGCGGATCCACCAAAGTGAGATACACGGTTTTTAATGTGCTGTAGTGACCATAAAGCATAAATGGCTACCCTGAAGTCTGCAGGTAGCAACCAAATTTGAAATGCACAGGTAAATGCATAGTTTCATATGGATACTCAAGAGCACACACCCTTGCAAGGAGCGTCCTTGCAGCGGCAAACAGGCCTCCCTGAAAGTTCCCATCCATTAAATCCACGTTCAAGGACCATGATGTTCTTTACATCTGAATCTTCATCAGCCTCTGACAAATAGTCCAGATACATTTGCGCACAAGATGGGCCACGCACCTGCAGGTTTCCAAAAGAAAAAAAAACAGTGGAAGTGTCTTAAATTTTGGTATGAAAGAACACAATTGACCAAAATCCGAATATAGGAGGAAACATAGCACATATGGCTTGGTTTAGGTTTCTTATTGCATTTCCATTGCTGGACAACCGTAAGTGCATTTACCAAGAAGCATAGTTAAGAGTACATCATATTGTTTTATGATGAAAAATTGCAGCTCTTTTCCTGCTTAATACACTGATATGCAAGATTTTTACCTACCTGTGGAAAACTATTGCAGGAACTCAGGTAGAATATTTAAATGGCTAGATTACTGTTTTGGCTAGGAGATAAGGATGAAACATCTGTATTAGAACCCAATACATCCACACCAGCGTTTTATGAGTATTTATTACTACTCCCTCCGTTTCAAAATGTTTGACACCGTTGACTTTTTAGTACGTGTTTGACCATTCGTCTTATTCAAAAAATTTAAGTAATTATTTATTCTTTTCATATCATTTGATTCATTGTTGAATATACTTTCATGTACTCATATAGTTTTACATATTTCACAATTTTTTTTTGAATAAGACGAATGGTTAAACATGTGCTAAAAAGTCAACGGTATCAAACATTTTGAAAGGAGTATATAGTTGCAACCCAGAAAGAGGGAAATAAAAACCATCCTCATGCCACTTGCTGCTACAAACAGGAGATCAACAGAGGAGGAAAGGATATACTGTTTGTTCAAGAGAAACAGAATGTGCAAGAGATAAATTAGAGTTGTTCAAATGGAAAGCAAGCAAGCAACAAAAGATAACTTGAGGACTTGAGTTTCCAAGCCCTTTGATGTCCGCTCTAACTAAATCAGAGAGTTCATGAAGACAAGTTCAACCACAGGCTTGTGAAGCTCAAGTGGGTGGTTGCATGGCAATGGAACATTTTGTGAGATACGAAGCCACCTGATGCTGAGCCGCAGATTGCTTACAAGTGATGTTGAATAATACGAAATGAAGAAAAAACAAAAGAAAAGAAAAGAGAGGAGAGTAGTGAACCTTGCTGAGGGCACAGTGGAAGACGAGGGTTTCCTTGCCCTTGGTGGCCTGGGCCAGCTCCGGCAGCCGCTCCCCGAAGCTGTCGCTGGCGTAATGATGCGAGCCGGCGATGTGCGCGTCGTAGATCCTCTCTTCGTCCCTTCCGCCCAAGGAATTAACCCCAAAACCAAGTCAAGTCAGCACTGGAAAGCAGGCGCACAGCGATCGGCAGCATGGGTACCTGACATCGACGACGGCGATCCGGGGGTCCCGGAGCATGGGGACGAGCTGCGCCGCGGAAACGTAGGAGACGCCCCTCGCCATCGCCGCCGCCGCCGGCCGTGTGAGCGATGGCACTCTGTGTTTGATGGGCCGAGATAGATTTGAGCCCACGATGTAGTAGTTATCTTCTTCGTCGAAAGAAAACTCGGCCCGTTTAATGAATATACGTAGATACTACATAGACGACGCAATTAACTTTTACACATACGTTTATTAAAAAAAATCCGACCCATTATCAAAACGAAGCCTTAATTAGCAAAGCATCATCCATACGTAGTTACCGAAACGAACTCGTATATTTGTATTTGTATAGATATAGAGGTCGAAAATGTAAACCTATTCGGAATGTAATCATCTTCTCTCTAATCTAATACACACAGTACGGTAACCTTAATCAATTTGCTGTCAAAGGAAGAAAAGTAATTAGAGACAGCAAATTAAGCTATCATATAGGAGTACTTTGCTTGCAGCTTCCAAGTAGTGTATTATTGAACGGATCGGAGGGCAAAAAAAACAACTTGTCCTCTCTCTCTCTCTAAGTTGTTGGAGTCCGAAACGATATGCCGTCGCCGCCGTGGATGGAGGCGGAGCAGCAGAAGGACGAGACGGCGGCGACGGCGACGATGGAGGAGGGACATGGTCTTCGTCGTCACAAGCGGCGGCGACTCGTCGGCCAACAAGCTGCTACGACGCAGCTGGTTGAAGAAGTTGATGATCAGCAGCAGCAGCAGCAGGAGGAGGAGGCGCCGACCTGCAGCATTTGTCTGCAACCCTGGACCTGCAATGGCGACCATCGCATCTGGTATACTCCCTCCGTTTCACAATGTAAGTCATTCTAGCATTTCTCATATTCGTATAGATGTTAATGAATCTAGACATATATATATCTATCTAGATTCATTAATATCAATATAAATATAGAAAATGTTAGAATGACTTATATTGTGAAACGGAGAAAGTATATTATACGTTCCTGCATGCATGACACATCTCAATTGATGAGCTACTCGATCGATTGCTAATTAGTAGTTTGATTTTTTTTAGTAATTAGTAATTTGATAAGTAATCAATACTATATGTTAACTGCATGCATTTCCTCTTTCAGTTGCATTCCCTGTGGACATGTTTACGGCAGATCGTGCCTGGAGAAGTGGCTGGTACATGTTCTTCAACGCGGCACTGGACAAGCAAAGGTAGTGATTACTACTCCACTAATTAATTAGTTGTGCGTTGCCAGCAACTAATCAGCTAGTGACTATACTGAGCATGCAGTGTCCTCAATGCGGTGAAGAGTTGGAGCCGCACCGCATTACCAACCTCTACGCGCCAGGAATCAATATATGGGACGGTTGCTGCAAAAACCATGCGAATGTTAGTTACTTACTTATATAAGTACTCCATATAATTATTAATTACTACTTTATTTATATATAGATATTGTCAATCAATTAGAGTAATTAATTAGTTGTTGTGCACGTACGTACAGGAGGTAGGAGAGTATTACAACCGTGAGTACGAGGGGCTGAAAACACAAATGGAGTCGACGATCGCTAAACAAGGCAAGGATTTGGAAGAATTGGATGTGCTCGTGAAATCGGTGGGCAGGCAGTTTGAGAGCCTTGAATCAAGTCTCAAGACATTCCTGCTATCAATGACGGAGCGGATGAAGATGATGGCTACACAGCTGCCTGCAGCCATGGATCTCGTTCAATATTTGGAGAAGGATGTCCATGATATCATATCCGCGCTCTCCCAAAAACCTCCATATCTAGCTCGTCTCATGCATCCATCTACTGATCGATATATGCAAGCATGTTTTTGCTAGCTTCGTGTGGTGGGGTTCGTTAATTTAATTTGTAGAGAGCGCTGATGTAAGAAAATTACTTGCAAGTGAATTCTCGTTTGGCTCTATAATTGGCTAATAGCTATAGCCTGGGTGATTTTCGCTCCTCCGGCCTACTCTGTTTTTATTACTTATATAAAACACATTATAAATACAGACACTCACATATTAATTTATACTTCAATAAGTTATATTATACTTAAATGATATTATTGTCGAAACTATATATACTTAGATAATATATTATTGCAAAACTGTATATTTATATGGGTTTTGCATCCGAGAAGTACGATCTCCATCATCACGCGCACTTCCTTTAAAAGAAACACTGTAAATTTTGTGATATTTCGTTTCAGGGTGTATCTTGTCTATCAACAGAAAACAGACAATATGCCACTCAATTCGAGTGGTTTTGATAAAAAGCCACTTAGTAGAACGTACATGATAAAATTTCACTCATTATATTGTCTACCAATTAAAATGCCACTTTTGAGGGCTGGACGGCCGCCGACAATGGGATGACGGGGTGGAGGGAGGAGTAGGAGGCGACGAAGCAACAGTGTGGGCGTGGACTGCCCTCCGCCCTCTGTAGCTTATGGGAGGAGTATCAAGGGCACGGCCTCCAGTGTTGCCCACGCCACATGTCACCCGCACGCTGGAGAGTTTGCTAAGAGGTGGTGACAGCAGGAGAGATAATGGGGGTGAAGGTAGGAGGAGAAAGCGATGACACACGCGGGCGGGGGTGGGAAGATCGCGCTCTTTGGCTCCCTAGAGGAGCAACGAGGGCGTGGCTTCTAGTGCCGAGTGGCCTAATGTGCGAAGGTTCGCGGGGAGAGGAGTCAGCAAATGTATCCGGATTTCCGTTTCTGGTTCACGCGGGATTTTCTTTTCTGTTCATCCGTTTACTAATGGAAAGTTTATCCGTTTACTAATAGAAAGTTTATGAGCAGTAAATTTGGCTTTTTAATTTAGATATTTATATGTACAAGGTTTTATACTGTTTAATACTTTTTGTGATTTTTTTAATTCATTTGAAATTTATATATGCAAAGTTTATAGGTGCAATATTTTATATGTAGAAACTTTCTATGCACAAAGTATATACGCAGGAAATATCTATGTATAAAGTTTGTATGTGTAAACTCTTTTACGTATAAATATTTTTTAGAGAGAGATTATATACTGTTGCATTTGTTTTAAATTGTATGTACAAATTTTACATGAATAAAATTTACATGTACAAAGTTTCAATGTATAAAGTATATATGTTTACAGTTTCTATGTATAAACTTTTTTATACGTATAGAGTGTAGATGTAAATGTGTTTTGGGCTTGCCAAGGAGTGGTTCGGCTAAGGCCTGATAAAAAAAAAGAAGAGGAAAAGCAGATAGAAGCCTGTGGATTGGCTTGGCCCAGCTTGCAACTTTGCACGTGAAACAAATCGGAACGAGAGGCTATCTCGAAAACAGTGGCTGATGAAACCGTTCGTCGTCTGCTAATACTCGCATACTAGACTCACCCCTCTAGTGCCGCTACCCTCTAACTCTCTCTCCACACACACTAGTCAGGGCCACCTTGGTCTGAAAACCCTCCATAGTGGCATTTTAATCTGTAGGCAAGGTAGTGAATAATATTTTGGCTTTTATCTTGTGCATTTTATTGATTGGCTTTTCATCTAAACGAATAGAGTGACATATTATCCGTTTTCTCATCTATCAATGGAAATAAAAAAGGTATTTTCCAAACAAAAAAGATGGAAATGAAGAAGGGCAATCGTAGTGGGCCGTATTTGAGGATCCGAGTTAGATTCGGCCCATGAGTTTGTGGTATCGAATTCCCACTCGGCACGCAGGACGCAGCCCAACCTTTTTACGCTGTTCATCTCTCTCTCCCTTCGCTGCCCTGCCTGCCTCCGTCGAGAAGAAGAGAGGAGTAGTTGTTGCGGTTTTGCTTTGCCCGCTCTCTCTCCTCCTCCGCCGCCATTGCCACCGATTTGCCATGGCGTCGCGCCCCCGTGGAAGGCGCCTTCCTCCTCCTCATCCGCCGCTCATCCAGGAGATCCTCGACGACGACCTCTTCGATGTAGAGGTTAACTACAGCGACGAGGAAGAAGAGGAGGAGGAGGAGGAAAGCGATGAAGAGGAGTCGGAGTCGGAGGACAACGAACCGGAGGAGGTGGTGCCGGGGCAGGAGAGTATCGGGGAGGGATGCGGGCCGGCCATACAAGCTAGGGTTTCCGGCGCCGCCGCGGAGAAGAACGCCTGCCCCGTTTGTATGGAGGCCTGGGCCTCCCAAGGCGCTCATCGAATCTGGTGAGGCCAAATTTCTGCCTTAGACCTTGTCTATTTGTTCGATTCGTGTCATGTGCCTTGCATCAATCCAAGAATATATACTCGCACTGTATGCTTTGCTAGTTGCTACTGTAGCTTTACTTCCCAATGTTCTTTTGATGCAAATTGTTGACAAGGTGCATTCTATGTGTAGTTGTATTCCTTGTGGGCATATCTATGGAAGATCTTGCCTGGAGAGGTGGTTGAGGCACAAGGGCAACACTAGCGCAACCGTATGTATGCCAATCGATCATACTACTAGCTTTTAATAACAATTTTTCACAATGGACAGGTTCTCATGCTTAACCAAATCGTCTCTTGCTATTGATTTTTAGTGCCCTCAGTGTGGGAAAAGGTTCAGACCTAAGGACATTACCAATCTCTATGCACCAGAGGTTGCAGTTCCAAATAATGATCTGGAAAAGGTTCGACTTTATTTTGTTGCTAGTTACTGCTCTCGGACAATTCTTCCATCATGAACCGGACCCTGTTTCATTCTTCAGGAAGTATTGTATCTAAGGGGGAAAGCTGAATCCCTTGGGGAAACGGTACAATTTCTTTGGGTCACCTCACCTGCATGCTCCTTTTCTCTTTATAGTTGGAATCAACAATTTTTATTTTTTCATTGAGGATAGGTGATGAAACATGAGAAATTGATAGAGGAGATGAATGAGAGATTGGTTGAGTTGACAAGTGCTCAGAAGGTATGCTGTCTCCTATTCAAACTCTAAATGATGGCAATCGTGTGCACTGATTGTTCCGGCCTCAGATAATTTATGTTGTAATTTTCATTTCACTAGAATCATGTTCATATATTTACTTGTTATGTGTGCCTTGCAGAGGCAGATTCTGTCAGAGCAGAGATTAATGAACGTTGGTAGCTCAAAGAGACAGGTAATGCCATCTAATTTTAAATTTTCCAATGGTTAATACCTGAACATTCTCATGAAACTATTTTATTCCACCGAAGAAATTGGCAGAGCATTTGGCTGGAACTACATATCTGGAGCCACCAACCTCAGTCACAGCAGATTTTAACTCTAGCAACAGTTGCGATTTTGTCTTTCAGGTTGATTCTCTTTCTAAACTTATGTATGTTATAATAATTCAAGGTGCTCTTATTCTTTTGTTCTAGTTTCCTTTGACGTGCTTTTGACATTTTGTGTACACTGAATATTTTACTTATCCATGTTATGCTAACTTGAAACATACTGTATGGTACCTGTAGTAAGTTCATGATGTAATTTTTCAAAGCTAAAATGGAGTTCAGTGGGGACTTCATGATTCATAATTTTTCTTTTCTGAATGGAACCACTACCAGGCAGCTCCTATCAGTTTAAATTTTATATAAACAAAGGGGGGAGGTTACAAAGAAACAATGTACAGATAGAACACACGCTCTAGTGTATAAGACTCTAATCCTTCATGATTCATGATTCCTTCCCAGCTTCTATGACATGTAAAATGGACAATATGTGTCAATATTGATTGATTACTCTGGAGGAAGTAGTACTTGTAAATCTACATCTTATGTTTTTGGAAGGTTGCCAAAAATCTTAAATTCATAGCAAGCATGACTTAATTTTGTAGCCATTGCTATTATTCTTTTCTTTTAAGAAAATTAGACAATAGTGATAGCATGGGAAGCTATGTTTTTCACCTTTTAGGTATTTATAATAGTTTATTATAATAAAACAGCTTATTATGTTTTATCCTTGAATTTTTGTAGTGTCAAATGTTGGACAAAAAAAAAATATTTTGTGGTGCAACTGAATCCTGCATGCATTTATTTCACACTGAAGTGAAGTGTTCCATTCTTTTCAATTGATAACCATGTTTTGTAGAAAGAATTCTTCATGGATGGACTTCGAGTCATGGCCATAGATGCATTTAACCAAACAATTCTTGCTTCTGGAAAAGCACCAGGCATAGGACAAGAACATGTTCTTTATAAGGTACATTTTTTAAATCGGTAGCTTTGCCAAATTGAATACATGTTATTTGTGCTTATCACCACCAACTTTTACAATATTCACCTTATTGCAATTCTTGTCTACAGTTTAGCATGGTTTCCCATCACGAAGCTCGGAATATACAACTTCCTCTGGATACTAAAACTGTCAGGGACATATGTATCTTACCTAGTGGCTCTGCTATTTTTACATCACTGGGCAGGAAACTATCGTCATTTAGGTTTGTCTTCAATTTAGTAGTCTGTTACTTTGTATTAGTTCTATTTTTTTTATAACACTGCATAATATTCTTAATCCAGCATGACGGCTGACCGTGTCGTTCTTCAGTGTGATTTGCCGGTAATTATTTAACCCTGCTATCCTTATACTCCTGAGAAGTTTGCAGTGAAAATGTTTGTTTCGTCCTTACTTGGTTAGCCTGTTTGGAACATTGATAAATGAAAGTTGTATCTGTTTTCAGAAAACAAAAAAAAAAAGGAAACAAAATTGTAAGTAGTGAAGATGAAGTAGCCTAATGCAGTTCTGCTACTTAAATGAGGATGCATTATTGGATGAAAATGATTAGAATCATCCATAGACAAATTGATCGAAGCACCTTCAGACAATACTTCCTGTTAATAATATTGCTTTCTCTATTACAATACCATGCAGTGTCCTGGCTGGTCATGTTCTGCGGATGAATCTTCGCGTCAGATTTGTGCTGGATTGCAGGTTAATCTTTTAGTATCTCCTGATCTGAAGATTTGTTCATGTAATCGCAAAGTTTGACATGAACCGCTTTCTTATGTACTGCAGAATGGCAATCTTATCATCTTTGATATCCGTCAAACCTCAAGACCGTTGCATTCTATGGTGGGTTTATCTACACACCCGGTTCATACTCTCCATACGGTCATTGATAACAACGGTTCTAGAAAGTTTCTCTCTGCCTCTTCTATAGGCCCCTGCATGTGGGATACTGATGGTATTCAAGGCAGGTATGCAAAAAAGTGGCAGTTTAAAGGCATTAAACTCCTATTACAGCATTACTGGAGGCGTTTTTTTTTGTTTTTTTTTTTTTGCCTTTGTGCTTTGCTGATCCTCGAAAATCTGTGGAAACATGTGGTTTGGTGGGCTGTGGTTCTCATGTTTGCCTTTGGGCTCGGTTGCAGGCCAAAGTTGCTATTGGGGACAGATAATCAACGGGTGTGCATTTCTCTTGCATGTGCCCCTTCATCAAGTGATCTATTGGTAGCTTCCTTTCGGCCAAAGGTTGAAACGTCCGAGGATGCTACAGCATCTCAAGTGTATCTATCACAAACACCAACACCCTCTGGTGGAGGGAAATTAGGGTATCATTCCTTCATCAGGAGGGCGGGGAACTCGTCATCCTTCACCGAAGATAGGACATGCAGCACACTTGTGAGCGAAATTCGCATGTCGAAATCCGCAATTATACCTTATGGAAACAACCAACATCTGTTTGCTTATGGAGATGAGTCGCTGCGTGGGGTCCGGACCTGGCGACTACCATCGTTTGAGATGCATTCTGATCTCAGCTCCCTCCAGCAACCGGTCCTGGATCTAAGGTATGCAGAAAGTTCATCCGGAGGGAGGTATCTCGGGTACCTGAGCACGGAAAAGTTGCAGGTTTTCAGAATTAGGTAGCATGTCAGGAGGGAAACTTAATTTTAGTCTAGCTTTTGCTCTTTTTTCCCTCTGACCTTTTTGTAGCTTTGCTAAACGCTAACGAACATAAATAGTTTGTAGATATGAAAGCTAGAAACAGGGCCTTTTGCTATGTACAGTCTTCCTGAAAGCAGAGAGCAGTTGTGGAATGGTAACAACCATCGCCCTGTGTTCTGAAAACTGCAGTAATGCCACTGATATGATGTGCAATACACCTGTCGTTTCCTAGCTTACTAATTCCGTGCTTGCAATGACAGTTTGACAGTTGATGCCTGTAATAAGCAAGGTTTTACATTGAGTGTGGAACTTAACCTACCGAGAGTCCAATACCATGAAAATTTTCAGATGTTTTTGGAACACATGCTTGCATTGCAGGTCGAAGTGAAATTTTGGGTGACACAGCTGCACACCTCAATCCAATCGTACACAATAATTATGATGAGGGTAATAGTAGATACGTGTTGGTGCTCGTACTACGTGGTGCACACAACACATGAAACGATGTGAAACTGAAGATGCATGGCTCAACCACTAGCACTCGGGGTAGTTGGCGTGATTCCTGGAGTAGTCCTGGCAGTAGTAGTAGACCATGGACCTCTGCTGCGCCCACCTCATGGCCGCCTTCTGCTGCGCGCTGAGCTCGCCGGTGGCGCCCGACGGCGACGCCGGCACGGGCTGGCAGCTCGCCGGCGCGGCGGCCTCGCAGCCGGCGATCTTGAGGTCTCGGTAGCGCGAGACGAAGGGCTGGTAGCGGTAGTCGGACTTGTAGCGGCCGCCGTCGGTGGCCCAGTCGGAGGCGTCCCAGATGGAGCCGTAGGCCCACATCTGGCGGTCGGGGAATGTGTTGCCGGCGGCGCGCGGGTAACGGCGGACGGGGACGTCGTCGACGAGGAAGACGATGTGGTCGGGGTTCCAGAGGATGGCGTAGTGGTGGAAGTCGGCGGTGGGGTCGAACCAGAGGTGGAACCGCATCTCCCTCCCGATGATGGCGCCGTCGCCGGTGCCGTGCACGTACACGTTCGTCTGCAGCGTCCACGGCTCCCCCGGCACCGTCCCCAGCAGCTCTATGTCGATCTCGTCGTGCTGCCCCGGGTACAGCTCGTTGTTCGACAGCTACACATATATGATAAGTAGCTTCATGAATTCACAGCTAGCAATGGCGGGCCGCCGGCCGCCGGCAATACGATCGAGAAGACAATATCTTACGTAGAAGGCGGTGTTGACGCCGGCGGTGTAGCCGGAGGGGACCTTGATGGAGGCGCCGAAGTAGCCGTTGCGGTAGGAGCGCTTGGACTTGAAGCCGCTGCCGGAGCTCCGGTCCATCCACACCGTCAGCGCCGTCTGGTCCGCCGACAGCGTCTGGTGCTGCCCGCCCCACAGGTTGTCGTACCCTTCGCCGAACGCCATCGATCGGATCGTCTTGCTCGGGTAGTATCCCGGCGATGGCTGCGCTCCTGCGCCACTAATCATATAATTACTGCACGCCACCACCACCATTATCATCATCAGCAGCAGCTGATTATTATTAGCAGCAACTGCTGGTGGCTTCTGCTCCATCGATAATCGTCCTTAATTTCTAGCTGCTGCCTACAAATAATGTCTCTTCTTCTACTGACTAGCTCCTGCTGGTCTGCAGCATCACTGCATGAGGCCGGCTTTATATAGGATCAGCTCTCCAACTTGCAAGAACCAACCACAGGTACGTAGCTCCTGCTTTAATTAATAATCGTCCATGCATGCATATATGCATGGTCACTTACATTACGTTAGTCATTAGCCGTTAGGCACAGGTGGAGACACAAAATGAATGATGAACCTTCCCTTCCCTTACTGTGGGGGCTGCCCGTGTTAGCTCAGCTCTTAATTATTTAATTTGCACAAATCTCACATCTTATAACTAATCAACACAATTGATATACATCAACTGCAAGGATTAAGGGGCTGTTGATTGATGCCATTTTCAACCATACCATTTTTTGATAATATTGTCAAAAAAAAAGAGAGCCTACATTTAGTTTGTTGCCAAACTTTGAAGAAATCTTGCCAAAATTTTAATAATATTGTTAACTTGCTAAAATTTGGTAAGGTTTATTTTGGATACAATCCGAACAGCCCCTTAATTCATTCGTTAAAAAAGTGGACATCTTTCAATACTCGTTTTAATTTATTTTGCATATATATGTATATATGTTGTACTCCATCTGTCTCATAAAAAAACAACGTAGCGGATGTGGCACATCTTATTACTACGAATCTGGACAAGCATCTATTCAAATTTATTTTCATCTAATTTAATTTTCGTTTTTTTATAGGATATAGGGAGTATATGACTTGATTTCAGAGGGCCTGGTCTGCCCATCCATCGTCATGTTATTGTCGGAGATAATATACTTTTCTAGAAGTGGCAGAAATGGCTAGGTTTCGACCACACTTTGCCTCTGCTGGGCGGTTAGGGCATTCCTCCTGATCATCCGCTTTCCATCGGTGTTAGTTGCAGCTCATGTTAATGTACTGTACCAACCAGGAGTGAACCTGCCATGGGCTTAATTAAGCACTGAATTAAAGCAGCTAATCTAAATCTTGGACTTTGCCACATCCAATAAACACGTACGTACGTACGTACGTCTTCCCTTTATCCACCGTCCTGCAGCACGCGTGAAGCCAGTACTTAACTGGAATAGATCGATAAATATAATTTCAGTCATATAAGATTAATCATTAACTAATTATAAAGTGAGTATTAGAGTCATGTATACATGCTTGCAGTCATCATGCAATAAACTCTCAACTAAATTTAGCTTCAGCGCCAAGCTAGCTAGCAGGGTAGTTGCGTTACAAATCGTGCAGCAGTCAGTGTCAAAGCATGCATGATTGATCTCGTTTCGTTGCGCCTTTGATCGATCGATTGATCACTTTGTTGACGAATTAATCGGAGAAAATTAAAAAGGAGATGATGGAGACTGAAACAGTTGAGAGCGGTTACTGGCTCGTACGCACGGCCCTTCGATATATATATATATATATATATATATATATATATATATATATATATATATATATATATATATATCTCCTTTTCGGTTTGCATCATATCAGTACTACGTACTACTGTAAGTCTGTAATATCATATCACCTAGCCTTCATTCATCTAGTGGTTCAATGCTGAAAAATTTTATACTACTTGAGAAAAGTATATTGTATATGTAAGTATGAAAACTTTGCGTTAAAAACTTAAATATCAAGTTTTACACTTAAAAAATATGATACCTTTGATATCTTTTCAAGTAATCTGTAATGTAATTATGGATCGGATAATGTTAACTACTACCTCCGTTTTAGGTTATAAGACTTTCTAGCATTATCCATATTCATATAAATATTAATGAATCAAGGCACATATACATGTGTCTAGATTCATTAACACTCACGTACACATATATGTGTGTAATGCTAGAAAGTTTTATTATAATATGAAACGGAGGAAGTAGCTTTGACGGACTCTCCTAACAGCAATTAATAGACTAAGGGAAACGACCGTTGCATGATATCGGGTGCGAAGGAAGCTATGGTCCATCTCATATCGCCCAGCAGCATCTTGGTGGAGGCGTGTTACCGACAAACTTTCATGCGAACTGAATATATATGCAGATAAGACGTATATATGTAACTGAATATGATTACACATATGTATACATAAGGTTATTATGATCAATTATAAGATCGACGTGGGTCTCATGAATTAATGCAAATTAATCATGTACGAGTATGTATATATATGACATAAGTAGTGGAATTAGCATGGAAGGTCAGTCAGACCGACCATGCATGTGCCAATGGCCCTAACTTAACTAACAACATTTTGTCAACTTATGCATGTTTTGTAAGGTCTGATCCGATCCTTTTCCTTGCTCCAATATAATTAGCTGAGAAAAACACATAAACCATGCAAGCATGCATGCAGAAACAGATACATATGCTGATATGCATGCATGTTTTGATCCACATGTACTGTAGTAGCAATGCAACCACCTGCATGCATGTACGGCACCTAGCAGCTAATATTGCTAGCTCGCCCTTTCAATTTGGACAATGACCTCTCTCCTAATTAAAGTTAACTAACAAGACTAGCTAGCCTAAATATATGAATCTGCTGATTTTTGAATACTACGTTTGATAATTGTTGATAGTTCGCTTAAAAATTTAGTATAAATATACAAATTTATCATTCGGTGATAAAATAATTAAGTTGCAACAAAAATAAATACTTTTAATAAGATGAATGGTATAAAGAGATATGTAAAAGTTAACAACGTTGTATATTTAGGAGATGATACAATCATATTTCTTTTTTGACGGAGGGAACTATATATATGTTTGCATGATATGGCATGCATATGGACGCGACATTGATCGATCGTCGGAGGCATGGCAAGCAGTACAGTACGTGTGCAATCATATGGCGACGATCGATCGAACCGCCCGGCCGGTGAGCTTAATTAATTAATTATCAATCTCTTTCATCAGTTTCTCGTTGATCTCCTTCAATTAAGCAGAATGTAATGCAGAGGTTGTACGATCCAGTCATCGAGGCTGCCGCAGTATGTGCAGGAGGACAAAAATTAGGGGATCGATCAAATCAAATTAATTGGTGGTTCTAGTTACCTTAGCTTCCTGTAGATGCATCTGTTGGTACGTACGTATTCGATGGATATATAATGAATCATATATCTCGCGTTGGCTACTAGCTTCAATTAATCAATTTTGTCCTCCCACTGTTTCATGAAATCGAGCTACATGCATGCACGCCATGCCAAACTGACTGTTAGTGTATGTTAGTTAGTATACAGTTGGTTGGTACATGAGAATATCTATATTTTTTAATGGAAAATGAGCAAATCAGTTTTGATTACTATGCACTACTAGATAACAATCATGAATGGATGGCGCTTGACCGGCCAGGGACCCATGCCACATACAGCATAACAACCTCCCTAATTTGGCCGCATTGTCCGACAAATTAAATCAAATATAATATCCCTCTCAATTTCAATACTGGCTTCTACATGCAAACTAACCAAAATTTGTTTAAGAGGTTATAAGTGCCCGTTACTCCGTTAAACAGTTGAGTTGGTGTGGTAAGTTTCGGTCTGGGCCATAATAATGGGCTAAAACAAACGAGGCAAACAGCTAATTTCAGTGGGCTTTGTGGCCCATGATAAGAAGAAGGCCGAGTTGGAATGGAGGCCCAGGCTGGGCGGCCTAACCCAGCAAGAAGGAAGCAGAGCATCTGCGTGCGTCTTCCCCACGCAGTCGTCTGCTGCTTCCGAATTCCGATCGGAGAGCAGCTGGACTCCGGTGAGGGATCATGGAGGCGGTGAAGAGCCTCCTCAAGCCCAAGCCGACGCCGCAGCAGCAGCTTCGCGAGTGGCAGCGCCGCCTCCGCAACGAGGGCCGCAACATCGATCGCCAGATCCGAGGTTGGGGTTTCATTCTTCCATTCTCTCTTGGATCTATCTGCCCTTCCATACAGCGATGATGCTGATGGTTGAATCCGGAGCTAGCGCAGATGTGCAGAGGGAGGAGAAGAAGGTGGAGAAGTCCATCAGGGAGGCCGCCAAGCGCAACGACATCGGATCGGCCAAGGTACCCCTACGCTTCCATCCATTCGATTCGATTCCACTTGTTTGCGGTTTGCTGATGCGCATTCGTGTTGGGTTTTGGTCAGGCGCTGGCCAAGGAGGTGGTGAGGTCCAGGAAGGCGGTCAACCGCCTCTACGAGAACAAGGCCCAGCTCAACTCCATCTCCATGCACCTTGGCGAGATCGTAGGTAACGAATCACCTCTCATATATTATATCTCCTCACACACACCCATCGTCCTTATGCCCAACTGTTTGAGAATCCAATCCCCCATTTTGCAATGCGCTTGCTGAAAATTAGCATACCAGCAAAGCCCTTGTTGATATAAGTTAGGAGAATATTACTAATACAACGGTTAAGCTATATCTTGTTGCTGTAGGCTCTAGTGAACCAATATCAGTTTGGGTTGTGATTGGAAGCAGGAATTCCACTGAGATTTGGATTTTTTTTTCTTCTTTTCAGTTTGCAGGAAAGAATACAATCATATGAGCATATTTAGGAGTACATGTTACAAAAACATATGTGCATATTATATTTCTCCCCCTCATATTACATTTTGTAGAGTATCATTTGTAAGTGTATTCCTTTCATCTTCCAGACTGATGTTTGTACTTACAATAAATTGCAACCTATCACCTTTCAGCTACTGCCAGGACTGTTGGCCATTTATCCAAGAGTACTGAGGTGATGAAACTTGTCAATAACCTTATGAAAGCACCAGAGGTGGCTGCCACCATGCAGGAATTCAGCAAAGAGATGACCAAGGTATGGATTATGAAATGATCACATCTCTTCCAAAGGTTTTTCTTGTCCTGTATGCCCATACTAGTTCTTACTTCCTGATTGCTGTGGTGTAGGCTGGTGTAATGGAAGAAATGGTGAACGATGCTGTGGATTCAGCGCTGGACAATGAGGACATTGAGGAGGAGATTGAAGAGGAGGTTGACAAGGTCCTCTCTGCAATTGCTGGGGAGACTGCCTCTGAGCTTCCAGACGCTGTCAGGAAGGAAAAGGAGAAGATGAAGCAACCTTCAACAAGTGAACCTGCAGAGGTAATGTCCAACGATTCAACATATCCTTCACATTTTGCAATTCTAGGGATTCTTCCATATCTCTGCGTGTTTCAAAAATAATGTACTGAGTTCTGAAATACCTTACCCGGAACTTGCGCCAATGTGCAGAGAACTGCTATTGCGGAAGCCGTCGATGACGATGACGATGACGAGCTTGAACAGATAAGGGAAAGGCTCGCCAAAGTGAGGTCATAAAAGAGTAATGATGAAAAGCAATCACTGGTTTGTTTTACTGTATTATACTCCACTTCAGAATGTATGTGTGTCATATCAGAAATAGAAACCCCTTCTTGTTATTAACAAACTGATATACCTGCAACCTGCATTCACTGATACAAAATTGTTCAATCTCAGTTGCAAGGGTAATTGTGTGCCCTGAAATTTGTCTATTCGTTGTGCGTACATACGGGTATGTTGTGACATCTGTTATAATATCGCATATCTTCCAGCTCATATATCCGGCTGAGAGCCTGAGACTTGGCAGTAACTACTTACGAAATACACGTAGTACTGAAAGCTAAATCTTGTGATTGTTGCTTGAATTATCAATGCTTATGTTCTAGATCTCCTTAAGAATGTTGCAACAACCCACCATGAAGCATTGGCAAGTATTTATTTTATTTTTTGAATTGTTTACTGCTAGTGTTTGCTTTGGCAAGAGGTCAAGAGCGCAGTAGATAATGACAGCTGACTAGCTGAGTGGTGATCCACACAAGTCTCAACTCTCAATTGGGCCAGATCGATTACACCGAGGCTACATGCCCCAGTCATGGGTCATACTCATGTGGAATTTCCATCTTTAATTGTAGGATCAAGCATAGTTCCATAAGCGAGGGGCATGATGAAAACCTTGTTATTGACAACAGGGAATTTCCATTCAAAGTTTGGTTATATGCTGCATGACACAGATTATTTTCCTGTGTGAGGGCTGTGTAGAAAACTTCAGATGCTGCATGAGCCAACCTGCCTACAATTGCAGTTGGTCTCTAATTAATCTTGTTTCCCGTTGCCGAATCCATTTTCATCTCCTTTCTCAACGTGGTTTCCTGCCATCTCCTTCAGCTATTCCATAAGGAGGACAAATAGAAAGAGAGAGAGATAGAGCGTTAGGAATATGACAAATAGCAACAAGTTTGGTTGTTTAAGTAACTTAAAATTGATAACGACGACGTTTGTTTTTTCCCCTTGTCTAAGCTCTAACAAATATTCTCATCTAGTAAAGACAACGGATAATTAATTGAAGCTAGATGTGAAAGCTCAAAAACTGCTTGTAGAGCTACTACCTTTGACAAGCTTGCCTTATGGTATCTGTAGCCCTGAAACGAACACGAGTTAACTTTGATGTCAGCTATATATAATAAAGTTGTTTAATTGCAAGGGTTTAGTTACTGCTAAAACAGAGAAAGTTGGACGTAGAGCTAGTGCAGTGCGTACTCTGTCAGTCCCGTAGATGTAATCACAGAAAGTGAAGACAGAAGAGAAGTTGCTCTGGCTGTGTCCTCCCACGAAATGGTGGTAGTCATGGTACTCCACTCCTCCATACAACGGGATATACTTGGTCGGATCGAACGGCAACTTGAACCTGCTTCAAGTAGAGTTTTCGGATAATTAAGCTAAATGCTACTAGTCTATAAACTAAGGACTAGTAAATGTTCATTAGCTATATAAATACGATCTATGTCTCAATTTAATATGGGCTATATTTTCTTATACGATCTTTAGTGACATATTCTCTCCCTATTCTCCCCCCTCCCCTTTTCTCAATGATGTTCCAGCGAGATAAGGAAGACTTGAGTTTTTGCAGCATCCACGCTGCATCTGACACGACGTCCTAATAGTCATTTTGAAACGGAGGGAATAGAAATATATACAGCGATGACGAGGTTTTTACAGTGAGTACCCACCCGCTGTGGATGTGGATGGCCTCGAGGTGGCGAAGCACGAACCAGAGCCAGAAGGTGGTCATGTGGCACGGCACGATGGCTGGGCCGGCGAAGGCCGGGAAGCCGAGGATGAGGATCTCGGCCCAGTGGGCGTACGGGGCGGCGTAGCCCATGGGCGCGGTGAACTCGTGGTGGACTCGGTGGATGTGGTGGTAGGCCCACGGCGTGTGCAGCAGGCGGTGGATCCAGTAGCCCAGGTAGTCCTCCACCAGCAGGTACACCGCCACCTGCGCCGCCGTCTCCCCCGCCGACGGCAGCGGCAGCCCCGTCCGTATCCCCACCGCCCTCACCGCAGGGAACGACGCCAGCTGGACCGGCCCGACGGCGAGGAGCAGCACGCGCGCGGTGGCAGCGTAGCACCGGAGGAAGGCGGCCGGCGGGTGGCGCACGCCGGGCTGCAGCTTGTGCGGCAGCGGCAGGTGGCGGCGGAGCTCGAGCAGCGCGAGGGGGAGCGGCGCGAGGGTGTAGACGAGGAGGAGGATGGGGACGTTGTGGCAGTAGAGGCAGTAGTCCGGGATGGCCGCCGAGTAGCGGAACCAGGCCGCCTCCGCCCACGTCAGGCCCCGCCCCACCGCCGCCTCCGCCTCCGCCGCCGTCGCGTACGGGAGCATAGCTAGCTACTGCCGGCGACGACACAGAGGATCGATCTCCGGCCAGCCAGCCGGCGAGATCGAGAGCTATATATATACGAGTATATCGCTCTATCGCTATATGCTGTTTGGAGTTACGGCGCCAAATTAACAGGAATTTGAGCATGATATCTAGTTTTATCGCTGCGTCTCTGTATTATTGGGCGAGGAGGGCAGCATACGTGGTCGGACTGTGGCCTGTAAATTACGATCGAGATATCGAATTAAATCCATCATTTATCAAGTGAGCTGATCATTATCTAAAACAAATAGAGTACTCCAATCAAGTGAGCTGATCGATGGGCCAGCTGTATAGTGCAACAAATGGTGCAGTGCGCGCAAAGAGAACGTACAGTACATGTGCAAGTCAGTAGAGTAGGCAACGCAAATCGTTGTACAGTACTCCGTACTTGCAAAAATGGCACGACGTACGCAAAGTCGTGGCGTACGTTGTAGCACGAGTACATAGTATAGTACACAGGACCACTGGACACATTGGGCTCACCGGCCTTGATATTGTAGTCTAATAGAGCTCCAAAAGTAGCTGCTCAATAGAGGAGAGCAGTGGAGTGGTAACAACGCACGGTGACTCCTCCTTCCTGCTCGTTCAGCCCCTTTAATTCCTCCATCCATTTCGACGGCTCCGGTCATCAGCGATTTGGGGAAGAGGGTCCAAGTAGTCGGGTTCTTTCTGTAGTAGGGGTTTTCCCTTTGTCTTCTCTTTTCTTTTGATGTTTTTGTGTAGTGCAAAAGTTCGCATGCGACACATTTCTGTTATCCCGGTGGCTTGCTATGGATTCCGGCTAAATCCATCCATGGAATGGTCTTCAGATTTACCATGAACGCCTCCAACTATAAGTAAGGCAGGTATGTTTTATACAAAGTTGCTCCGACTATCCTGTTCATCTCCAATAAGGCAATCACAGCGATGCATCATCCATCATCGGTGGTGGATCTTCAGCGAGAAGCTACGTTGTTACTGTTTTTCATAGAAGCCGCAACCTCCAAACGGAGGCCCCTTTTGGATATGCTTCCTGTTACTTTTATCTGTAGTTACTCTTTGTTTTATGCGTCACCGTTGCATCCAGCTTATCACCTGGTGGAGAAGAAAGGACTTGATTGCTTTTTCTAGTTTATTAGAAGTTCTTCGTCCTAGTTTCAAGAGCTTATGTTAATTTTGTTATCTTCAAGGGGTCTGTTTGCAAAACTGTTTATACTTACAATTTCTTGCGGTCCCCACGGGGGATAACTCGTGCGATATGTATCTAGTTATCTATATTCAATAAAATGCATGAGTTTAGAGAGAGAGAGGGGGGGAGTGGATTTCAGGTGATCTAAGCCATTGATTGATTTTAATGGATCAGATTAAGCAGGTTACTTGCTTCTCCCATCTATACGAGTGCACACCACATCCTAATTATTTACTTTTTTTCTAAAATATAACAAACGTCAGGAGCAGATCGAATAATATGAGTTGTTAGATACATATTTCCTAGGGAATGGAGACTATAATATTACCGCCGGTTGTTTTTGAAAACATGGCACATGCATGATACATTCATTGTGCCATTTAACTTTAAGTATATAGCTCATCGGCACGGTGCACATGCATGCTAAGGTGGTGACCACGCGTTGGGGTTTGACGTGCGTGCATCAATAAGTGACGGAATTAAGGATGTAGTAGGCCATGGATGGCGAGCCTAGCGGCGGCAGAGAGCCACGAGGGCGCCGGTGACACCAACGACGGGAACACAGATGACACCACGGTTGTGTGGTGCGGCCGGCCGCCGATGGGACCGCCGCGCGCGATGGGCGGCATTGGTGGGGCATGACGGGCTAGCTCGATCGCCACTGTTTCCTCATCTGCATGCGTTCCTAGTCAAACTCGGTTACAGCAGGTAATTAATTGTGGCAGCGAAATTGTCATGGTCGAATTAAATCCATCATTTATCAACTGATTTGTCGGCCAGCTCTATTATATAATGCGAAAATACGTTGCATACGGTGGTGAATGTTAGTATGCGTTGGTTCGTTAGAAACGGCCAGAAAATGCCATGGGATTTGGCTGGCACACGTTACGTCTCGTACAAGTATATATCGTACGCAAAATAATCGTACGTATAGCAGCTGTGCAACCGGCGCAATGTGCGCGGTAAAAAACAGTATAGTACATGCATGTGCAAGTTGGTAGGCAAGGCAAATCGTTGTACAGTACTCCGTATACTTGCAAAAATGACACGACGTACTTAGAGTCGTGGCACGATCGAGTATACGTATACGTACAGGACCACGTACTATATATACTGGACAGTAAGGATCGATACGTACGTACGGCTCACCGGGTTTGGTTAATTCAACTCTGATAAATCTGCGTTCAATTTCGTTCCTGCTCTTGGGAACTACTTCCTCTGTTTCACAATGTAAGTAATTCTATCATTTTCTATATTCATATTGATGTTAATAAATCTAGATATATATATATGTCTAGATTCATTAACGTCACTATGAATGTGAAAAATGATAGAATGACTTATATTTTGAAACAGAGGGAGTACTGGTAATCTCTCGCTGCGTCTCTGTATACTTGTGGAGTTTTATGACGACGACGTGGCGTACGGACACGTACGGTGCCAAATTAACAATTTCACATTATATATGCGTGGGCAGCGACAAAGCTAGAGTATATTAGGGGTGCCTAGGAAGCCGGTCAAGAAAATGTTTTAGCTATACCTCATCTATTTTCACAATATATACACCCCCTTAGTATAAATTTAGACACCCGTATCAACTTAAATTTGATCTCAAGTATAATAAATTAAGCAAGTGGCACCACCCTCCATTTCGTTCTAGCTCCGCCTCAGCGTAGGTATATATACATGTTTCCTTCGTCGCATGCATGCAACAGCATTGCATGACAGTACTCTTGACTAACTTATTACTTAGCTCCTTTTTTTTAATTATTTTCATATTTCTCAAACTGTTAAACACGATTAAATCTTTGTATACAACAGCATTAATAATGCAAGTCAGTAGGCAAGGCAAATCGTTGTACGCTACTTGCAAAGTCATGGGCTCATGGCGTTGTCGCACGAGTACACACAGTACGTACACAGGGCCACTGGGCTCACTGGGTTTGATTGAAGTCTAATAGAGCTCCAAACGTAGCTGCTCAATAGCGGAGAACAGCGGTGACTCCTCTTCAGGTGAAACAAAGGTGACTCCTTCCTCTTCCTTCGGCCCTTTCCTCCGTCGATTTCGGCGGCTCCGGCCGTCGGCGACAGGAGAAGGGGTACAAGTAGTCGGGTTCTTTCTGTAGTAGGGGTTTTTCTTTGTTTTCTCTTTTCTTTTGATGTTTTTTTAGTGCAAGAGTTCGCCGGCGTCACATTTCTGTTATCCCGGTGGCTTTCTATCAATTTCGGCCAAATCCATCCATAGAATGGTCTCCAGATTTACCATGAACGCCCCCAGCTGTAACTAAGGCAGGTTTGCTTCATACAAAGTTGCACCGACTATCCTGTTCATCTCCAATAAGGCTACTACAGGAATGCAAGCCTCCATCATCGATGGTGGATTAATGTAAGAAGCTACGTTTTTATTGTTTTTCATAGAAGCCGTAACCTTCAAATGGAGGCCCCTTTTAGATACGCTTCCTGTTACTTTCATATGTAGTTACTCTTTGTTTATGTGTCACCGTTGCATTCAGCTTGTCACCTGATTGAGAAGAAAGGACTTGATTGCTTTTTCTAGTTTCTTAGAAGTTCTTCCTAGTAAATTTCAAGAGCTTATGCTAATTTGGCTATCTTCAAGAGGTCTGTTTGCAAAACTATTTGTACTTGACTCCCCGTCCCCACGGGGGATAACTCATGTGATATATATATACATAGTTATCTATATTCAACGAGTCAACCACAATCAATATGCCACATCAGCACAGACCACCTCTAAAACCGTCAAAGGAGTCGATTTGCACCGGCTTTAAAAATGTGGGAAACGTTATAACCGGTTTTGCGGTTGAGCGAAACGACCCAATGGGAATCAAGAAGGGAGAGAAAGTAGACTATTCCTTAAACCAGAGTGGTGACCTGGTCGAGGCCAGCCCGTACAGGCCCATAAAGCAGACAAGCCCAAACACCGCACTTGACAATATCTCCGGCTCTCCGCTCCGCTCTATCGAGTATCGGATAGGAAGGAAGGAGACGGCGGCGCTGCGAGAGATGGAGGTGGCGGGTGCTCAGGCCGGCATCCTCCCCCTCCTCCTCCGTCACCCCGCGTCCCTCCGGGGCTCCCTCTCCCTCTCCTGCGGCGGCGCCCGCCGGAGCTGGGCGGCGGCGGCGGCCACGGCGGAAGGAGGAGGAGGAGAGGAGGGTCGCGGCTACGAGAGGGTGCCCATGGACACCCCCGGCGCCTACCGCCTCGTCGACCGGGCCACCGGCCGCAGCGTCATCGTGTGGGGCGGCACCGACGACGTCAGCATGCCCTCCCCCGCGGTGCTCTCCACGACCACGCGCGTCCCCGACCGCCCAAAAGGTTCCATTATTCAATACCACTTACTATACAGTTGTGCAATGACAATGATTTTTCATCTTCAAAGTAAATATGTTCCCGGTGCATTATGCCAACATTTGGCCGTAACAGGTTGGGTATGAGATTAATTTTAACGCCTTTTAGCAACGGAACACGCATTCCTTCATGCCAATATGCCATGTCATCAGACATGAAATTCACTAGATTTTCCTGTATTGTGTGATGGATGTGTTATCTCTCTCAGTTTGCTTAGTAAGAACTGCTTCACTTTCCCAAAAATGAGGCCATTTTTTTTACACCACAGAAAATGGGAGAAGTACAAGTATTGGAAATTTTGGCAGACTCAAGGCACAGAAAGTTAAAGTTTTAGCAAGGAGATCAGCTCACCTTAAGAGAGAGGATTCTGGTCGCATAAGCACCAGCCGGTTCAGTGAATCTCCTTCTGATGAGTCTGACGAAGATGGCACTTATTTTGAAAGAGATAGGGCAAGAAACACAAGGCAAAACAGTAGATCTAGAGACGACAAAACCCGTGGTGCGCATTCTCTGAATTCTGTCTTGAGGCAGTATAGAGGTGCTGATGACTTGGATTTTCCAGGATCAGAGGCTACTTCTGGCTCCAAAAGATGGGGTAACATTTCTGATGTTACATTTGGACGACAGAATCAAAGGCAAAAGGGCCCTTTAGATAGTGGGTTTTTCAGTCGAAGATCTTTTAAGGAAATTGGCTGTAGTGATGAAATTCTAGGTGCACTGAGAAGTTTTGGCTTCCCTCGTCCATCGCATATTCAGGTAAATAACTTTTCAAAACAAAATTCTCTACTTGGGGCAGACATCTCAAGCTTTTACTCTCTTTTGTTGTGAAGAAGAACATCTTGAATTGTTGTCATAAGTGACTGTGTATGTCTGCACTTAATCCTTGCACTATAACAATGAGCTTTCCTTACTATGCCTAAAAATCTTTTCCTTAACTAGCCTGTTGCATTATTTCAGGCGATGGCATATCGACCTGTCTTGGAGGGGAAAAGCTGCATTATTGGTGATCAAAGTGGATCTGGCAAGACATTGGCATATCTTTGCCCAGTAGTACAAAACCTGAGGAAGGAAGAAGTTGAGGGGCTCCATAGGTCTTCTCCTAGGAACCCACGAGTGGTAGTACTGACGCCTACAGCTGAGCTTGCTTCTCAGGTATTTTACACCTTGAATGTGATCCTGCCAATGTTCAGTGATTGTTTTTATGCCAAATTAGGAAAAGCTGGAGTGCTCATTGGAACATTTTTAATCTCTCAGGTCCTTAACAACTGCCGGTCAATATCGAAATCGGGGGTACCTTTTAGGTCTATGGTTGCAACTGGTGGATTTCGACAGAAGACACAGTTAGAAAGTCTTGATCAAGAGCTTGATGTACTTATTGCAACACCTGGTCGTTTCTTGTATCTGCTTCAAGAAGGCTTTGTGCAATTAAATAACCTCAGATGGTATGCCATTGTTGTTCATTTTCTCTCATTTTGCAGCTTGAACTTCCATCTGAGAACACATCAAACTAATGAGTGAACATACTTATGAACAGTGTTGTGCTGGATGAAGTGGATATTTTATATGGTGAAGAAAGTTTTGAACAAGTGCTTCATCAATTGATTACTGTTGCACCACTGACCACGCAATATCTCTTTGTCACTGCCACTCTTCCTCTCGACATCTACAACAAGGTTGTTGAAACATTTCCGGACTGTGAACTAATCATGGGACCAGGCGTCCACCGAACAAGCTCTCGTCTTGAAGAGGTTGGCCATTTCTTGCTTTCTTCATTTTTGAGAAAAATGTTCCCAGGAGATACCTTTTGGAGGGTACATATTTACATTTGAGAGGTTGAACTGCAGATTCTCGTGGACTGCAGTGGAGATGACAATGAGGAAAAGAATCCGGAGACGGCGTTCTCAAACAAGAAATCAGCACTTGTAAAGATAATCGAGGAATCTCCTGTCCGTAAAACAATTATTTTCTGCAACAAGGTAGTTCCTCTCCAGTATTCCAGCATACGATCTGCAACCAAAAAGAGTTTGCAGTGTATCTGACAGATGGATTTTTTTTTTGTGGTGGTGTTAGATTGAGACATGCAGAAAGGTTGAGAATGCGCTGAGGCGGGTGGACAGGAAGGCTTCGCAGATCAAAGTGCTCCCCTTCCATGCTGCATTGGATCAACAACAGAGAATCGCCAACATCAAAGAGTTCCTGAACAAGCAGACGGCTGACTCGATGTTCCTGGTGTGCACAGATAGGTAAGGCATCGATCACCTGAAGTGAAGCGCATGAAATCGATTCTGTTTTCAAGCGATGATCTGATTGGATTTGGTGGGTGGCATGCAGGGCGTCGCGAGGCATCGACTTTGCGAACGTGAACCACGTGGTGCTGTTCGACTACCCGCGCGACCCGAGTGAGTACGTGCGGCGCGTCGGCAGGACGGCCCGCGGCGCGTCGGGCAACGGCAAGGCGTTCGTGTTCGCGGTGGGGAAGCAGGTGTCCCTCGCCAGGAGGGTGATGGAGAGGAACATCAAGGGCCACCCGCTGCACGATGTGCCATGCGTCTAGTCCTAGAAAGAGCTCTACAGAGCAGAGACAGTTTCAGGTCAAATTTGTGCTAGCATACATAGCACCATCTAATATTGATGTAGATAGGGTTTGTGAAACCGGTTTTGATGCATACACATATGCTGATCGAGTGAATTAGCATCTGTCTGTCTGTTTTAGAATGGTGATGCATATTGGTTCATACATACATTCATAGTGCTAGTAGTAGTAAATTTCAGTCGCTGACCAACTCACAAGTGGTGCAGCTGCTGCTGCTTGCTGTAAACGATGGAATGTGCAATTGGTTACTACACTACTAACTGAGATGAGACTGCTGCTGCTATTGACTTGGGTGGAGCTGGAGGGAGCAAGCAGGTCAGGTGTGGTCGTGGCGGACGGTGGCGAGGAGGTGGAGCTGGGCGTTGTGGAGGAGGGAGCGTGCCTGCTCGTTGGCGGCGTCGCGGGCGCGCAGCTCCCGGATCTCCTCCTCCCACCTCTCCACCCTCTCCTTGTGGATCCTGCACGCGCCAAATTAATTCACAAACAAACCAGATTGATTATGCTGTTTGTCATCAAGCAAGCCAATTCAATTATTATTATTTGTGATGGATGGTGGTCTTACGAGCAGAGGCGGTCCTCGAAGTCGGCGGCGAGGTTCTTGAACAGCGCACGCCCCGCCTCCAGCATCTCCGACACCTGCTGCGTTGCATTCCAGTCCAGCATAATCGATCGATGAATGACAAATGGCGAAATTAATGAATGGAGAGAGGTGGTGGACCTGGCGAGTGAAGGCGTCGATGGCGAGGAGGATGCGCTGCACGTGCTCCTCCGTCTCCGCCGACGCCGCCGCCACCTCCTCCTCCTCGGCGACGGCCATGTCGTCCTCCGTCTCCGTCATGGGCGCGGTGGTGATGGTGACGGCGACCCCGGAGGAAGCCGCCGCTCCCCCTCCCGCGCTCCCCTGGCTCGCCATCTCTTCCTCTCCCTCTCTTTCTCCTTCTCCTCCGTTGCTCTACACGCATCCATCCATCCATCCCAAAACTCAGATTAGATTCAACCATCAAATTTTCGACCGACTCCCCCAAAATCAAAAATCAAATGCGCCTTAACAACTGAACTGATTGAGACAGTAGATGAAATGGAACAAGTCGATCGGAACGGAATCGCGTGGCCTTGGTTCGATCAAAGCAACGAACGCAGCTGACGACTGGATCCAATCCCCACAACAAACACCCAAAACTTTTCCCAAAAAAAAAATACAAGGAAAAAACGCAAGCGCGGATGAATGCCATGGCAACCTCGCCATCTAGCAGTCAGAAATAATCACCCAGGAGAAGGTGGAGGGAGAGAGCAGTAGCCAGTAGGGGGTAGGGGGTTTAGGTTTACCATGGCGGCGGCGGCGGCGGCGGCGGCGGTGCGCATGCGCTTGGTCCCGGCCGCCTCCATCGTCTCGCCCCCGCCCCGAACGATCCATCTGCTCGGAACGGAATTACATAAAGTACTAGTAGACCGCTGGGCTGGGCTGGGCTGCGCTGGGTTGGGAGGACGGTTTGGTCAATGGACTGAACAAAAAGGAAAAAGTGCACTGAAGATCCCTCAACTTATCATCGAATTACAAAATCGTCCTTAAATCGTAAAACCCCCTGACTTACAAAACCAGTACAAACTAAATCCCTCGGCAATTTTGACTCCGGTTTTATCCTTAGGGGGGGCCACGTGGGTCCCACATGTCAGCCCCTTCTTCCCCTCCCCTCTCTTCCTCTCTCCTCTTCTTTTCTCTCCCTCCGCCACTCGACGCCCAACCGAGCGCGACCTCGCCGCGCCGCCCATGGTCCTATCCACGCCGCGTCAGGAGGAAGCAGAGAAGCGTCGGCGAGTAGGTCGTCGGCCGGCCGATGGAGGCAGCGACGATCCCGAGTCGAAGGTGCAGTAGAGATGGCAACAGGATGAGGCCGAGAGGATGCCGACAGTGAGGTTGACCGGTAGGGGGAGTCAAGATTGTCAGGGGAAGCAATAGCGGTGGCCTTGGGCCTTGGATCCCGGTGGCGAGGTCGCGCTCGGCCATCGAGCCCACCCCCATGGCGCCCCGGCCATCGATGGCCGGCTCCGAGTTCTCCTACGCGTTCGCAATCGTCGCCGATCCAATCTGTACTCTGATGAGGTAGCACTCTAATACATAGAAAATAAGTGCTTTGACCATTCTGTCCACCATTTATCAAAGGTTATGTGCTTGGATTGATGGAGGCCGATACTGCCGATGTTAGCGGGGACAGGGACCCTATATTTTAATAGTTTTCCCATAACAAAGGTCATGACGAATTTTCATGTTAGTGGGGCTTCTCTGCGGCCAAAAAGTCTGATCACGTGGCATCACCACCACCAGCTCAGTGCTGCATGTTCCCCATATAGGAATCACTGCTGCCATGCTTGTTTATGGGTAACTGCATAAAGAACTGGCACTCTCTCTCCGTTTTAAAAAAAGAACAATCCTAAGATCGTAATGTAAAATTAGTCCGGAGTAAAAAAAATTCCCAAAATATCCCTTCGTTATTGGAAATAGTGATTGGTTTGCAACTTGGCATCAGAGAAGGGGATAGCGTTGGCACCTTGGCAGCAGCAAAGGAGAGGCGCAGTCAAAGAGAGTCACGCACGCAGTTAGGGGAAGCAGGCAAGGCGAGTTGGGAGAAGGAGAGGAGGAGGAGCGAGCAATGGCGGCAGCAGCAGCAGCTTTGCCCACCGCTGCCGCTTTTCCCCACCTCTCCTCCGATTAATCCCCTCCTCCCATTTCTCCGCCTCCCCTACCTACTCGCGCCGCCGCCGCCGCCGCCGTCGCATTGGGCGGCAAACGGCCTGATGGAGCAGGTAAGCGCTTCCAGCGATCTGATTCGATTCCTCTTCTTGGGGGACTCGGGGTTTTGATCCTGCAAACCTTTGCAGTACGAGGAGGAGAAGATTGGAGAGGGCACGTACGGGGTAGTGTACAAGGCGCGGGACAAGGTCACCAACGAGACGATCGCGCTCAAGAAGATCCGGCTTGAGCAGGAGGATGAGGGTGTCCCCTCCACCGCCATCCGCGAGATCTCGCTCCTCAAGGAGATGCATCACCGCAACATCGTCAGGTCCTCTCTATTAACCAACCCTCTGCTGCTCTTGTTTAGGACTTTGGATTCACTTATTAGGAGTAGTCATCACGGACTGATTGATTCATTGATTGATGTGCAGGCAATGCATTGAGCTACAACACTAGCTAGGCCTGATTTTAGGACCATTACTCATAGTTTTGTGCAGTGTAGTAATAATGCTGTCACTTTGGCAGCGAGATGATTTGCATTGTTGCTTTGCTGATAAACTCTATCACTGCGTGCAGGTTACACGATGTTATCCACAGTGAGAAGCGCATAGGTCTTGTCTTTGAGTATCTGGATCTGGACCTGAAGAAGTTCATGGACTCTTGTCCAGAGTTTGCAAAAAACCCCACTTTAATTAAGGTGAGCGGCCCTAAATGCAAAAGTATCTTGTCATGACTCACTTTTATTCTTTTCTGCATATGGTTGAACTCAAAGCATTGGCTTGAGCATTATTGATCAATGGTTTGTTTATAACTTGGAAACAATGTGAAGGTGGTATAAGTAACCTTACTAAAGAATTACTCTTGGCTGCATAGACCAAAATGTTAGTCTTGTATCTTCTCATTTCATCTGAAAGAATTCAGCACCGATGTTATTCAAGATTTTGGTGCAAAGATGTATGTGGAACCCGCAGTACATCTTATGCTCTCCATATTTGGTGTATGGACTGTTGACTAGTTCTGTCGCGGTGTTACATATCATAGGAGGAAGGTGCCCGGTTTGTCATTCCACTAGAACGATACTTAGCATAAACCAGAATGCACAATTTGGGAAATAGGACCCATTTGTATGTTACTTCATGCACTCTTCATGTTTGGACTGCTGCTCTGTGACTGCCATGATTTTTTAGGAAAAATGTGCATGTGCTCTTTGGACATATATGTGGCTACGTGCATTTAAAAAACTTTAGAGATGCAATGGACTGACATTGTTTGGGTAAGGTTGGGCTTTTCGTATTCTCATTCGCCTATCAGTAACATGATAGGACCAGTTCATAAGCAAATTGTTTTATAATACTTCTGTGCTCTCCATGGCCAAAAGTGTCTGGCAGCGTGGCACCACCACTACCAGCTCAGTACTGCATGTTCCCCATATAGGAATCATTGCTGCCATGCTTGTTTTTGGGTAACTATTCAGAATTTACTGCACAAAGAACTGGCACTATCCTATTTCCTTCCACTATTTTTTTTGGGTCAGAACTATCAATTCTGACAGTCAAGTCTGGGACCTTGGGTCAAAGTGGTCTCAACTCATCCTGTATTTTCTTGTCCTCATTAGCATCGCATATACTTTGAATCTTTGTTCATAAGGTATTGGAAGTCATGATGAAATTTTCTTAAATATGAAATGTGGCAACATGCTTTTATCCTTTGAATAGTGTAGCTTAGTAGTATGAAGTTGATGCAACCTTACTTGATCGAAGTGTCTGCCTTATACAGTGAAACAAAGTAAAGATTGGCATGATTGGAAGTTTTTCATGCTTTTCTTCATTATTGTGTCTACATTCCTGTTCATGCGAAAAATATGTGTCTAAATTCCTGTTGCATTCATGCTTGACCAGAAAGTGTATTAGTTTATTGTGGTTGCATCTTGGAATGTGACTGTTTTCTTCTTTCGCCAGTCATATCTCTATCAGATACTCCGCGGCGTTGCTTACTGTCATTCTCATAGAGTTCTTCATCGAGATTTGAAACCTCAGAATTTATTGATAGATCGGCGTACTAATACACTGAAGCTTGCAGACTTTGGTTTAGCCAGGGCATTTGGAATTCCTGTCCGCACATTTACTCATGAGGTACTATAGATTTGTGTTCAACATTTTGTTTTCTTCATAAAGTACATTTTTTTTTCGTCATAAAGTTCATTTTTCATTTACCTTTTCTATACACTAGCACATTAACTCACAATGGATGTCTATGGGAAGTATTTTTCAGGTTGTAACCTTGTGGTATAGAGCTCCAGAGATCCTTCTTGGATCAAGGCAGTATTCTACACCAGTTGATATGTGGTCAGTTGGTTGTATCTTTGCAGAAATGGTGAACCAGAAACCACTGTTCCCTGGTGATTCTGAGATTGATGAATTATTTAAGATATTCAGGTTCTATTATCGTACTGAGATTACCTTTTTTTGTTCTGTTATTTGTGTTTTTGCCAACTCTCTGATTTATGTGGTGTGTTCTGGTTACTTTTGAAGGGTACTAGGAACTCCAAATGAACAAAGTTGGCCAGGAGTTAGCTCATTACCTGACTACAAGTCTGCTTTCCCCAAGTGGCAGGCACAGGTATGACAAAACAGCATAAAGATTTTATTAGGCGGGTGAACTGCATCCATATACTGTGCCACTGATATTCCTTGACTGAAATCTTCATCCCAGGCTCTTGCAACTATTGTCCCTACTCTTGACCCTGCTGGTTTGGACCTTCTCTCTGTAAGTCGAACACCACTCACCTTTGTTCATTAGCATGTCATAATATACCCCCCCAAAAAAGAAGAGTATATCATCGTTGTCTCGTTTCACTGTCAGAAAATGCTTCGGTACGAGCCAAACAAAAGGATCACAGCTAGACAGGCTCTTGAGCATGAGTACTTCAAGGACCTTGAGATGGTACAATGACCCTGCTATGGCTTTACATTGAATTGGCTTATGTATGGGCTGGGCTGCTCATTTCATTCCTTGTGTGAACGCTGTGCCCTTCGTTTGGGCATTTTTGTCATTCAGCTGGATATATTTCAAATCTTGTGTGTTTGATATGTATATTCAGGAACGCTAAATAGATCACCGTCTTGGCCTCTATTTGTTGAGAGTAAATATCTTCCAATGACTGCCTTTCAGGCCCTGTTTAGATCCTCCAAAATGGTAAAACTTTTACCATTTTAGATCTAAACACTAGTAGTAAAAGTTAACAATTTGGTATTTGGCATTTGCTAGTCTATGGTAGCAAATTTTGCCAAAAAGTGCTCCGGAACCACACCACCTCTCTCTCTCTCTCTCTAGTGCTAAAATGGTAAAACTTTAAGATGTATCTAAATACCAACTAATACTTTTGTAATGTTAAATCTTTTACCATCAAAACTTTTTACCATTTGCCATTTCAAATAGATCTAAACAGGCCCTCCTATTCAGAACCAAATAGCCCTTCGTTGCTGTTACACACACCTTTCTGGTGTTCCACTGGGGGACACGCATCATTGGTGGTCAGCAAGATCCTTTCTCGTCTTGATGCATGCGTTCGACATCATCAGACCAGAGAGTGCCACAACGACTGATCATGAACATGCACTGACAAAAGGATTCCACTACCAAACGAAAAAAAAAACAACGTATTGATTATAGTAATGTATTGATCGGGTGGTTAATTCTAAGCTAGTGTAATGAAAACGGAGCACGCATGCACGTGTGTGCAATTGGTTTGGATCATGGAGGAATGGAGCATTTGCATGCATTTTGCAGCAGGCCTTTTTCCGCATTGTTATTATATTGCAATTAATATGCTTAATGTGCTTAATTGCCGCGCGAGGAGACGACGAGTGAATAGTAGTCCACTCTTGTCTCGCCGGCGCCGCCGCCTCCATCGATCTCGATCATGTATCCATTGGCATTAATCAATCAATGCCACTACTCCATCTATACTACTCCTACCATGCATGATGGACAACCTTACTCTAGCTAGGTTGGCTAAACTGATTGAGACCATGAGACCTACTCTTAGGCAAATTGATGGCCAATAAATTTATGAAGAGAGAAGGAATGAGTTTTATCTAGATGATACGGAGTACTTGATAATTTACACACTTACCTATGCTTTGGAATTAAATAATAAAATGAATTTTCATTGATCATAGTCTTGAAAACGGAAATAAAACCCTACTGTGACTAAATAGTTTCACAACACCATTCAAGAATTAAATGCTACAAGTGATAAATTAATGAAACTGTGCACTAGAGATACTCTCTCTGTCCCAAAAAAAATAAATTTAGGACTGTATATGACATATTCTAATACAACGAATTTAGACAGATGTATAACCAGATTCGTTGTAATAGGATGCGTCATATCCAATATTAGTTTGATTTTTTATAGGACGGAGGGAGTATTTGTTTCATTCATCAATTCAAACATTAATTTTTAGATTATATGGTACTCGTGAAAACCACACACAAAATAAAACTCTCCACTAAAATTGACCTTATACTTGTTGAGATTATGGGCATATAATGATTTAATTTATTCCATAAATAAATCATGACATTACAGATGAAAACTAGCATGAACGCATCATTAGATCTACACATGTAAACTACGCAGAATAACATGAACAGATCAAATATGCGCAACATATTGAACACGTACCGAGGTGACGAAAAGACCGGCTGCTTGGTCGAAACTTTTCGCAGGTGTCTACGAAGGCACGAAACACGCGAGCGAAGAGGAAGGCGAGCCGTCGCGAACGAACAGGGAGCAGTCGCGCGAAGCGCTTCCCAAAAACCTTATTGCCGCCTTCTCCCGGTGCAGGACGTCAAAGGCAGAGGTTCCGGAGACCTGCTCTCCCGATCGCTGGTGCACGCCGGCGAGCGGGATGGAGTAGTCTACGAGCGACGGCGCAGTACAGAGTAGGAGGCAAACCCTAGATTGATTTTCGCATGTATTGCGTGAAGACGGCGGGTCGGTTTATATAGAGAAGGGTCGCTTGATCAGGGCGCCCGCACGATCTCTACTGCGCGTAACCGAACCGGATAAGTCGCGCGTAACTTATCCGGACTCCACGCCGTTTGCACGCATCGGATTTTTCGGAACGTTTCCAAAACAAAAACGAATCCGAATTTGCAGCAAAACAAAACTGCAAAAGGAGGCTGCATCTGCGCAAGGGTGAGGAGCCAATTTTTCGGACCATTCGACGTAGCCAATTTTTCGGACCATTCGACGCGTGCACGCGCCCGCACGATCTCTACTGCGCGTAACCGAACCGGATAAGTCGCGCGTAACTTATCCGGACTCCACGCCGTTTGCACGCATCGGATTTTTCGGAACGTTTCCAAAACAAAAACGAATCCGAATTTGCAGCAAAACAAAACTGCAAAAGGAGGCTGCATCTGCGCAAGGGTGAGGAGCCAATTTTTCGGACCATTCGACGTAGCCAATTTTTCGGACCATTCGACGCGTACGTCGTGCACGCGCGCCGCCTGCCAGGCGAGGCGAGCGAGCGCGCGCGTGTTTCCCCTCTTCTCTCCACCACACATGCTTCAAGTGGCTAGGAGGGCATCCTCCCTTTTAAGGAGGTCCCCCTCTCCTAGAATAAGCAAGGTGGTACTAAACTCCACATGCATGCCATCCCATGAGGTGGGCTTTTGTGATTTTCCAAAGAATTAATCTTCGAGTGGGCTAAGGCCCATTCATTAATTCCAACAATACTTCTACGTCGTACTCAGCTCGATCAGCAGCTACCGAGCTACGTACTCTACTCCAAGTCTCCAATTAATAGGGCTCCTGAAGTCCTGTATCCAAATCAAATACTCCCTCCGTCCCATAATATAAGGGATTTTGAGTTTTTGCTTGCAACGTTTGACCACTCGTCTTATTCAAAAATTTTTGAAATTATTATTTATTTTATTTGTGACTTACTTTATTATCTACAGTACTTTAAGTACAACTTTTCGTTTTTTATATTTGCAAAAAAAATTGAATAAGACGAGTGGTCAAACGTTACAAACAAAAACTCAAAATCTCTTATATTGTGGGACGGAGGGAGTAGCTCATCAACGACTCCGCTGACCTGCAGCTAGCTCAGTTCGTCAAACTAATTAATTAAAAACAGCTCCAACTGATTGCAGTTTCAGAGCTTAGTATATATAAATTCTCATGCAATGCAAGCCATGCAGGAGATCATATATGTACAGCAATCCTATATACATACATCAGCTAGCTAGCTAGGCCGGCCACCATCACATATATCTTGGCATCCTGTGCTACCTAGATACTGATGCTTTTGTCCTATATGTATAGCTAGGGAGTATATACAGCATTCATGAATTAATAGAGACACCAGTCCATCACTGTTTGTCCATACATGATGAGATATGAACCTATATATATACATTAGCTAGCTGTTATCAGACCAGCAGGAGTGTAGGACTGATAGATCATATACTTGCATATATAAGCACGTAACTAATTAAAATGATGAATTTATAACTAGCAGAAGCTTGTGTGTTCAGGGGGCAATTTTGCTTCTCAGATAATGCACTACTACCTTTAGCCCTTGTTTAGATCCAAACTTTTCTCCAAACTTTCAATCTTTCCATCACATCAAAACTTTCCTACACATATAAACTTCCAACTTTTCAATCACATCGTTCCAATTTCAACCAAACTTTCAATTTTGGTGTCAACTAAACACACCCTTCCTCTTCGATGTCATGGAGTCACGGTCAATCTAGCTATGGGATATATATATGGCGATGATCCAATCATGGAGAGTAACTAATTATTGTACTACTAGTAGCTAGGTAGCTAGCTAGCTTGCTACGTACAGCTTGCTTGGTTCCTCTTTCATGGATGCTTTCCTCATGTATGTGCATTGCATGGCAGTATATGTGATGCAAACTGTTGAGCTACCTTGCTCCACACCGCCAATGTATTCTAAACTCAAAGTCATCCTCTGACAGGGACTCAACACACGTACTTCCACCTCAGTTGCTAGCATATTTTTAATTTGAGATTTGCTAGTTTGCAGGTGAATGAGACTGGAATTCGATCCCTTAACCTAGCTAGCACTGGAATTGGAAGGAGGAGGGAAGGAAACACGTACGATGGCCACTCCGTAGCGGTGGCGGCAATGACAGCGAGGTAGATCGTCATCTTCTCTACCTACGGCGCGGTGCTGATTTGATGAGGTTAGAGTACTTTAGGGTTTCGAAGGTTAGCACTAGGTTGTGCGCTGCATGCGTGGGGGGAGGAAAAAAAAAAGAGAGATGATAAGATTTACTGTTCATGCTCAAATCTCTCAGGATATTTCTGACCATCCAAAAATTAACTGATATGCACGTCTGTGGGCTCCGTTTTCTCCTTGGAGATATCGCCGTTTTGGCTCTCTCTCTCCCTTCAGGTGAAAACCGGGTTCTTTTCGGAACGGGTGTTGATAGCACCCTTAATGTTGTTATCTTGTTGAAGGCTTCGCTCAGAAGGTTTCTGCCCTGCTAGAGGATGTTTGGTGGTTCTGGAGACCTCGTTCATTATGTTGTTGAAGCTGCTTACCTTTGGTAAGCTCGGCAACGACAACTTTTATGAGGTCTCAATAGTTGCTTTCTTTTTCTTTCTTTATAGATTTTTGCCAGTTTCCCGTTTAATTAACCGTGCTTATTCAATTTTCGAATCCGGTTTCCCTTATTAACTAGGCCAGTTCTCTTCTTCTATAAATTTCGGCAGGAGAAACTCCCACCGTCGGTTCCTCGAAAAAAAATTAACTGATTTTTTTATTGTTTTCAAGTAATTAACCGAGAATTAGACAGTCCTTTCGATTTACAACATTATATTGTCAGAATTAACTGCGACGTGGTTTTTGCAGCTAGCTAGTATTAGTATATGTGGGGAGAAACAACGCCACCTGAACATGGCAAATATGCATGATTCATAAGCTTGTCTGAGTGTGCATGTCAGACAGATTGAGGGCCGCTGGTGTTGCTTTCAAGCCCTCAAGTCTCAGCAACGGTCGTAGTAAGCATACAGTTGAGAACTTTGTCAGTTATAGTAGCACCGTGGCAGAAGCAAAAACCATGGAAACACATGCTCAAGCATCACCACCTGCAGCTGCCGACAAGTTTGCTAGTTAGTTGTACAATTGTGTTAACACATAGCTAGCTCATCATTCGTGCATGATCAGCTACACAAGTACGGAGTACTACTCATAGATTTGTACTCTGCTGTTTTCTGAAGCAAACAGTAACCTGTACCGTCTCTAATTGTTCCTTAATTCGATACATATATACTAGCGTATAAGTGGCGCATTCGCACCACTTTAACCGTTCTATTGTTTTTGTTTTGTGCATGAAGATATTATGCGCCAGGTAAAATTAACGTAAATAAAGTGGTGTCAATCTGATGCCAACAGTTATAGTTAGTTGATGGCTTTGTTATGGAAATACATCATCAGATGAGATCTATGATCTATCAGTAATGTCTTGATCAACGAAGTTGATGATTATGCAGATGAAATCACTAAGTTGATAATGATTAATAAGAAAGAATCAGGGATGATTTACGAATGATGAGTAAAATATATTTAGGATTGATTAATTAAAGATCTAGATGCTGATGATCGAGGCATTGTTTTCATGATTGAAATTTTAAAAGGAGGCAGTCAATTTTCTCGTTACTTTGAGCTCAAACTTTGCATGCAGCTTTATGACCTGCCAAAAAAGAGGAGAACAATATTTAGCACTTGTAGATATTTTGAATTAAAAAGTAGGATGCACTGTCTCTTAGTATTGAATAAAACTGAAGGAAAATTATGCAACCAAGGCTAGTCATGTTTCAGTATAGAACTGTTCATTCAACATACTGGAGCAAACTTTTGTGACTGTCAGACTGAGCTTCTTCTGTAAAGTTTTATTGTGTGAATTGTCTTTCTTGCATCTTAGAATCTGTTTGCAGTCCATATATATTACAATAGCTCAGCAAGATATGTTTTCATTTATTAGAAGAGCAAATTCCATTTAGGCTCATAACAGAAGCAGTAAGGGCATATCAGACCTATACAACAACCGTGTGGTTCATGTTGGTGAGCAGGAAAAGGATGGCCAGCAGTAGGAGGCCTCACATATTTGAGCTCGATACGGTATTTTGGGGAAATTTCTACGGGGGCAAGAATTCAGCGGCCGGAGAGGTCGCCGCAGCGCCGACGAGTACGTAGTTGCTGCATTCTATTCCCCCACGGAGGCGGTTTTTTTTTTTTTTTAAGGATGTGGGAGGACTGAAGATAAACGGAAGTTTCTTGAAGGGCCATGATCAAGATATTCAGAGAATCCAACGACCCCTGTAACATCCGGGGAGAAAATCGAGCGGTCTATATTTAGTTGATGACGTGGCATATTACTTTTGCAAGAAGGGTTTCACCTTTCACTAGGTAAGATAAGATATGGTCCCTGTACAACAACAATCTAGCTAGGAGCTAGCACTTTTTTCTATGAAGATGAACTGGAAATGATAGTAGTAATGAACTGAAAATAGACTGCCAATCTGAACTTTGTCACATTCAGGAGTACTTATTTGGGACTAGTGTGTGTACGTTCAGAGTGTTTACACATTACACTGACTAAAAGTAATTAAGTTGCACTGCTGTTGTACATATCATGAATGAAGTCAGCCAAATAAAAGAACGCGCCTTCATTTAAGTATGATAAAGATATGATATGAAACTGGCGAAACAGGACAGTACATCATCATCTAATGACGAGAAATGATAAGGAAAGGGAAGAAAATTCATCCTTACTAGTACTAATAGCTTGTGACAGCCTCCGTCGTGTCGCATTGCAACACATTCTCCCACACGTAACAACCTGAAAAAAAATACTCATCAATACAATTCAGTGAGTAGTACTACCTCCGTCTCAAAATAAGTACAGCTGTAGATATCCATGTCCAATATTTGACCGTCTGTCTTATTTAAAAATTTTATGAAAAATTTAAAAATATTTAGTCACACATAAAGTAATATTCATGCTTTATCATCTAATAGCAATAAAAATACTAATCATAAAAAAATTTCAAATAAGACGAACGGTCAAACGTTGAACGTGAATAATGTAAAACTGCACTTATTTTGGGACGGAGGGAGTAGCTATAGCAGCAACGGGAGCAGCAAAGATATCTATCGCGCGCGCATTCGTTTGAAGCCAAGGCTAGCGAACCCCTCCCTTAATTTCGCTTGCCTGAATATATAACCAATTATAAGCACATGTAAGCACACAAAATTAACAGGGAATACATCATCAGATAGATATCATGTCATTCCCCGTATATACATTTCCTCTAGTTCGATCAGTTTGGGCATTCGATCAGATCAACACACTGGTTTTCACCCTGCAGTCCTTGACTCTTTGTTAACTACTAGTGTAAATTACTTTTTAGAAAAAGGAAAATTAATCTTTAGAAATTAGTTAAGGTGAGTATATATACTAAAACACATGATTTCTTATTCTTCAATTCTGTGCTGTAAAAAAAATCCAGGAACACGCAGACTTCGTATATAGACACTGGTGGAGAAAGGGGTTTTACTCCCGGTTCGTAACCCCTTTTAGTCCCGGTTTTCAAACCGGGACTACCAATCCGGGACTAAAGATCGATCACTATCTTTAGTCCCGGGTGAAAAAACCGAGAGTAAAAATACATCCCGGTTGGTGTAGAACCTTTTTAGTTCCGGATGGTAACACCAAGCGGGACTAAAGATAGAGCTAGCCTAGCTAGCTAGATTCGGTTGCTCTATTATTATTTTCTTTTCTTCATTGTGTTTTTAATATATTGATTTTACTCTATCCCCATCTCAAAATCCCAAATATAAATTATCCCCAATTCTCATATCCCCAAATCGGCCATATTCAAATAGATCACAAAATCTTAAAACAAAATTACATCACAACTTCTACAAAATTCATCACAAATACATCACATATTCACGGACATCACACACAAATCAAATACACAGATCAGAATCACAAATTCTTAAAAAAAAGAAAAAAAAACACAGGCTGTCGGGCGTTGTTGCGCCGGCCGCCGGCGCGTCGCCCGCCGCGAGGCCCCGCGGTCCGCCGGCGCGCCGCCCGCCGCCACGAGGCCGCCGCCCGGGCCTCCGCCCCGCCGCGCCGCCGCGAGGCCGCCGGCCGCCCGATGGGATGATGGGGAGGGAAGGAGAGGAGTTAGAAAGGAGGAAGAGGAAGGGATTATGGGGGAGGGAAGGAGAGGAGTTAGAGGAGAGGAGGAGGAGGAAGATGAAGAGATGGGATGAAGAGATAAGGTCAGTGGAGGAAGAGGTGAAGAGATAAGGCTGCCCGTCTGCCTCCTCCTCGATCTCGCAGATGGCAGATGCCTCATACTCTCCGCTACGATCTTTTGTTCCGGTTACCAACCGGGACTAAAAATAGATCTTTAGTACACCAACCGGGACTAAATATAGTAGGTATCTTTTTTCCCGGTTGGTGGACTAAAAATAAAGATTAAAAAGCAGCTCTAAACTTTTGAACCGGGACTAAAGATAATCTTTAATCCCGGTTTTTATTGCAACCGGGACTATTGTGGATTTTGGCTAACCGAGCAAAGATGGTTTATCCACCAGTAAGATCACGACGGGAAGAGATTAATGTGCAGTATAGTCAGTTTTGTGTCGTTGAACAGCCTTAAGCGCCCTTAATGTTGCAAATATACACGCTCACGCACGAAGTGATTGATAATAGCACACATTCAATGCAATTATGCTATAGCTAACTATTACGTACGTACCGATCGAGCAGCTTGCATCGTATGACTGTAGAGATGATTCAGACTAGAACAGCCAACGACATGTAGTACAGTACATCTTTGATTAATTAGCTCATCATGCATCGATTGCTATCTACAAGCTTCCAAGATCAATAAGAATCTTAATTTTCCAATATATATAAAAAACCAGCCAGCTGCGAATAAGATACCGACAAAGTATATACTCCCTTCATTTCTAAATATTTGACACCGTTAACTTTTTAGCATATGTTTGACCGTTCATCTTATTTAAAAACTTTTATGAAATATGTAAAACTTATATGAAATATACATATAAGTATATTTAACAATGAATCAAATAATATAAAAAGAATTAATAATTACTTAAAATTTTTAAATAAGATGAACGGTTAAACATATTTTAAAAAGTCAACAGCGTTGAATTTTTAGAAACGGAGGAAGTATGAAGTTAGGCACGCATGATGGATATGCATGCGTACGTACGTAGCTTACCTATAGCTAGGTATATCTTGGTATGTGTATATATATACGACCATATCCGAGGGCAGAGCTGCACGTAGTGTTCGATTAATTCTTGAGCTCATATATTACTTATTCATCCAAATAGTATTGGTAGCTTGTTGATCGAAGAATTAATCCATGGATGGATTGATCAGTGATGATAGTATGATGATGGGTGGTGAGGTGAGGGCGATCGAGTCGAGGCTGCCTCCGGGTTTCAGGTTCCATCCCAGCGACGAGGAGCTAGTCGGCTACTACCTTCGGAACAAGCAGCAGCAGCAGCAGCAGCAGACGGCGGCCACCTCCATGCTCGTCGAGGTTGACCTCCATGCCTGCGAGCCATGGGACCTACCAGGTAATATAATACTTACCAGTTAATCTACTACGTACAGTAGTAGACTAATTAATTAATTAATTAATTGATAAACTTTGTGAAATTGGCATATACTCCTATATGTGTAGAGGTGGCGAAGGTTGGTTCGGATGAGTGGTATTTCTTCAGCTGGAGGGAGAGGAAGTACGCGACGGGGTGGCGCAGGAACAGAGCGAGCAAGCAAGGGTACTGGAAGGCCACCGGGAAAGACAAGCCCATCCTTCATCCGACGGTGGCCGGCGCCAGGAAGACGTTGGTTTTCTACTCCGGTCGCGCCCCCAACGGCCGCAAGACCGCCTGGGTCATGCACGAGTTCCGCCTCCTCCATCATCATCATCATCCAAACCCAAATGTAATTACTCCTAATTATATTATATATATATGCATTATATATGTAGCTAATTAATCTGAATGTATGTACACTGATCTCTGCATGCAGATTCAGAATATGCAGCAGCAGGAGGGGGATGACTGGGTGCTGTGCAGGGTGTTCCGTAAGGGGAACAACAGCAATGGACAACCTCTAGCCACTTCTTCGCCACCTGCTCATCACCTGGTGGAGTCACTCATCAGCTCACCTGCACCAACTATCATGAGCGATCACGATCGGCTCTTCACCATCCAGCTGCCGCATCACCAACATTGTGATGAGCAGTACTTTTTCTTAGATGACGATGAACAGCACCAGCAGCAGCTGCTAGATCTTTCAGTGCTCCAAGCTCCAACCTCGTTCGAGTCTGAGCAAGCTCCAGGCCACGGTGGCATGGAGATTAATATCGCAGAGATGGAGAGCTTCGACACGACCTGTGCTGCGCTGCAAGACGCGAGCGATTACTGCATGCAGCTCTATTAATTAATTCAATGGATGGATGAATCACACGTATATATACGCATAGCCTTAAATTAATTAATGTGTATCATCAGCTTAATTAATTGCGCACTTGGCTTATGCTGCTTGCTCTTGCTTTTTATATACGATACACAATCATAAAAACATATACAGTGCATATCATCTACGGGTAGTTTAGTTGGGCAGGGAATGCTTAGATTCAGAAACTGCGGACTGATAAACAGCAGCAATAAATTAGCTGCTTGAGGACGGAATAATGCTCAGTGTAGAGTATATGGATGTTATCTGTTTGCAAGATGATATTTTGAAGCAAAATAATAAAATATAGATACATGTATGGACAGGGGCGGATCCAGAAACAAAAAATTGAGGGACTCAATTACACAGTTTTTTCAACCTCTAGTCATTTAGGGACCTTTAGTTTATTATTCATGGTGAAAAAATTGAAGGGGGTGCTTCGGGGGTATCCATGGGTCTTGTGGGTGTACGGGGGCTCGAGCCCCCCCTGCACCCACGTTGGATCCACCCATGTGTATGGATGTTATCTGCAGAATAATGAATAATTTAAATGATATTTTGAAGCAGGGTAACAAAATAAAAATATGTATGGATGCTTATTTGCAGAATAATAAATAATTTAGATGGTACTTTTGAATGAAGCAAAATAATGGAAATTTTTAGATGGTATTTTGAAGCAGAATAATAAATTTGAATTTAGATGGTAATTATGGAATCCGTCACGATGTTGTCTTCCGTGGAGAATCCCCCTCTCTGCATAGACTAGCTTCTAGGTGTATATGCAACTTTGTGGGCAAAGAGACTTATTTGTGCTGACAGGATCGTTGTAGAATCCTGGAAACAAATTCTTTCGGAATTGCTAAAAATATGTCGCCAGTTTTTTGGGCTGATTTTAGTCGGTGTCGCTGGCCGTATGATTGCTCCGCGAGTATTTGCTGGTCGTTGGATGTTTTCACACACGGCGGCATTGCGGCAAGCCCTAATCTTGTTTGTTGATTAGCGTTAAACATTGCACTCATATCTTCTCTTATACAAGTTACATCACACTTACACACCACTTACATATGTAATTAGTATATAATTTTAGTATTTACATATGTAATTTTAGAACTTACATATGTAATTCTAGGACTTACATTGTAAATACACTAAAATTACATATGTAATTTAGGGACTTACAATATAAATACATACCGACTATTTTTTGGTGAAAAATATGGCGCCATAAATATAGCTACTCCCAATTCTTTCCTTCCCCTTTTGCACAATGTAATCTAAAGCTGTGTACTTCTCCTATCTTTCAATGAAAATATAGGTGGGGAGAAGCTCCCCCCTGGTGACCAGTCAAAAAAAATTAGATGGTACTTTTGAATGAAGCATAAAAATGAAAATTTTTAGATTGTATTTTGAAGCATAATATATATATATATATATATATATATATATATATATATATATGGTGGTTATCTGCATAATAATAAATAATTAAATGATATTTTCAAGCAGGATAACAAAAAATGAATAATAAAAATATGTATGGATGTTTATCTGCAGAATAATAAATAATTTAGATGGTACTTTTGAATGAAGCGGAATAATAAAAATATGTATGGATATTTATATGCAGAATAATAAAAAAATTAAAAAAACACGTTTGAAGCAGAATAATAAAAATATGTATGGATATTTATCTGTAGAATAATAAAAATTTAAAATAACACGTTTGAAGCATAATAATAAAAATATGTATGGATGTTTATCTGCAGAATAATAAAAATTTAATTTTAAAAACCACGTGTGAAGCAGAATAATAAAATTTTAAATAATAAAAATATGTATGGAGGTCTATTTGCAGAATAATTAAAAGTTTATCGGCAGAATAATAAAAATTTAATGGATGTTTATCTGTAGAATAATTAATAGTTTATCTGCAGAATAATATAAATTTAATTTTAAAAACCACGTTTGAAGCAGAATAATAAAATTTTGAATAATAAAAATATGTATAGATGTTTATCTGCAGAATAATAATAAAAATTTTAAAAATAATATTAAAACCCACGTTTGAAGAAGAAGAATAAAAATATGTATAGATGTTTATCTGCAAAATAATAAAAAATTTTAAAAACACGAAATCTGCAAAATAATAAAAAAATTCTAAAAACACGCTAGAAGGAGGGCTTGAACCTCCGACCTTGTGGTTAACAGCCACACGCTCTAACCAACTGAGCTATTCCAGCTTATGGTTACAAATTTACAAACTCTGATAATATCTTACTTAAAGCCAAAGAATATTCTGCCCTGCACTTGCACGGACTGAATGCTGTCGTTGACACTGGCATACTACTGTACTCTATTAAGCTTGGGAAGGAACATTTGCAACTGCGCCTTCTCTCTCTCTCCCTGTGTGGGCTTGTTTACTTTTTTACCATTTATAAATTTTGACATTTCTAACATTTGGTAAGATAGCAAACTTAATTATAACACTAAGGCCGTGTTTAGTTCCAAAGTTTTTCTTCAAATTTCTAACTTTTCCATCACATCAAAACTTTCTTACACACAAACTTCTAACTTTTCCGTCACATCGTTCCAATTTCAACCAAACTTCCAATTTTGGTGTGAACTAAACACACTCTAACAACACAATCCTACCAACTTTTGAAAATTTGAAACTTTCCACTCACAAAACTTCAATCAAAATTTGATAAGGTATTAAACCAAACATCGCATAATTATCTTACCAAAAATTAGTAGTACCGAAATTTAGCATTGCCAAGTATTAATGAGATTTTTTTCTAATGAAATAAACAAGCTCTGTTTCCATCACTAATATTTCACTATATCAAAAAGATCCATCATCAATACTCCCCCGTTTCATATTATAAGTCATTTAACTTTTTTCTTAGTAAACTTTTTAAAATTTGACCAAGTTTATAATAAAATATAGTAACATTTTCGATACAAAATAAATATTATATCAAAAATATATCCAATGTTAGATTTAATGAAACTGATTTGGTGCCGTAGATATTGCTATTTGTCATATAAAGTTGATCAAACATAAAGAATTTTGAAAAAAAAGATAAATGACCTATAATATGAAATGGACGAAGTACTGTATTTGTTTATGTTGTTTGTAACAAATCAGACACCTTGATTCTTTTCTTGCAGTTAGGTTACTTGTGTTAGGTTATTTGCCTAACTCCATATAATACTGTGTCTTTCAGTCAGACCTCTATTACAAACAATTCTAATAGACAGAGAGTCAGAGATGGCGGAGCCAGAATTTTTTCAAGCATAGGGCTCAATTTAGTTGAATTTATATAATTTTGCCTTTATCTTCTAGTTTTTGAAGTTTTAAAATGGAATTTCAATGCATATTTAGGATCAGGAGTAGGGCTACAGCCCTAGCTGCCCTACTCCTGTCTCCGCCCCTCAGATATATATACAGTACAGCCATACAGGGTGGCAGATGCATACTACAGTGTGGAGTCCATATGTTAAAGCAAGTGCAGTAGCAATTGAAAGTATGTTACTCCACTAGTCATGGATTACTGTGCTGAATATGATATATTTATTCCCTGTGTCTATAAAAACGGTGTATGCGGGCCATGGCTTCCAGTGTACTGAGCCAATCGGCCCAACAAGGCCCACGTGTAAGCACAGCAGCTGTCGTCAAGAGATGAATTCAATTCAAACCTGGGCTCAAATCAGCAACGAGATGCGCTTTAGCTTCCGGCCCACTTCCCCAGCCCGAGACGAAGTCCGTGTCGTATCCCTCCCAGTACTACCAGGCCGCCACTCTCCTCTCCTCAACGCACCACTCCGCCGCTCCCCCGCTCGGGCGCGGCTCTCGTTTCCCGAACCTTCTAGAAGCTTGGTGCTCCTCCTGCTCACCTCCGCCGGCGACGCAGGTGCGATCTCTCAACTCGTAGCCTCCCCTGGTTCGCACGATTCGGTTCCGATCAGGCTGGCTCTCTCGTTTGTGGCGATTCGAGGCGATCAGCTTTCTCGAGACCCTTCGGCGGCTTGATCTGGGATTGGGGAGTTGACGCGGATTTGCCTAGTGGAATTCACTGAATAGCTCGTTCACTATATATAATCCGCTGGGTTTTGGTGGGTTTTATGGGTCAACTAGTTTCCAGAGCTAGCGCTCGATTGGTTACACCCATTCAAAATCGCTGGTTCAATTGTTCAGATGCTTGATCTAACCATTTTCCTTTTTTGATACGGCATACTTGATCTAACCATTCAAAATCGCTGGTTCAGTCGTTTAAGTATCTCTGTGTAGTGTCAATGTGCATGTCTTAGGATTCATACTCTGATGATTTTTCATATTGGACTTGTTTGACTATAGGGACACCATCTTTGGGCAATATATTGGCACTTCGATTTTACGAGGTATGATAGTCTGATGTAATGTTGTTCATAGTTCTGACTGTTTATGATTCTTTTTTCACAAATGTGCTCTCGTGAATATTTCACCGATATATGCTACTCTTCTTCTAATATGTTAATGTGCAAGGCTTTTGCGCGTACGTGAAAAAACAAACACAAATGTGCTGTCGTAACTACTGTTTATCTAAAGAACTTTCCATGTGCATACCGTTGGGTAAAGGCTAAATTTAATGTTGTTCCTTTAACAGGCATTAGGAAGTGATTTATTCTTCTCTTGAACAGACCAAATTGGCCATGCATATGTGGTATCCATGATTGCTAGGGGAATTAGAGTTATGACGGGTTCAGACCAGCCTGTCGTTCTGCACATGAAGACCTTAATGGTGTTAAGAAAAATTTAGTTCAAGGTGCGCTCCCTATTATCAAGGTTAGAGTCTTGACCTATATTGTTCTAACCAGAGGTGCCTGTTCGAGTAAAATCAGTTCATATGTCATTTGATACTTTGACTTTAAATGCAAGCTATTACTTTGTTCATATAGCTCAAATGAGGTCAAACAATAGTAGAATGCTAACGTTGGCACACAATTACTTTTCTGATGTAATCCCGTGATGATGCACAATGTGAGGCTAATATATTCTGACCTTTTTGCAGTGGCACTGGTGGGGACATATTTACTCAGAATGGACTGTTGTTTCTTGTGCACGTTCTGTTATCACATATTCTTCTGGGAAAAAGAGTACTGCTGGCAATCCCCTCCCCTCTTCCTCTTCCTCTTATCATTAAAATAGCTGTGAATCCATTTTTTTTAAAAAAAAAAAACATGTAAGACCCTGAATTTGACTTTAATGGAGAAATTTGAAAATATGCGTAGGGAATCCCTGCATATGCACACTCACCTAATCTCAAGGAGAAAAACTAGTTATTCCAACTAATAATGGGCTCGAACTTGGTGAAATATGATTTGTACAGCACTACAGCCAAACCTCAAGTGCAGCCATTCGACCATGTTAACAGCACCATTTGAAATTTTTGACACAAACAACAAACTTGTGGCTATTCCTATCTATAGTAAAAGGTCGGAATAGATTTTATCAAACAAATTGATCTTGTCCTACAGGATTCAGTTGATGCTGTTAAAACTGGAATATTGTGGGTGGATGGATGCATTCTGTGCTAGTTACTACTCTTACTCTATATGCGTTGATCTAGTCGTCCATGCATTGCTTCTCGCTGAGTTGCTGGTGCTTTGTGAGATCCAGACTTTTCTGAACACCATTCTATCATATATAGAGAAGTTAGTTAGGATGTCTTTCCTGCACGTGCAGTATTTTGAATTTCTTCTAGAATTGCCGGATCATGAATACCACGAATGAGATTATGAATTATTAAGTGCAACAAGGGCAGCATCCTTACGTTTCCAGTAAGGATGCATCGTTAGAATAGCATTCGCCAGCTTCCAAAGTATGTAGAATACATGAACCTGATAGCCAGATACGCTGGCACGAGTATGTCTGTTACTTTACATACGGCAAAAACGTTAAGCCAGTCGATCGGCAGTTTGACTCTGTTAAATGTTCAGGATCAGATTTAGCACGATGGTTGTTGATATTCTGATATGCATGTCAGGTTTGTGCATACGGTTTCCAATGCATCTTGGACACGCCAGCAACCAACTTTACTTGAACCTCATGGAGCTATCATCAACATGAGGATGCTATATTATCCCTGCGAAAATCCCAGATGCAGAAGCAGACAGGCTCAGAACGTTACTGTGAACACGTGCATCGTCTGCAACCGGGAAATTCCAGGTATTTTTCTCAGATCATATGACCCCTAACCGCTGTCACCCTCCCAATCTCTTTTTCATGAAGATGGTCACGACTTTTGGTACTTACTGTGCAAATACGACGTATTGGATCGTGCATCCCTTTAATTAAGCATTGGCAAGTTTTTTGAATGACGAATTGACGACTGTCGTTAAATCCCAAGATGTACCTGGTAACAATGTTTACCACTGTCTAATGGTTGTTACTCGATGGAAAGATGGTAGAGATTGGTGGGGTAAATTATGAGCAAGATTAGGAATCAACACGGTTAGGCTGGGACAGGGTACTCACGCTCATCCCTAAACAGAACTTATACTTGTTTGCTAATTAAATAGTACTATTGCTGTGCCATATTCAACATTCAAGCCTTGTTTAGAGCATGGGAGTTCTCTCTTTTTTTTCCCCTGCTAGAATTTATTTCACTCATAGTTGCACTAAAAGATGTAGAACAGTAGAACTGTAGAAGAGATCGTTGTTCCCCCGACTCTAGGCCCATGGAGTGACAGTGCGTTGATACTCGATAGCAGATAGGATAGAGAGTTGCGTTGGGATGTCAGTGTCATCTAACCTTGTGTAGAGGTGACGGACCGGTACCAATGAAGCTGTGAGTGCTGTGGTGCGTTGATGCATCCATAATTCATCAAAACATGAAATAGACGGTGGTCAGGCCGTCAGCGAACTATCAGTGACAACGTCATCAATGCCAACTAGAACCATATATATAACCCAAGCCTCTATGGTAAGTAAATTGCCTACGTAAGACAATAATATCCGACGATTAGTGATATCTGGGTTATTTGTTCACAATTGTTGACGACTAGTTGTAATTCCTGTTGGCGGCAAGTAGCCCAAAACTGTTGGGATAATAATGTGATGGATATAATATCATCCTCAACTTGATACAAAATAGTGGTGATAGGCCACTATTGTTATTGCAACAATGGTAACAGGGTATTGACACTACCACGAGAATATTGTGCTGCTAAAATAGCTAGAGAATAATATGGGATAAAATAGAGAACGTCTCTCTAGTTTATTCCTACTAGAGGTGATAGTGACGCTATTGCACTCGCAATAGCAATAGCGGGTTATTGACACTACCATGGAAATATTGTGTTGCTAAAATAGCTAGAGAATAATGTGGGATAGGATAGAAAATCTCTAAGTTTATTCCTACTTGAGTACGGTTTTATTTGTGTTGAATTGGCATGGGTCTGGCCTGTTAAGCCTGTTGGTCTGACCAGGCTTGGGCTTTTTATGCTTACATGTACCCGTGACAACCCCTTTTTTTTTAAAAAAAAAAGTGTGCACTGTAACTTCGATTTTTTTAAGTTGGAACTAAGGTATGGTTTTTTATGACTTACTCTAAAAAAAATTGAATTTTTATCAAGTTGATTTGGTGCCAGCATTTTACGTTAATCGATACATATGTATTTCACTGGATTCTTTATAAATAATGATGTGGTTCATTGAAACGGTGTGCCAACATATATACTCTAATCGAGCACTTTGAGAAAACTTACACGTGTATTAGAAACATCTGACTAATGATTTAAGTAAATCATGTTATAATGATTTAGATTGGAGGTTCCTTTGATTGAAGGAAATTCAAAGATTTTTCAAAGGATTCTAAGCCTTAGGAATTTTTCCTTTTGTTGTTTGAAAAAAAAGGGATTTGAGCATATCATACTCCTATGAATTGCTATCCATTGCACCAATTCCATAGGAAATTTTTCCATGAGTCCTTCTCGCTGCTTGGAGTCTGTTTTTAGCCGCCGTAATTTCTCTAAGCTTCAGTTTTTTCTTCTTTTGCTTTTTCTTCCTTCCCCTAGCATAAGACAGTCTAGCTGATTACGTCGTGTAACTAAAACTCTTTTTCTTCTAATATATTGACGTGCAATCATTTTACGCGTTTGCGAAAAAAATTTTCCACGAATCCAAACCTCTTTTTTATTTTTCCTCTGAGAAGCCCAATGGATCTCTCTTAATTCCATCAAATTTCTATATATGATTAAAATTTTAATATTTCTGATATTAGTAACAATAGTACGGACAATATGTACGGGGTTAACAATTAGTATGTGTAATTCAATAAAATAAGATATGCACATATACTTTTGCTGAACTTTAAATGTTATCTTTTGTGGTTCTTTGTCTGCATGCCCAATAGTTCGTAGGCACTGTCGAGAGTTTAGATTATACTCCCTCCGTCTCATAATATAAGGGATTTTGAGTTTTTTCTTGCAACATTTGATCACTCGTCTTATTCAAAAAAATTTGAAATTATTATTTATTTTATTTGTGACTTATTTTATTATATACAGTACTTTAAGCATAACTTTTTGTTTTTTATATTTGTAAAAAAAATTGAATAAGACGAGTGGTCAAACGTTGCAAACAAAAACTCAAAATCCTTTATATTGTGGGACGGAGGGAGTATATAACATCTTCTTTAGAAAATGGATAGAAATCTAGCCTCTATATCTACAAGTGACATACAACTAAAGTTTACAGGAATACTAGATTCCAAGTCTCATAAGTGAGAAAACAAAAAACACCACAAAAGAACAAAAAAAAAAACTAAAACACTGGAAGACTAATTTCAAATTTAGATGTAGAGGCTGGGTTTTAATCTATTTTTTAAAAGAAAGATTGTGTAGGTTAACTTTTAGTGATGTTAGATCGATTTGTTGGACGTTTTTGGAGCGTGCATTGGATAGGGTTAGAAAATCATCGGCCATGAATCTCCTAGTCCATTGGTGGCTCATCAATCATCGTATTGATCTATGGCACCGACCGGTGAGCTGCTGAGTCGGAATGGGTGGGGAGTGAATCGGAGGACACTCCAGCAGAGTCCAACACTCGAGCTGCCTGCCTACGCAACCGCCGGCGGCGAGAAAATTGAAATGATGCCACGGCCAAAGGCGGCGACAGCGGCAGCGCTGCAGGCTCGATCCCTCGCTTTCTGTCCCTCCCCTGCCGGGGCTGCAATATTACACCTGCAACTGCAAGCATGCAATGGCATGGCATTTTGGATCATATCTCTCCTGCCTGCCTGCCTGCCTGTTGACATGCCCTTCACGACCCCACTCAATCCGCACTCGATTTTTTTTTATTTTGAAATATTTAAATTTTTAATTTTAAAAATAAACACTTCCAAAATTTATTTTCAAGACCTGTTTGAGCTGATCTGGCTGGCATGCCAACGTTACCTGATCACGTCACGTTGACAGCGTTTTTTTTTAAAATTACACAGTACAACGTAGACACTCACAACGCACGCACACTCACCCGTATGAGCGCACGCACGTAAACCTTAACTCTATGAGCATCTTCGAAGAATAGGCCGGCAAATCCATTCTGGAGATTGACGAAGTCAACACAGACGCATCGTTGTCGACGAGTACGTCGCGTACCACTGAAAGCACAAAGCCATTAAATCCTGAAAAATTTGCTCTCATTGGGAGTCAAACCCAGGACCTAAGGTGCTACTGAGGCTCTTGTAACCACTAGGCTACAGGCTCTTTCGCACGTTGACAGCGTTATTTGGCCATGCCCTGTTATGTCCGTTGTGTGTGGCGTGTCAATATTATTTTAGTACGCTAGGCAAGTTGGCGTTGCCAAAAGATTCAAATTCTAGAAATAAGTTTTTGAAGGGTTTATTTTTAAAATTTAAAAACAAGAAAGTTCAAAAAGAAAAAAAAATCCCCGCACTCACCCCTGCCCTATCACCGGTTTATCTCTTCTTTTCTTATCTGCTTTGCTCCTCCTCGCACTCGGCACTCGACAGCTCTACCTCTCGATCGAGTGGTTGGTCCGCTGCTCGCATCCATCCATGTTTTTAGTGTGCTCCAGCCTGCAGCAGTTGAAACTTGAAACCCCAAGGCAGCTCAGGCTCAGCTACCTAGCAATTCATCTTTGGTCACTGACGACTAAAAAGGATGCGTGCATAATAATACATGAGTGCTCCATTAATTTATCTCTGAATGAATTGAGTTTTCAGCCAGACAAATGGAGCCATCGATTGGGCAGCGGTAGCACGATCGATAGCAAGATAAAAGCTCCTGTCGTGGCACTGTATGAGGCGTACAAAACACACGAGCTCAACAGCCATAGCTAGACCTCGACACAGATTTGACCGAAAGCCCTTGGAAATGGACTGCACTCTGTGAGTGCGTGCAAAAGGCTCGCCTGCGGGATCCACGTGGCGACCTCCCGTTGGTCCCAGCCCCAACCTGCTCGGGAGAAACGTCATTATATTGTTTGACTCGGTACAAAATCAACCAAAAAGATAAAAAATTATATTAAACGCCATTAGCTAATTTAGCTTTCGACCTTTTCCTGGGTGTTGGATAAGATCATCCATGCATGCAGGAGTAGGCCACACCATCCAATTCCGTATACGCATCCTCCTCCACTCTGCCCCTGTCCTGTGTTGCTGCTGCTATGCTCTGGCATTCTTTAGGGAGCTTGAGATTTTAGAAACAGATTTCTTTTTAGTAATTACAAACTGAGATATGAGTCTTAGAAAAAGATATTTTTTCAGCTTTTACTTTGTAGTCTATCTTTTAATCTATAACTATATAGAGTCGAATTTAGATGAAAATTTATATAATTTGAAGAGTTAATTACTAGGAGTAACTGATGGATGGTGCAGTGTTAACGCGGCGGCGATCCGTTGGTTAATTGGAAATGGGCAGATGAGAAGGAAGGAGGCAGGCAGGCAATGCATGCATGATGGAGTTGTCGCGTCGGCTTCGCTTTTGCGACGACCACCAATTACTTGTGTCGCCTTGTTGCGGTTTCTGTAGGAAAAACACATCTGTCGATCGATCCTTTGCCCTTGCCCACCGGGGTCGCCACTACCACTCTCACCCAACTCTCAACGCGTATATATGCTTTGCTTGCCCAATGTCATGTATATATGTACCTAGCTAGTACCTGCCATGCATCTCTGTCACTCACTTGACCAGTATACATGCATAATTTCTTTATAAAATGAAAATACCATCACACGTGTTTCTTATGGTAATTGAAGACCTTCAACTTTTCTAGTATTATAATTTGTTGTCTAAATTTCAATTCATGCATGCAACTCTGCTAAACGAATTATTAAGAGCTAATTAAGGTATGTATGTATATATATATATATATATATATATATAAAAGCTAGGTTGTCGTAGCAGACACAACATACAATCTCTTATCATGGGGCTAGATATAAAGCGAGGGACAAAGCTCGATTTGAGGTTCGATTTCCTGGATCCTGATGCATACACATAAAACTGTGAGTAACCAAAGGCTGGGGGGAAAGTACGTCGTAGATATCATAGGGTTGTTTGCTCTTTAGCTCTCATCCTTTTTCCTTCAACTTAGATATCATTTGGCTAGCTATATTCGCACTAGCTAAGATAGCCCCAACACGTACATACACTAATTAACATGGATATTAATTCTTGAAACATTAACAAACTGTTTACCTGCACGTTATGTACTCGCTTTCTAGAGAGGCCCCAGCAGAGAGAGCAAAACAGTCGATCTGGAGAGCTGTGGATGAGGTCACTGTACCGGCGAATTAAGAGCGTGCCTGCCAGCTTGTTTGGTAAAGACAGGAGGAAACCATATGTACGTATCAACGCCAGAGAGGTGGGGATGGAAGACCAGAAATTATAACAGTAACAAATAATCATCTGTTCCTACTGTTATCAGGTCAAAGGGTTGCCCATATCAAGCACATGTTTCAGTGTTCCTATCCTTATTCTTGCCAAACAAAACAAAAATGATAAGATCAGATCAGCTGACCAAAACAAACAAGTAGATGCTAGTAGTATTTAACTACAAGAATGAAAAGGTGAACACCACTACTTACGTAGCTTGTTGCTAATTAGGCGTCAAGTTGTTGTATTTAATTTACCTGCATGGATGTTTTCTTTTAGAACACTGTTGCTCGCTATCAGTAGTATGATAATAATAAGATAAATGAGGTGGCTAGCAAGGCTATGGTACCAACAGGCAACGAGCAGCAGAGGCGAATGGGACGTGTGTTTCATCATCAAGCACAAGCTAGCTAGCACTACACTGTTACTGTCCATTCTCCATTCAGGCAGCTAGCGCTGTTGCAAGATAGGTCGCCCGGCCCCAGACATCCTTTCTTTATATAAACCAGCCAGCCATGGCGCACCCAAACACAAACACAAAGAGAGCAAAACTTAAGCTAGCTCTGGGTGCTGCATTGTCTGCAGTTTACAAAGGTAGATCAATTAGAGGAGAATGAGGCAGCAGCAGCAGCAGCAGCAGGAGAGCAGGTTCAAGAGGACCTGCGTGTTCTGCGGCAGTAGCCAGGGCAACAAGACCACCTACCGCGATGCCGCCGTCGACCTCGCCAAAGAGCTGGTACACAACTACACTCTCTCATAGCATGCATCTATGTTTAACAGCATATCATGAATCTCTCTCTTTAGTTTTGTTTAGATTGCGGTTCCTTTCCATAATTACACCTCAAAGCAGGAAGCAAAGGTTTATAATTAATTAATATAGGCGTGGATCTTTAATAAATTGTGATCATATATATGCGCTGGCAAAACAGGCTATCTTTCACCTGCATATATATAATCACAATATATATTGTGTTATCAAAATCAAAATTAAAGATCCACGCCTGTGTAGAGGCCGAATTTTATCTATTCATTGTCTAAAAAGATACTCTCCGTTTCAGGTTATAAGATGTTTTGACTTTGATCAAAGTCAAATTGTTTCAAGTTTGACTAAAGTTATAGACAAATATAGTAATATTTATAATACTAAATTAGTTTCATCAAATCAATAATTGAATATATTTTTATAACAAATTTATCTTGGATTGAAAATGTTACTACTTTTTTTATACAAACTTGATCAAACTTAATGCAATTTTACTTTGACCAAAGTCAAAACGTCTTATAACCTTAAACGGAGGGAGTATATTGTACTAGTTAACTACAAACTATCGGTTACCACTTACTAACGGATACTGTAACGGGAACAGCTCAACATATCAACAAAGTTTTAAGAGTTGGTAAAACTTATTCGGTTTCATCCGTTTTTATTCGGTTACTGCCAGGTAGTGGTAACCCCATCCATATTGGATAAGGAAACCTGCTTCCAATAGATCGACACGATACCCTCGTCCCCTTTTCTATTCAATTGGACTACATGGCTGCTTTACATCCATCATCACTTTTTTTTTTGAAAACTACTCTATCTGTCCCATAATATAAGAAATTTTAAAGGGATTTGACATATTCACAATGGATCTAGATAGGCTCTATGTCTAGATTTACCGTACTAGAATATGTCACACCCTTTCAAAATCTCTTATATTATAGGACGGGGGAGAAGTATGCACTACTAATCAAGAGACTATATTGTGGCAACGTGTTCGAACAATATCCAGTTCGGTGGTACAGTAAGAAACACTACAATGGTACTGGTTGTATTCGACAGTGAAATTCAGACGTTTATAGTATTTCGCGTGCCTCCCTTTGTTTTTTTTCCTTCATCGAAAGAAAAAGGAAACAGAGGGACAGGTCTACGTTCTGTTCTGCAAAGGAGTACTAGTACGTATCAAGACAAGTACAGCAGCATGTACAGAGATTTTGTCATGTCAGAAAATGGCAACGCCCATGCGTTCCTCTGCATCTCCTGTCTGCATGTGTATCCCCAAGTTTTATGGGAACAGGAGAACGCTGCCCCATTGTTGCCTCTGCAACGAATTTGCTGCTGCACTGCACGATGATGATGAGGAGTTGTTGTTTCCGTGCAGGTCGCGAGGGGCATTGACCTTGTGTACGGCGGCGGCAGCATTGGCCTCATGGGCCTCGTCTCCCAGGCCGTCTACGACGGTGGCAGACATGTCATTGGGTACACACTCTCTTCTTCTTCTTCCTCTTTCCATCTTTAATTTCCCTGGCCTCTGAATTTCAATCCACCACGACAGTCAAGCTTCAGGTTCTATGTTAAAGGCCACTGATGTTATTGCGTCATGCCATAGCTTCTATGTTAAAATACTCTACGCATGATATTTTGTCAGTTTAGCTTAGGATTGATGCACAGTTAATTAATTAAGTCTGATTGAAGAGTATTTTTATTATATTACTCCCTAGTACGTCCATTAATATTGATGCAAGTATATGCCAGTACAAGGAAGTGCTCACTCTGTTGTTTCATGCTCTTGTCTTCCATGCGCGTGCAGGGTCATCCCCAAGACTCTCATGACCCCCGAGGTATGAATTGCACATCTCCCCTACTGCTATTCTACTTCACAAGTGAAATTATTACTGTAAATTACTATCATATACTAGTTTTAGCACCAATCACCACCAGTATATGCTCCTTTTAAGTTTCAATCATGGCAATGCACTGACACTTGATAGTTTTCAATTGTGTTACTACTAGGCCCCAGGGCTAGTTGACACTCTATCAGATATATAGCAGTAATCCTTGAGCACTTGAATCGATCGAGTGTCTCCTGGGAAACAGAACAGGCACTGCTTAGAAACTGAAAACAACAGTTTAATCTAATCACCTGGATGGGATGGAGTATAGTCGTACTTTTGTAGTCGATTGCGCGCCTGCGGCACAAATCCAAACCCGGGCGTGAGTATAAACTAGAGGAGCACTGCAGCTTTGCAGATGATTCCTCAAAGACATGCTTCCCTTGGAAGTCGAGGCAACGTTTGCCTGTCTCTATAGCCTTCTCCTCAAAAGAATGTTCTTGTTTGCTACTCCTACTACAACTCCATCCATGAAGTTTTAGAAGCAGGAATGCAGGCATGAGGCATCCTAGATGACCTTGATTGATGAAGCAGAGGGCATTGATCTCTGCAGCTACCTGCATCAGCCCATCATGTATTACTTGATGGCTCATGCAACAGCTCAATCCTGCTTGCACATGGTTGTTGCATTGCAGTAATTTCTCATTGCACTTGCTCACAGCCATATGTACTGTGAATCTGTAATAGAGTACAGTACTGTTTTTCCTTCTTGCCACGTGCATGATAGGAGTAATGTCAACGGTAATTAATTGGCATCAATGTGTACTTCCCTGGCTCAGCAGTGTGGTACGACTAGGAGTTTTTGCCTCAGAATGGTTTAGAGACAATGCATGATGCATCATATATAGTCATAGCATTGTAATATACTTTTAGCCACCTGCAAAAATAGTTTTAGTAGTAGTGAATTAACCAGTAATCTTTAAGTAATACTGAAGGGGATATATGGATGTATGTTGTTGTTATCTGCAGATAATCGGAGAGACAGTAGGGGAGGTGAGGCCAGTGTCCGACATGCACCAGAGGAAGGCTGAGATGGCGAGGCAGTCTGATGCATTCATAGCCCTGCCCGGTGAGCGCTGCATAGCCCTGCATTTCATAACTGTGCATTGCATTCCATTTCTCAATTTTGTCAGGTCAAGGCGCCAGCAAGATCTCCACGGCTAGTACTGCCTCTTAAGAGCAAGGTTAATAGTAGTTGTAGGCAGCCGGCGTTAATTCCATCCAACTCAGCTAGTAACTCTTTTTGCACCTTGTGAATACAATAAGTGACCTGCAACGCTGGGCCCATCAACTTCACATCATAATAAAATAACTTAAGCTTCCTCTCACACATGCAGCTCACAACCTTTGCGCTCACCACTTTTCACCATTTTTCTCTCGAAGCTGGTGCTAGAGCCAGCGATAAAATTGTCGCCCACTCTCACTCTCTCTCCTCTTCTCACTCATCCAGCTCAACACTGTAGCTGACGTGTTTCTCCTATCGCCAGTCCAGCTTGTACTGTTGTACTCGCTCTAATAAATCCTCTAGTAATAGTACTGCGTGTGTCAGACAAGTAATAACACGCCAAGTGGCAACGTGGCACCCTTGTTTACTTACGGTATTAGTATTACTGATCTTCTGTCGTTTAGAGTACCACAAACTAACTAGAATGTATCGAAACAATTCAGGAGGATACGGAACACTGGAAGAGCTGCTTGAAGTCATCACATGGGCGCAATTAGGCATCCATCATAAACCGGTATAATTCAGTGCATTAATCGCTATATTATGGAGTATATAAGCACTCGCTTCTCTCTGAAACGAACTCTTTACGATATTATCCATTTCATCTTAATTCAGTGCTAATGATTTCTGACAGAGAGCTTTATTCTTTTCCTGATGAACCATGCATCTTTCAGGTTGGGCTGCTGAACGTTGATGGGTACTACAACTCCCTGCTCACATTCATCGACCAAGCCGTGGAAGAAGGCTTCATCAGCCCCAGTGCTCGCCGCATCATCGTGTCGGCTCCAACGGCACAAGAACTCATGGACAAGCTTGAGGTAGTCTAAATTAACAGCTCATGCAAAGTTTCTTTTTTTTTTTAACTACTCCCTCCATCGCAAAATATAATGTTTATAAGTTAATGGTCTTCAACGTAAAACTTTAACTGTTGCTTTCATCCATGATATATTATCGACAACAACAAAATTAACATAATATGAAAAATACTTTTTTTTCAAGAATACGCATAAGGATTACATATCTTTGTATTAAGATTGAAAAAGGAAAACGCTTTTAAATGCAAATTTAGTGATATAACTATGCGTGGCACTGAACATATACAGTGTTTTGGTTTTATTACTGGTCACAAATTTACAAAGGTTGAATTTTCTTAAAACAAGGATCTCCATCTCAATTATGACTTGCTTTTAATTGCTCTGTGCACAACTGACTGTATCTCAATCTATTTATGCAGGAATACGTCCCTTACCATGATAGGGTTGCGTCTGGGCTGAACTGGGAGACTGGTCATCTAGGGTTCTAAGCTGTTGCAGCGAGCTTAATTAAGCTTAAATGAATTGAAGAAAGGCGAACCATCGAGCAGCCATCAACATTAAGCATTGCTTGTTAATTGTGCTCGATCTATGTAGTAGTAGTAGCAGCTTGTTAACCAGTCTAGATTGTCTTTTTTTTTTCTCCTACGAAGCATGGAGTTTGTCATCTCAGTTTGGGTAAGAAAAACTAGTAGCACCTAATCAGCCATATATCGATGTTCAAGATCCAGTAACTGAGAATTAATTGACACTAAACCAAGTGTCAAAGATTGACCTGATCTGGTTACTGCATCATAAGTTTTAAGATTGTTGCAAGTTGTTGATTGAAACACTCTTTGTTTTGGAGATGTAAGCCGTTTCTATTTCCATTTCCATTATTTGATCGGTGTTATTATACACACTGATACATATTGAGCGAAAGCAAAAGAGGCCCATAACATTATTTAGAAAGTGTTATGGGCTTGACATTAAAATGGATCGGTCCGACTTTTCCGCCATTATTTCAATTCGGCCCATTAGTCGCAAACGGGAAAATGGGCCATTAACAGATTCGTGTTGCCACGATGATATACCGACATTGCTGCGCCTCAATTGGAACAGAAAAATTATGGTAAAATAGAAATTTATTTAAGCATTTTTTTCCCGACCGTTTACATCCCTGGAATCCGCTGTAATTCCTGCAAAGCACCGTGTAGACAAAGGCAAAGGCAAATTTGTTCGTCCGGCTTCAACATAAATTTATCTTACTTTCTACACTCAAAAGTTTGGTATTCCACTTCCCTTGCTTTTCAGATGTGCACTTTGGTTTCTCAAAGGGTTTTTTTTTTTTGAATAAAATGGTCATCGCAATACTTGGATATAGGAAGGAAAGGGTTATGGATGCATAATGCAATTGATCCTTAATTAGTCCTAATCTGTCATCGCATACACGATGGATTGTTTTCCAGCTGCTTGCACCAACTTGCATTGCCACTTGCCCTTTCACTTGAACAACTTACTGCTTCATGTTATATGACTTCCTACTTTACATTTTTTTTGGGTAAGACCTGACTTCGTGACATTACTATTGCACTATGTTCTCAATGAACCTAATTCATGTATTTTTCTGTTTCAGATGATGAGAAAGTTCCTGTCATAAAAAAAGATGGTGAGCAAGTTGATAAAGTCACTGTCCTGGGATTTATCCTTGGGTTAATCAAACGTCGTTTGTGGCAGATTTATGTTTTCCAGTCTCAAAGATCTTTTCTCCGTCAACCTCTTACATCAATCTCGCTTACTTTGTTTCAGTTGATTGTGTTTGCGAGACTTGGGGTTGTCGTCTCGTAGTTACATACCCGAAGCCTGATTGCAAAATGTGCCAACCCTAATTCTAATGTTGTTGTACATCCCAGATCAGAAAAATTCCAGTGTGGGCAGCAAAAGGACGGCAAATTCGCATACGTACAGCAAATGCTAATTTAATAGTATGATAATACTAATTTGTTGGTACTGATCTCAAATCAGATAAACAAGACAGGTTATGATATACTGAAATTGCTGCGTCCCAATTCGAACAGAGCTTGTTCAGGAGGCCTGCACCGGGGTGGGAAAAAGAAAATCTTGATCAGTTTTTAACTGGGCTTTCTTCTAATGTTTTTAATGATTCATTATATTTTTCTCTGTCATTTGAGACTTTCTTTTGTTAGAAAGTTAAGGAGTTGAACTGAGCCAAGGTGAAAACAACTTTAGTTCAAAATTTAATAATTCTCATTTTAAAAAGAAAAACTAGATCAATCAGAGAATTTTTAACCGAGCCATCTAGTTGGCTAAACAATCTTTTTTTCCCCCATCCGCGAGCTCAGCTAACTAGTTCATCTGGCTAAACTAAAATATTAGTATAAGAGCCAAATGAAAGGATCAAATCATTTCAATTTCAGTCCTATCTTGACAATTTCGGTTTGCATGGACTCTCCTACAGTCAAAGTTGAGGGTAATGCTAAGCTGAACACCTGCTGTCGATCTGCAAAGCCCAAATTAACTTAATTCAGGGTAAGCTGTGTTCATGTCGCTGCTCACAATCACATGTTAGACTACTGGCCTGTACCATGTAACTGTACACTCCGTATATTGCCATGAGATTGTTTGTTCTGCATTGATTGATTACAATGCAAAGCTAGTGAGTCCAAACGAGCCACCGATGATCACAGATTCACAGGCAGGCAGCTCTGCCTCTGCTGCTGCTACTGCTACTGACCGTCAGATGATTTCCAGATCCGGCAAGCTATCAGCTTAGCTGGCATGGAAGCACGAAGCGGTAATAGTAGTACCAAGACTTTAATGGTGCTACCGTAGGAGTCCTATTATTACTCGTACTGCAACTGGGATTAATTTCGGTGTTCTGATTTGCAGATAATCATTCAGTCGTTGAATCTGCCCGTCTGCCCCCTGCCCTCTTGCCAACTTGCCATGATATGTGGTTTGAAATTTGAAGCCATTGTTTTTAGAAAATGGTTTAATTAGAGTCATTATAGATATAGCCTTACGCTTCAACGATTAATTAATTAATCAACCAGTACTAATATAGGAGTATGCAACTACTACTACAAGCAAATTAGAACAACAAAAACGAGTTCCTGCCGTCTTAAGGTGCTTGATTTTACTGTCATTGATTTGGTATTTCATCCATCCTACGATAAAGCAACTAGAATAGTACTCCCTCCATCCCAAAATATAAGTATTTTTAGCTATAAATCTGGACAAATGTATATTTAGATTCATAGCTAAAAGTTGTTACATTCTAGAACGGAGGTAGTACTATGTGATATAACCTATTATAGTAATTTTGGACATATTTATAGTATTATAATGAATCTAGACATACCGTTATCGTATATTCGTTGTATCCGTTGTTCCATGCTTTTATTTTGGGTTTTATGTACTTTGCTTAATTAACCGCGCACGATGTACTATGCTACTAGTTGCAATATGCCACTCGGCCACGCATGCACCTATATATATTTATGTATCTACTACAGGCGTGTGGAGAAATCAAAGGTTATATATGTTTCACATGCAATGGATTATATATTTAATTACTGCGGAATAGTATTACTAATAGTAAGCGGAAAGATGATGTTATTTGAATATAGAAGAAGTTGATGACAAAGAAAATGTAGTGTGTAGAAGTGTTTCTTGAAGAAGAAGGGAATGATGGAGAAAAGCGACATCGGGATCGATTATCAACATGGATCATGGAAAGGAGGTAACATGCAATTGCAGATGCAGCAGCTGAGGCAGGGGAATGTTTGTAGTTTTGTCTCCAAAACCAAAGAGAAGCTATAGTAGAGTGTGCAAAGCACAAAGCATGACATGCCCGCACTTTCCGCTCCATCCCTGCTTAAACAATTGACTAACAAGCATACCACAAGTTAATTGCATTTCATTAACCCATACTGCACTACTCATGCTAATAAACTAGCACTAGCAGGTAGTATAATTATTTATACTACATCTCCCTCCGTATTTCTTAAAGTAAATCATTTAGAACAATATTTAAGTTAAACCTTAAAAATATAAATCATGAATAACTATCAAGTTGTTAAGTTTAAAAATATAAACATTATATGAATTGATTTGTCTTGAAAAATACTTTTATAAAAGTATACATATATCGCTTTTCAATAAATATTTTTATAGAAATAAAAAGTCAAAGTTGTGTTTTAGAGACCGTGTCGCTGTTCAAAACGACTTTCTTCACGAGTACGGAGGGAGTACATATATTAAAACAAAATGACGGTGTCGAGGTTCACAGACGTCAATGCCACACTATATATTACTGTACTAATTTATCTACATATTGGTAGTAGTATTTGTTTAGGAAAAGAGGAAGAGAAGAGAAGATGCACGCATGTGCAGCTTGGAAGTTGGTAGTAGAGGCACTGGAAATATTATGCATACGATACGTGGGCGGCCTTCTTTTCTCGCGTGTGCATGCATGCGTACAACGTAAGATTACCCTTTTTTTTTCCTTTTCCTAATCTTACGCACGCACGCATGTGCACCACCAACTTAGGAGTATTATACTTTCTTAATTAGCCGCCCTGTTAATTTTTCTCTCACACTACCAGTATTCTTCTATTACTGGGTTCATATAGCTCCTGTTCAGATGGTTCATAATATTGCTGCCATATACTCTCTCTGTTCTCTTCATTTCTCTCTCTCTCTTTCTCACACACTACAAGTATTTTCCTCCTATTCTTCATCTTCACCTGGCACACAAATCATTATTCAGCTGCTAGCTAGCAGAAACACAGTCAGCTTAATTATATCTTCCCAGGCCGGCTGCAGGTTGACATAATAATACAAAAACAAGACTACTACTAGCATGTGAAAAGCAATACTTTACGTCTTTGCTTGGAGATAAATACTCACATACTCCCTCCTTCCCTAAATGTTTGACGTCGTTGACTTTTTTAAACATGTTTGACCGTTCGTCTTATTCAAAAAATTTAAGTAATTATTAATTCTTTTCCTATCATTTGATTCATTGTTAAATATGCTTTTATATATACATATAGTTTTACATATTTCACAAAAGTTTTTGAAAAAGACGAATGGTCAAACATGTCTAGAAAAGTCAATGGCGTCAAACATTTAGAGAAGGAGGGTCTCTGTTTTTCTTTTTTCCCTTTCACCTTTGCAATTTACTACTCTATACAGGGAGTAGCTAGTTATCGTCAAATGCGGCAACCATTGGGGAGGTAACAATACTAGATGAAAGAAAGAAAGATTGTGGAGGAAGCAAAGCAAAGCAGAACAGATGAACACTGGAGCAGAGCAATCGAATTCGGACCCATTCAGCAAAGGAAAGGTAATAAAATTCTACTCCTTTTTCTCTGCATCTGCATGCCCTACCATGTAATGTCGTCTCTCTCTCTCTCTCCGTCTCCGGCCGGCCTCTTCCAAATCCAGACTCCCAGTGCCATCGCATGCTTCCTTTGCTTCTCATTTACTACTCCATCTCTACACTCTCTAGCTACTCCTCACAAGATAGCTAGCGTGATGTGTCTAGTGAGACTACTACCTTAATTAATTTGCATATCAAATTTTGGATAAGGGATTATCTACATAATGCCAAAAACACCATTCATTAGCGAAGAAAATAAAGGAAGTACTGAACACTTATTTCTACTCTACTCCGTATCGGCGATATTTTGTCTCCGCTGTACCTAGAGTGTGGTGTGTTTAGTTCACGCCAAAATTAAAAATTTGATTGAAATTGTAACGATGTGACGAAAATATTGAAAGTTTGTGTGTGTAAGTAAGTTTTGATGTGATGGAAAAGTTGGAAAAAGTTTTATTGAAATTAGAACGATGTGACAAAAAAATTGAAAGTTTATGTGTATAAGAAAGTTTTGATGTGATAGAAAAGTTAGAAGTTTGAAGAAAATGTTGGGAACTAAACCAGGCCCTATTACTGCACCGGTTGGCTTACGTGGAATTCAATTGCAAGTTTGAGCATGTATATAGCCCCTAGCTGACCAATCCTAGCTAGTCTTTGCGGGAGTGATTGACAAGAACAACGCATAATTAATCAATCGTTAAATAACCAGTACTAATACTAACCAGGGTTACCAGACTTGGCTAATGCTTGTCTTGTAAGCTGGAATCCCCAGCCTTAAACCTGTATACAGACATCTTATGCTTTCTCAGTAAAGCTGGGCGGTAGCTTCTTGATCCAAAATACTAACCTGCAGGGCGTCGTTTTAACATATTTTAAAGAGATAAATAAATAGAGAGAAGAGCAACGGGCTACAGATGTATAGACAGCTGCAGCATGGACTATAAGACGTAATGTGCGTATGACAGGTCAGACCATATATTAATAGTATAGTAAGCAACTATTGTATAAATTGGCTATTACATTGGCTATAGATGATTTGGAGCTGGTAGTGGGCTATATTATCAAACTTGCCCTAATTATTGGTATACGACTGGAGACTAAAAATAATACACATGAAATCGAGTGGAGTACGATACGCATGCATGTGCGTATATAGGGTGTGTTTAGTTTACACTAAAATTAGAAGTTTGGTTGAAATTGAAACGATGTGACGAAAAAGTTAAAAGTTTATGTGTGTAGGGAAGTTTTGATGTGATAGAAAAGTTGGAAGTTTGTAGAAAAAGTTTAGAAATAAACGAGACCATAACTGGGCAGGAATGTATGACCGTGCGAAACAGTGACAGGTGCGTATGTAGCTGATCCGATCCGATCGAGTGATGTAGAAAAGCATCAGCGAGCGAGGTGCAAATTAAAGCCATAGAGACATAGCTTTGCTTAGACGAAACACCAAGGTAGTAGCTAGCTAAGTATCCATCACCCGCTACAACTGGTATCCCTCCTTAAGGGGTTCGTAAGAATTCCAAATCAAAGGAATATAAAAATTAAATGATTAGAATGTCACACTCATTTCATTCATTACGATTTTTAATTTCTAAGAGGTCTCACATCATGCTAAGAATCATATGGAATTAACCTGTAACACTATAATCTAATTTATTCCTATAAAACGAATAATACATATATTAAAAAATTCTAAGGATTCAATTCCTACGATAATTCTATGAAAAATTCTCTAAACCGAATGAGCCTAAAAGTAAATTAAATTATACTACTATCAGTCGTATTTAGCACTGCTATAACTATTTAGTGGAGGAGTAATTAGTTTTACTAACCTGGTGGCTCTATTAAGAACAAATAAAGACGTAAAAGGCGCTGTTTGGGAGCAAGCGAATTGAAGCGACCGACAGTTGTTGGACATCTGCCCGTGTACTACTACTGTGCACTTAGTACAACGGTGAAAACGGTGCTCCCCACGGGGTAAAACGGTGAAAAGAAAAGAAGAAAAGAAAAAGCTCTTCTGGTTTAATTCCTAACTTTTTCTTGTAAGTAAAACGGTGAAAAAAAAGAAAAAGCTCTTCTGGCCTGGTTTAGTTTCTAATTTTTTTAAAAACTGTTAATTTTTATATCACATCAAAACTTTTCTATACACATAAACTTTCAACTTTTCCGTCATATCGTTTCAATTTCAATCAAATTTTCAATTTTAACGTAAACAAACACACCCTCTGTTTCTCTTTTTCATCGCGCGTATACGTATCTACGGTGGTGCACCGAGTGCACCGCAGGATGCGCCGAGGGGCATATCGGTAAATCCAGGCGCCCCTGGGAACGCGCGTCCACTTCCGCGGCCGGGGGGTGGGGTGGGGCCCACGGCGTCAGGTGGGCCTAGCACCCCGCAAATTCAATTGGCCGAAAACGCCAGGCCCAACCCACGCGCGGCGCGCGCCACCCCTTCCCTCTCCCTGACACGTGGGCCCCGCACCCACCCACCCACCCCCACGCACAACACAAATGGCGCCAACGCCGTCGTCGTCCTCTTCCTCCTCGCTCTCCATGGTGGTGGTGGTGGTCAGGTGGTGGGGGAGAAGCTAGGAGTACGTATTACTACTGGCTCTCCGCCTCGCCATTGGCACAGTAGAGTAGAGGTGGAGGAGCAGTGCATGCGCGTGCTGTGCTCTCTCTCTCTCTCTCTCTCTCTCTCTCTCTCTCTCTCTCTCCATCCACATCTCTGTCTGTCTCCGCTTTAAAGCTGTCACCTTTTCCCATCTCTCTCTCTCTCTCTCTCTCTCCCGTGCTGCTCTCCCTTCTCCTCTCCTCAATTACCACGCCGCAGCCGCAGCCCCCCAACCCTAGCTAGTACGGCGGGCGACCTGAGGGGGTAGCTGCCTACCTCTATACCTGCTATCTCCGTTCGATCCGGGTCGGGCTCGTGCTGCTGGGGGCGGGGGCAATCAATCGGCGAGCTCGGTGATCCATGGCCGTGGCTGTGGGGTGGCTGTGAGGGTGCCCCCGGCGGCGCTCCCCTCCGCGCCTGCCGGCGAGGGGGCTCGGACTGAAGGTCGCCACACTCTACCGCCCCACCCATGCTCCCTCCGCGCGCGATCTAAGCTAGGCCTAATCTAGGGTTCCTGATTGCTTTTCCATTTTCGCCCGGACGGACCAAACTACTACTGTCTATCTATCTAGCTTCTTCTGCTGCTTCTCGTGCTGCTCCTGCATATTTTTTTAAAATTTTTATTTCATCTCATTTCCGGGTTACTCTCATTTATCATCTACTCCGTACCACTATTAGCAAGCAACCCATTTTCCCCCCTTTTTTTCTTGAGATTTTTGTGGGCGAATTCGAGTAACCTTTACTCCCCCCATTCTAGGAAGCGGTTTCTTTTAGCATGGCTTTGTTTTTTTCTTTTCCTCTCCCGCTTTCTTAGTTAATCAACTTTACCATATCTGTTGCGTGCACTTCAATCCCTGTCATTTGTATCCTTCCCCTAGATTTTGATGCTCAAACGATTGTTTTCACCAAATGCTGAGTCAAAAGAACTCTCCTTTTCTTTTTTCCCCCAGGGATCTAGGCGAGCTGAAAATTGAAGTGCAGGCAAGGAGATAAGAGCAGCGTCCAAATTGTGAGTACTTCATTAGCAGGAGGTAGTGGTTGTGCTTGCTTGGCTCCTTTGCAATTTGGCTTTGGCGAGGTAGCAATGGCTGCGGCAGTGGCAATGCGAGGGAGTAGCAGTGATGGAGGTGGCTATGATAAGGTTTCCGGGATGGACTCCGGTAAATATGTGCGCTACACGCCTGAGCAGGTGGAGGCGCTTGAGCGGGTGTACGCCGATTGCCCCAAGCCAACCTCCTCCCGCAGGCAGCAACTGCTGCGTGAGTGCCCCATACTTGCTAACATTGAGCCCAAGCAGATCAAGGTCTGGTTCCAGAACAGAAGGTAATGATAATAGAATTGAATCTTTCTACGTTTGTTCTCTGTGACAAAAACTTGTTATGGCAGTTTTCCCTGATTGTTTCATCTGTCACCTGAAATAACATTTCGTTAGTTTCCTTCTGGGGAGGCTATGGTTCTAATATGCTGCGTTGTTGTTGTGATGATGAGCGGTATTTTGATATGAGGGGAGCTGCAATGCCAATTGTTTATCATTTCATTTGTTTGCGCACCAGCAAAATGTAGTATAATTACTTTAGCTGACGGCTCTGCATGTATATGATTTTTTCGTTTTTCATGTTCGCTGAAGTGGATACTTGTGCTTGTGTTGCTCTAGGTGCCGGGATAAGCAGCGGAAGGAGTCTTCACGGCTTCAGGCTGTCAACAGGAAATTGACGGCAATGAACAAGCTACTTATGGAAGAGAATGAGCGACTCCAGAAGCAGGTCTCCCAATTGGTTCATGAGAATGCCCACATGCGACAGCAGCTGCAGAATGTAAGCTCTTGATGTGCTGGTGCTGATGTTGTCCCCCATGCATAAACATGTTCTCACTGAAATGCTATCTATTCTTTGTGCATTTTGTTATACGCATGGCATGTCCGGGGATGTGTTGTTCTGTACTGTATATTGTAGATTAGTATAACTTTAAAATTTGATGTATGTGTAGCTATACCAGCTGGGGCCATATGCGTCAGTTCCTTTAGAATTGATATATGAATTAATCCTCAGAATGTCCATGAGATCGCTAGATTTCACTGATAACACCACTTGCTTGGGTGCAGACTCCGCTGGCAAATGATACAAGCTGTGAATCAAATGTGACTACCCCTCAAAACCCTTTAAGGGATGCAAGTAACCCCTCTGGGTAAGTAAATAGTTCTGAGTGACTCAGGTAGAATTATTGTTGGATGGACTTGCTCTTTCGATATCATGCTATCTTAACTGCCTTTTATCTTGTTCTAGGCTCCTTTCAATTGCAGAGGAGACCTTGACAGAGTTCCTCTCAAAGGCTACTGGTACAGCTATTGATTGGGTCCAGATGCCTGGGATGAAGGTTCCATGCTAGCACTGTTTGTTTTTTTGTTCTGTGATTTGTGCTAAGAGGTTTTTACTTGAAGTGCTTACTACCCTTTTGTTTTCATGATGTAAGCCTGGTCCGGATTCGGTTGGTATTGTGGCCATTTCACATGGTTGCCGTGGTGTTGCTGCCCGTGCCTGTGGTTTGGTGAACCTAGAACCAACAAAAGTAAGTGTTGTAGCTATTTGGGTACATGGGTTTGGTATTTTTATGTTACCTCAGTATTCCCTGTCTGTATGTTTTCTGAAGCATCTATTTTGGGTGATAGCAAGCCTATCCACCAGTCACTTAGTTTTCTTTGTGTGCAAATGGTTAGAAACCTACTACCTCCATCCCAAAATATAGCCAAAAGTTGCTATATCAAAAATCCTATCAGAAGTGCCTCCTGAACACATTGCTGCCGAGTGTGGAATTAAGACACACTGTAATTCACTTTAATAAATACTAAACTTTGAAGATGTCACTTTAGAGGTCTAATGATTTCATGTCTGCCAACTGTTATCATCAAATTTAATCGTGAAGATAAGCAGATATCTTGCTTTTTTTGTTACTTTATTCAGGAGATTTTGTGTCTCATAGAACTTTGTTACGTAGGTGGTAGAGATATTGAAAGATCGTCCATCTTGGTTCCGTGATTGTCGAAACCTGGAAGTCTTTACAATGATTCCAGCAGGAAATGGAGGAACGGTTGAACTTGTCTACACACAGGTGAACACTGTTTCATTTTACATTGTATAATGGTATATCCTCAGTCTTCTCTATCAATGCATGTGCTTCATGCCATGAACATTATTACTTGTTTTTGCTTACAGTTGTATGCTCCAACAACTTTAGTTCCTGCACGAGATTTTTGGACGTTACGGTACACAACCACAATGGAAGATGGCAGTCTTGTGGTATGTATGAACATGAACACTGTTTTCACCCCACAATGAGTCTCAATGTGATGTTACCCTTGCTAATATTCCTCCATCTCCAAGGTCTGTGAGAGATCTTTAAGTGGTTCAGGGGGCGGTCCAAGTGCTGCCTCTGCTCAGCAATATGTGAGAGCGGAAATGCTTCCAAGTGGATACCTGGTTCGCCCATGTGAAGGTGGGGGATCAATTGTGCACATAGTGGACCATCTGGATCTTGAGGTATTTTTCACACTTTTGTACAGTTGAACCATGTTTTTTGTCCTTTGATGTAGGACCATTTTTGTATCCTGTCAAACTAATAATACAATTTGGTTTAATCTTTCAGGCATGGAGTGTTCCTGAGGTGCTTCGGCCACTCTATGAATCTTCAAGGGTAGTCGCTCAGAAAATGACTACTGCGGTAAGCTGTCGTGAAATGATATTCAGCTCAAATTTCATTGATGTGATTACAAGTTCATCATTTCAAGTGAAACTTGTTTTTAATGAACTCTTCAAGTTTCATAACATTGGATTTTTTTTTAGAAAAAATAAAATAAAAATCCAATATTATGAAACTTGAAGAGTTCAAGCTAATGATAAAGTTTGTGTTTTGGATAAAGCTTATAATATTGGATATGTGGTGAAAATGATTTATATGGGTTGGTACAACTAATGATAAAATTTGCCTTTTGGATATGTTGAACAGTTCATTTTCTGCAATCTACTTTATACTAACCTTTTATTGTCTATCCTATATATCAAGGCACTCCGGCACATCAGACAAATTGCTCAAGAAACAAGTGGGGAAGTGGTGTATGCCTTGGGGAGGCAACCAGCAGTGCTACGGACTTTTAGTCAAAGGCTGAGCAGGTGATTTTTTTATAAATTATTACTCAGCAATTAATATTTTTTTCACCTGTTTAATCTAACACCAATATTATGCTTTTCTTAGAGGCTTTAACGATGCCATTAGTGGTTTCAATGATGATGGGTGGTCTATAATGGGCGGAGACGGTGTTGAAGATGTAGTTATTGCTTGCAACTCAACTAAGAAAATTAGGAGTAACAGCAATGCTGGCATCGCCTTTGGAGCCCCCGGAGGTATTATATGTGCTAAGGCATCAATGTTACTGCAGGTAAGGGTAATCATTATCAGCTCATTAGGGTGCAGATGACCCCTCTGTATGTAGCGTCATTTTCCAAGGAAGGGAAAAAAAAACTTTTTTAGTGATTCAACATATGCAAGCACATAAATAAATTGCTCGGCTGTATTAACATTTGATAGTGAGATCCTAATGAGATTTTTGATGTTTTGCCTGGTCCTACACCTGATGATAATTTGTTTGATTTATTTCATTACTTTCTTTTTTGCGGAGAAACTTATTTCATAAAACTGCTGTCATCGCTGGTGTGAATATAAAAGCAGTGTCACAAAAGTTTTTTCCTCAGAGACATTGAACACACAGAATGAGTTCTTTGGAACTAGATTTCCATGTTCAAAACTTGTAGCTGTTAAATCATGTTAATCCATACGTCTTCTTTTCCTTCTTTGGTATTTCAGAGTGTTCCTCCAGCAGTACTGGTTCGATTTCTGAGGGAGCATAGATCTGAATGGGCCGATTACAATATTGATGCATATTTGGCTTCAACTCTGAAAACAAGTGCATGTTCACTTACTGGGTTGCGACCCATGAGATTTTCTGGGAGCCAAATCATCATTCCACTTGCTCACACAGTTGAGAATGAGGAGGTATATTTTCCTGAATATGGGGAAAGTCTGTTTTTTGTGCGCTTGTTGCTGTTGAACTGATTTGAGTAATGGTTATAGCAAACTACTTATTTTCATTCTTGCTGATCTGTTTACATTGTCATAGTGGATAGTGACTATCTAGTTAATTCCATTGTCGGACATAGTTTTGTTATTATTGATTTATTTTCATTAACTTGAAAAAAAAACGAACAGATTCTTGAAGTTGTTCGCCTTGAGGGTCAACCTCTTACTCATGATGAAGCTCTTCTTTCAAGGGATATCCACCTGCTTCAGGTAAGACACTAAATGCCATTGCTATGTTTTTTGTCTGTATATGTACTGTGTTGCTTCTCAATTGAGAAAACTAGTAGCTTTTAATACATGTAATTTCTTGCTTAATATGTTGATCATTGTATCTATTCGTGAGCATCTTTGGCTCTATTTCATCTTATCAAATTATTGTAGAGTTAAATATGCTGTGTAACAACTACCAACCCATAAGCCTATCTTTATCCGGGCATATTAAGTTTGTTGCTACACCCTTTTTTCCCCCTTCGAAGTACAGTCAAAGATGCAAAGCTTTTTATGAGGCTTGTAAATATTCCAGTTTGCTAATATACCCTTATCTTTTGCAGCTCTGCACTGGAATAGACGAGAAGTCTGTGGGATCCTCCTTTCAGCTTGTGTTTGCACCGATTGATGATTTCCCAGATGAAACTCCATTGATTTCTTCTGGCTTCCGTGTTATACCACTTGATATGAAAACAGTTAAGTGCTGCCAAATTCCAAATTACATTATCCATTACCCTTTTGACTGTTCCCTAGGTCCATATGTGCTTTATTTGCTGTTGCATTAATCTGTGATGAGTCGTGAATGTCTTTTAGCTTTTCTAGGAACCTCAGTTTTATTCATTTGTTCAGTGAGTTAACCCTGGCCAATTTTAACTCTTCATAAACAATTGTTTTGGTTGTTCTAAGACAAATAATCTCTTGGAAATGTTTCATTTATTCTCCCCTCTAGTCCGCTTTAAATGTTCCAGCTCTGTCCACAGAGACCCCAAAAAAAAGCTATTTTGTAAACTCCCATTAAATTGAGAAAAAAAACTGTTAAATTGGTTATTTGCATCTTGATTGTATCACCAGTTAGAACTAATAGAGGCATTTGGTTTCAAATATTCCCTTGGAAAAATAAAGCAAGTATGTATGAACCAAGCTTGCTAAAATGTTTATCCTTTTTGAACCAGAGGTAGTACTATATTTTTGGTCGGCTGCCACTAAATTTTTAGGCTCTGTGCCCAAAAGTTTAACCGTCACATTTCATGCAGGATGGTGCATCCTCTGGTAGGACATTAGATTTGGCATCTAGTCTTGAAGTAGGTTCAGCAACAGCTCAAGCCTCCGGAGATGCATCTGCAGATGATTGTAACTTGCGATCTGTTCTGACGATCGCTTTTCAATTCCCTTACGAGTTGCATCTCCAAGACAGTGTTGCAGCTATGGCTCGCCAATATGTCCGTAGCATTGTTTCTGCTGTGCAAAGAGTGTCAATGGCTATCTCTCCCTCTCAAACTGGTCTAAATGCCGGACAGAGGATAATCTCTGGTTTCCCTGAAGCAGCAACCCTTGCTCGATGGGTTTGCCAGAGCTACCAGTAAGTGTACTCGTAGTTTCTTCCTGTGCAGTAGTGATGATATTTAATAAGAATAAATTTGATAGTTTTCCATGTTGGTTGCAAGCTGACAAAATATTATTATGCCGTCGCTCAGTTACCATCTAGGGGTAGAGTTACTTAGTCAATCAGATGGAGATGCAGAACAATTGTTGAAGATGCTATGGCATTACCAAGATGCTATTTTGTGCTGCTCATTCAAGGTATCTGATGAATTCAACTCGATCAATGTTCCATCATTTGATCTAATCTCATTTAGTCTATTAAGTACTATTACAGACCACTCGATCAATGTTTACCCATGTATTACAGACCACTCGATCAATGTTTACCCATGTACTCTAAAACTTATCGCTTGTCCAGCTGACCTACAATCTTTTCATGCATTTTTCAATCTAACAAAAACTGGCTCTGTTAATAATAACCTAATAGTTAGAAAGAACTGGCTCTGTTAATAATGACCTAGTAATAGTTAGTACTTAGTACAGACCTAACGAGTGCTTAGACCCTCAAACGTGTTTTCAACAGGGTGATTTTGCTATATTTTTCCCTTTGAGTAAATGCTCTCAATTTTTTGTAAGGTTTACACTTTTGACACTAATGCGATCATCGGACCACAATATTTGCTATCTTGTATGACAGAAATGTTTTGGTTTCTTTCAGGAAAAACCGGTGTTTACATTTGCCAACAAAGCAGGACTGGACATGCTAGAAACTTCCCTTGTCGCCTTACAGGACCTCACATTGGACAGGATCTTTGATGAGCCTGGAAAAGAAGCATTGTTCTCAAACATTCCCAAATTGATGGAGCAGGTAGAAACTCCTTTTCGCTTAACTCACACCCTTAAGTGCATCATATTTCAGAAATCGCTGAGTTGAAATAAATTAAAATTATGTTACATTGCTTACCATTTTTTTCCCTGTTTTGTGTTTAGGGCCATGTCTACCTGCCATCAGGCGTGTGCATGTCAGGAATGGGTCGGCATGTTTCTTTCGATCAGGCCGTGGCTTGGAAAGTGCTTGCCGAGGATAGCAATGTTCACTGCCTGGCCTTCTGTTTCGTCAACTGGTCCTTTGTGTGACCATCCCACATCCACTGCGAAGTGAAGATTCATTTTTGCTTGTTCAAGACTGTTTTGCACTAGATCTAGACCTGAGAATCTAGTAGTATTTGCGAAATTTCTCGCTTATGTAAATGTAATCTCGCTCCCATTCCATCAAGTACCCAAGTACAAGGCAGTGGCCAAGTGGTTTTAGTTGTAGGGGGATCGGAGCAATCCTGACGGTTGGGTACTTGGGTTCCTTCCAGCAATGTAAAATCGGATCCTGTAGGGCGTCGAAAACTGCATTGGCAAGATTCTTCGAAATGCAGACCAAATTTAGCTAGTACATCGTAACTTTGGCATTAGCCATTTGGCTATTGGGTTTTTCGCTTAGGTGAGATGCAGCAGATCATCAACTGCTACCACTTCTCATAGTGATAATTAAAATGCAAAGATGCCCCCCCCCCCCTCCCCCCCTGTTCAGTCACTAACGAGATGAAACTTGTGCACGAGTACGAGACTGAACTAGACTGGCCGATACATTCAGCGACAGGATTTCTGATTCTGAAACGAAGGGCTTGATTGGTTTGATACCAATTTATTACCCTACCAAATTTTTAGTAACTTCAATAGTAGCAAGTGTATGTTTGGTGTGCTACCAAATATTACCCACAATAGTCCAATTGAATGCTACCTAATTTGGTAGTGCCAAAATTTGCCAATGTTTTGGTACTACCTGTTTTGGCACTACCAAAATTTTGGTAGTGCAAAAATTAGCTCCAATCCAAACAAACCCGAACTATCAGGGTAACAAACAAGGCAGGATAAAAGGCTTGGGCTAGCTAAAAGGCCACAATCATTCAGTTAGCCTTGATCATGAGTAAAATTCCTGTGCAGTACTTAAACTTGAGAGAAGATATTACTTAGGTCCGTACACATGAAAATTACACGTCTAGATCCATCATCTTAATTCAATGAATCAAGCCAGTTCAAACCACGTTTGACCAGGGATGACCACCGTCGTGGCGCTCCACTTAGGCATAACTTTTGTACTTATCGCCTCCACACCTCAGCGTGGCGGTAATTTAGCAATTAGCCCCTCATTGCTACCGTATCATCCCAAAAGCACATAGTCCCCTCGTCCCTCCTATCCCCCCTAATACGACGCTTCCAATGCAAGGTGATTTGGGCATCGATTCGAGCTCCGTAAGTAGTGGCGCCCGATAGGCATCACGGTACGCAAATCCATCGCCGGTATGTATCCACATTTCGCCCCTACCGCCGCTACCGTCTCCCGCCGCTATGTATCCACATTTTGCCCCTACCGCCACTAAATCGCCGTCTCCCACCGCCTTCATATGCTGCTCCCACAGTTGCAACCCTAGCCATCGGGTGAAATGTAAGGGGCCGAATGCAAAAGTGATGCCTACATACGTCGGTGGTCATCTCCAGTTAAACGAGGTTTGGACTGGCTTGGTTCATTAAACCAAGATAACTGATCTTAGATGTGCAATTTTAAGTTTACGGATCTAAATTGACACCCCCTTGCACTCAACCAAGATAAACCAAGTTTGAAGGATCGGCCATTCTTGATCAATCAGCTAGCAGTACACAACATCACATGACAGATTAGCAGTAATAAATGTAATGGCGACTGACAAGCAGTATGATGCAAAGAGATTACCACACGAACACACAGAATTAGCAAGGCAATCTGAATGGTCTCATAATTATAAATCAAGAAAATATGATATCCGGTGGTTCTTCGAATCTTTGAGGTATTACAAAACTGCAATCAAAACATAAAATTGCTTGTGTTTGTCCGCGAGTGATTACGAGGAGGAGGCGAAGCGATCACCTAGGCGCGGTCGCGGCGGGCGTAGGGGAGGCGGGCGGCGCCGTACTGCTGCGGGGCGGAGGTGGAGGCGTCGGGCTGGCGCACGACGCCGGGGAGGTCGGCCATGCCGAGGGAGGTGAGCATGTCGAGGGTCTCCTTGTCGACGCGGATGTCGTCGACCTCGAGCGCCGACCTGTCCGGGACGAAGTCCATGCGGCGCTCGCGCTCCTCCTCCTGGAGCTTGAGGGAGATGCCGCGGACGGGGCCGCGCTGGATGCGGCGCATCAGGTGGGTGCTGAAGCCGGCCACCTTGTTGCGGAGGCGCTTCGACGGCAGGATCGACACCTCCTCCAGCACCTTCTTGTTCGTGTGGAAGTCCAGGGTCATCCGCGAGTAGTACTTCTCGATCACCTGCCGAGACGTCTTCTTCACCGTCTTCGTGCGCACGCGCCCCATGCCGGGCTCCTCCTCTTCTTCTCCGGCGACGGTAGAGCGGGTGCTTGGAGTGGGGGCGGCGGCGGCGGTGGGGAGTGAGATTCTCTCTTGTTTTTTTATGTGTGAGTCGTGGCGGCTAGGGTTTTACCCGCGGCGAAGATCGGGCGCATCTCGGCCGTTGCTTCAAGGACACTCGTGCGGATTGGTTACTGGACTGCTTGGGCTTTACTAATTAACTGGGCCATATGTATTCAGGGCTAGCCCAACTATGAGGGCCTCTTCTGTGCTGTTGCTTCGGTTGTGATCGAATTCCGATCAAATTCACAATGGCAAAAACGACCAGGATCAAATTCACTAACCTTCACATGATGAGAATATACGATTCACACGTTCAGGTACGCACGAGTTTATTATATAACCTTCACATATTTGAGTAAAACTGAAAGCATATATCAGTGTAGTTGGCGCAATACCGCATACAGTTCTGAAAATATTTCGTGGTAAAGTAAACTGGCACACAAACACCGGGATATGCCAAGCTCTCATCATGTCAGACAAACACCATGTGGGTATAAAACATTTGCGAATTGGAAGCATAATTTAACTGTCGTAAAACTCAATTCCACCGTTGGATTGGACCAAATCCTCGTACAAGACAAAACCGGCCCACATGGAAACGAGTAAGGCAGGTCGGAGTCCATAGGAGAGCACGTCCCAGGCATGGTAGGGGGTAACATTGAACCAACAACCCTTCACAACAATAATAGACGACGGCGATGAACAAAACTAGGACGACTCTTTCTTCTCTTCCACCTCCGCTTCCTTCTTCTCCTCAGGCTCCTTCTCCTCTGCAGCCTCCTCGAACGTCTCTCCAGGGACAAGCTCAGGGACATCATCGTCGTCGTCCTGAGCGTTACCTGCGCTGGCACCAGCCTCAGCACCGGGTACCTGCTTCTGGAACTGCTCAGCAAGCCTCCTGAGGTTGTCCAGGTTATCAGGTCCTGCAGATAGGTAATTAAGGGTGATCAAACAAGAGTATGTATATACTACTATGTGAGTAGGACGTACTTAAAGACTAATGCTTGGTTCAGATATTTCAGGATTAGGGCGAGGTGTGCAATATTGAACTCATATTCAGTAAAACCAAGAAAAAAGTCTCATACCCAACTGGTTGATGATTGTTGGAAGCAGATCTTGCAGCTCTGTCAAAATTAGAAAGCCAAAGATGAGAACACCATTATGCAGGATTGAAGAATAACATAGGGTCAACGACGCAGATGCAAATTTGCGTTTAAAGGGTTTGTTCATCTCAAGATTTTTTGCCGGATGTAATTCAACACAAACAAGAGAAGATATTTCAACCTATTCATTCATGTTAACCACTAAACATGAGGCTACACAACAATCAGTACGCAAGATCTTAAGCAATGACTTACTCTTCGTCTGTGGTGTTCCACTCACTACCCATGTATTTGCACCAATGGATGCTTGCACTGCAGGAAGGCAAGAATAGAAGACAATTTCAGAAGAAAACAGGGAGCGAGTTATCAATTCTATAGAAGCTTCAGCATGGTAGAATTTCACCTTTTGGATTCTGAAATTGGATAACCACATCATCCTTGAAGATATTGACCTCTTCGATACCAGGAATGTTGTTCACTCCTACTCTTTTCAAGGTGCTTTGAAGCCTCTTGTCATCAGTGGTGGTAGTCTTGTGAACTGCCTTCTTCTTCCTGCCATAAATGCACAACAAGTATTAATATGAATCCAAAGGCCACAGCACAATACATTGTTTAAAAGATCGGATCCCAAAATACAAGCCCAGTATATCTTATCTAGATAGTTAGTTATCTACGAGCGCATATGAAGAGCGCAATAAAGATACATCTCAGACACGTCCAGAGCTTCACATATACAGTAGCAAGTAAAATAGAGGAGGGAAAGAAACTATTGGGAAAGGATGCATCATAAATGCATGATGATCAAGAAGTTTAACATGTCTTTATACGGAAAACTATTTAGATCTAAAACAAGCAATTCCCTCAGTGATAATAGAAAGTTCGGCAAAAAAAATATTCAGTGGCATAAATCAATCATTGCTACTGCAATACCAATGGCATTACTTGTGGACGATCAGAATAAACAAGAAAAATACCTGCGCATGCTGCCCTTGCCACCGGTGCGCACGGCACCCGCCATCTTCTTAAGCTTGTCGACATTCATCTGCATGAAAACATATGGTACTTTGCTTTAGTAAAGCCATAACGGAAAAAGGAAAGGTCAGATTACTCTTAGACACTCAAGTCAAACAGCATCAGAGGAGCAGCTCTACTACGATTTCGCAAATCTAGAGGACAACTTCTCCTAAACTAACACCCTCAATCCATCTAAACAACACGACCCAGTAATAGAACACTTGAATCAAACCTCGCAAACACCCTCGCTGCTTTCATACGGAGCAAATCTAGCCATGGAACCTAACCGCGCGTGCTAAAACCCCAATCGTGCAATCAGAAAGTTCAGAAAAAAAAAGGGGGAAATCACAAACACTATCCCTGCCCACTATCTATTGAACCACTACGTAATCAATTGATAATAAAAAAGAGGGGATAAAAACCCTCAATCCAAACAAAAGCTGCTGCAAGCGGGAACCAGTACTGATGCAGTGCGAGTAAAAGCATAGCGCCTACTATCTATCACAAGTAAGTGCTGCAGGGGAGAAGGAGACGCCGGAGATGTCGCCGTCTCACCTTGGATGGGAGGAGGAGGAGGGCGGCGCGCCGCGGCGGCGGCGGTGGCGGCGGCGGCGGCGAGGGGAATGGAGAGGGGGAGGGGAAAGGGGATTAGGAAGGAGGAGATAGGGCTCGCGAGGCCAACCACTGCGACTTGCTTTTCTTTACTCGGTGTTAGGGTTTTAACAACCGCGGGATCGATCCTGGCCGTCCGATTCTTGTGGGCGCACGGCCGCCACCGGATGCACGCGCCCGCGATACCGGGTTCGGGTTCTCGGGCTCACCTCTTTCACACCCGCTTGTGTAACTGAATGAATGCTTTGGAAAAAATGATAAATTCAGAGGAAAAAATACTTCCTCTCTCCATCCCATAATATAAGAGATTTTGAGTTTTTGCTCGTACTGTTTGACCACTCGTCTTGTTTAAAAAATTTGTGCAAATATAAAAAATGAAAAGTTGTGCTTAAAGTACTTTGGATAATAAAGTAAGTTAAAAAATAAATAATTATTCTAAAATTTTTAAATAAGACGAGTAGTCAAATAGTGCAAGTAAAATCCTTTATATTATAGAACGGAGGAACGGAGGGAGTACATCGTTATGCAATCAATGAATGACCACGATTATGCAATGAATTGCCAACATGAAGCAATGATTCAATTAGAAATTTTTCACAACCTACAACACATGCAGGTGAGCATCATTCAAGTATTGCTTCAATTAGAATTTTCACATCCTAGAACACAAGTGATGAACCAATTAGAAATGTCCTTGCTAGAGAGGAGAGAAAGAAACACGGCTGAACTTTAGCCATGCTAAACATAAGATTTCTCTGTAAAACTCAAAACAGGTACACAGATCCAATCACAACTCATCAATCATCACATAAGATTTCTCTGTAAAACTCAAAACAGGTACACAGATTCAACTCATCAATCATCATAGATTGTAACGGTTAACTTCGTGCAAATTTGTCATCGCTGCTGTTAGAACCGGCAGGTAATCGATTGCGTGATTTGTCACTCTGAAAATTGTCAACAGAAAAAGAACAGGGAGTAAAATGAGAACCATCATATTATATAGTGACTTCCCACGGAGAGCATATGCAGTACACATATGCAGTATAAGGAGTTTACCGATGGATGCAAACCCTGCTTGATCTCTTCAAGAGCTTCCAAGTCTATTTTGTACTCATCCGTGTTAACGCCCATTGCCCTCATCCTGCAAAAGCACAGCATATCTGTCACTTAGTTCCAGAGTACCAAATAATCTGCTCAAATGTTGTTAACAGGTAGGGATCTCGTTTAATTACTTCGCCAAAATAGCATCCAAATTCGTTTTCACTTTGTCAAACATGCTTGGAGCGCACGCCAACTGCAGCAAAAAAAGAAAGTTACAGACCAATATAGTCAAATCAAACCATGATGAATTGAATTTGCAGAGTGTCTTGCATCAATCGATCGTTTCTCCGAAATATATGTTTCTCTTGCGCATAACCCTTCGGATATCCATGGATCTCCGATCAGGAAAGCGTAATACAAACAGCAAACAAGCCAATAGAGCAAACTAAATTGCAAACTTTTTAGAAATCAGCAGACCAAATTGAGATGATGGGAAGATTCTAATGAAACAAGAGCTATGACAAGAGGTGCAGATAAAACAACTTCGAGACAAAAGGTGCAGATAAAAGACAGAGCTATGATATAAACATGTAGCACAAATTGCAATATATAGCACACCTGGCCCGTTCTCAATTTGTCATATATTTGATCCAAAAGCATAGAATTATCTCGATTTAGAGCCTTAGTACTCATGCAATCTTGACCTCCTGAAATATAAAAGAAAGGGTAAGAGGGGGCATAATTTAAGCACACAAGTTTGCTCAAAGGCCAGAAGGATAAGAAGCAAGTTAATTAGTCAAAACATTATGTTTACAACAAAATTTCATTGAAGCCCGTCGGTCTGTACTAAAAAACTACAAATAAAGAATCAAACACCAACAATTGTATCTTTTGAAATTGACGGCGCAACAGCAAAACTGAAGTACTCCAGAAGAGAAAATTGATAACGTTTGAACCAACAGCAATGTAAAATGAGTTATCATAGCACGAAGCCCTGAATAAACCGAAAATACCAAAGATGATGGGAGTGCCAAACCTACTTTCGGAAAGGGCATGTTTGTTCCTTTTCTTGTTAGGATTCTCAATTCCTTTTCCCTGTCCAATGAAATATTACATCAGAATCAATAACCACACAAGACCTTCCATGAAGTAGTTGATCGACATATGACATAGCAACAATATTGAACAGCAGTGGGAGGGATTATTTATCCAGTGGTGCTTATTCCGCTAACGAAAGATAAACTATTAAAGTCGCACTCATTTTGAGTGATATAACATCAATGCATTGTTTAAATATTCCAAAGAATTTCAGAACATGTGCCTTCTTTCCTATAGCATCTCCTGATTGAAAGGACTGAATAGCAGAACACTTCTTAGGGCCCCTTTGAATCAAAGGATTTATGTAGGAATTTCATAGGATTCAAATCCTATAGGAAATTATCCTATTTGGTCCTTTGATTCAAAGGATTGAAGTTTTCCAAATCCTATGAAATTCCTATGGAATGGCACATTGCATGTGGATTTTGGAGGAAATTTAGCAAGAGCTCCAACCTCTTGGAAAATTTCCTTTAAGTCTACCTCTCCCATCCGATTCCTGCGTTTTTCTTGCGCTCTAATCAAACGACCATTTCTGTGTTTTTCCTGTGTTTTGCAATCCTCTGTTTTACACTTCAATTCCTGTCAGAATCCTGTGTTTTTCCTATTCCTCCGTTTTTTCTACCCTGCGATTCAAAGGGGCCCTTAGTGTTTGAACAAGCTCCTGAAGCAGTCATTGCAGGGTGGCACGGGGGTTTCAGGATTTCAGGCCAAGGAAAGTGGTGACATATGCAATAAAAGGCTTGTCTCTGTATTGTCACAAGTTACAACAAAACTTTATCTCTCTCCTTTAAATCATTAGCAAACCCTGGCGCGCCGACCAAAATAAGAGTTGTTCAGGTCCAGCTAATAGCCGTCTAACAAAACTATAAAAGGAGCAAAACTGTGTTCAATTGTTCAACCTATGTTGGACCTTTTAATATCTCATTTCTTATGACAAGAAGATTGGGACAGGTGTGCTCTATGGCATGAACAGGAATGCAAGAATGTATTTTCAAAATTGAGAAGAACATGCCTGCATTCATTTGTTACATTTACCTTTCTAGTCTTTCGTACTGTAGATTCTGTTGATCTCACTCCTGCTTGGGCTTGGGCCTTTTCAGTGTTTCCTCCGGCAGATTCTTTTGATATCACTCCTGCTTGGGCAGCAGATTTGTTTTTGTTCTACAAGGCCAAAAGCTTGATCAATTGAGGTTTATACAGTTACAGTTATTCCCCCCTAGTTTAGTTATATATGCTAGTCCATTTGACCATAAGAAAACTAGAAAGGTTTCAAGTGTCTGGTGCTCGAAAATGCATTAGAAAGTGTGTGTAGCATGTTATCTATTTGATACCTCGAGGGGATGTCAAATAAAGAAAGAACGAAAGAAGTGTCAAATAATCCTAACCTGGAACCATCGGATTCGCAGTGCAACATCCATTGCAGTCTTCTTGGGAAGACCATATGCAATTTCCATGCACATGCTGACACTGTCTTGGTTGGCCAACCTGCAAAATCAGAGAAGCAATGGAAAGATTCAACCAGACAGATATATACTCTAGGAGTTGTATCAATTGGCTGCAGAAAAAGATTGATCGATCGATCCATCATCCATCGCGCATGCATACCGAGAAAAGCCGTCGAGCAGCAGTTTGTCCTCGTCCGATGACCACACCATGGACGCCTCGCCGCCGCACTCGTCCGCGACGCGGGAAAGCTCGGCCATCTCCATCGCGTCCGCTGCTGCTCTGGCCGGCGGCGTGTCAGAGCTAGGGATCTCTTGGACTAGTTGGTGGGTGGCCACCGCCGAGTTGTGGATGGCGGTTTGATGATTCGTCCCCAGCAGCGAGTCTGCATCGAATTGGCTCAGCAGGCTGCAGGGTGTTTGATTCGGATTCGCGTCGAGGTGGGCGGCGCCCAGTATCCATTGATCATCGTTACCCTTGTCTAGCTCAAGGGCATACGCAAACAACTCCTCCGTCTCCTCCGGCCTGGGCACCTCGTCGAACGGCTCGAGGAGATCGAACACATCGTCGAACGGGTGCAAGGGAGCATTGGACGGCGCCAAGTGAGCGGCCTCCTCCATGCCGCTGCTCATCGCCGGTGGAAGGCCCGATCCCTCGCCGGCGCCGTTGTGGTACGGTGGCTGGGCCGAGACGTCGTCGCCGATGAACTGCGGCGCCGCCTTTACGCTTCCTCCCGGGGTTGGTGGTGGTGGCTGAGCCGACAAGTCGCCGATGAACTGCGGGAATGATGGCGCGGCCGCCTCCTCCGGCTCCGCGTCGTCGCCGCCCAGCGTGGTTGGGTGAAGCAAGCCGAGCTCCCCAATGTACGGCGCCGGGAATGCCGTCCCCTCCGGGTCGCAAAGGTTTAGATCATCTTGGTAAAAGAACGGCTCATCTTTGGGAAGAATTAGATAATCTTCGTCCATGGCGGAGGGCGGAGGCTGCAGGGAAGAAGAAGAGAAGAGAAAACAAAAATCAAGGAAGGGATCGAGTTTGAGTTTTGCACGTACGGCGGCAACCAACAAACCGAGGCAATTACGAGAGAGAAATCCTACTACTTATTAGCTAAGTAGGGTTTAAGCTTCTTCGGATGCGCAGTTTGCGGGGTTAACGGAACCCAACCGCGCCACCATGAGCGTCGCGCGTTTCCTGACAGGTGCGGTATCTCCGCCGCCTTGTTCCCCTTCTTGCTGGCTTGGCTTCTTCCATGGCTGACAGGTGGGGCCAACGTTTGGAAGCAAAACGAACCCAGATGCTGCGTTGGCGTGCCAAGTCACCACTCAAGCTGACTTCCTGACCAACTCAACGTATTAAGGCTTGTTTAGTCCGCGAAAAGAAAATTTTTGGATGTTACATCGGATGTTTGACTGGATGTCGGAAGGAGTTTTTAGACACGAATGAAAAAACTAATTTCATAACTCATCTGGAAATTGCGAAACGAATTTATTAAGCCTAATTAATCCATCATTAGTACATGTGAGTTACTGTAGCACTTATGGCTAATCATGGACTAAATATACTCAAAAGATTCGTCTCGCGATTTCCATACAAACTGTGCAATTAGTTTTTTTTATTTATCTATATTTAATGCTTTATGTATCCAAAGATTCGATGTGGTGTTTTTGGGAAAAAAATTGGAGAACTAAACAAGGCATAAGGTTGTTGAAGTAGATTTGGCAGGAACCTGTACTCGGCAACAAAACACATATGAGGAGTAACTTCAAACCACAAGTGTGATGTAAAGATATGGTAAGATCAAAATCAAACGGACTCGACTGTTTCCTCTTTTTAGTTAAACAACCAAATTTGTTTGTTTCAGGACCAGTACACGCGAGTCAAACCCTAGTACATGCGAGTCAAAAATGACTATCGATTTCAGTAGGAATACATGCATATAACAACTATTCCCGGTAAGCAATGAACTTCGCAATATCATCAAGTCCAGCTTCTCTGTAACATCCAGCAATTCGATCAACAACATCGTCCCAATTACCATCCACCGATGCCAAATCCATTAGAAATGCTGCCTCGTCAAGAACCACCTGCATATGCATTGACCAGTCAGTTTGTGTAACACAATGTGGCAAAGCATCACAGATGTTGGAGTAAACAGTAAATCAGGACAAGGTAGCCACCTGTTCTGGAGCTTTTCCTTTCTTCAGATCCTCACGCTTGCCCTCCTCACTAACCTTCTCTCGTATAAACTCAATCTGCTCATCCTCCCACCCAGCTAATTCAGCAGCCTCCTGTCATATGAAAACGGTGGTTATATATTGATCTGTTTTTCTGGGAGGATGGGAAAAGAAATGCTGCTTGTCACTTGTTAGTAATGAAAATAGTCTGCAATAGCAGAAATCATACTTCATAACTGCAGCCCAGTGTCCACCATGGTGACTTCAGAGCCACTCGAGCTGAATCTTTGGCTTCGGTTGTACGCCCAACTCTTGAAACAACATTGCAACAAGGAAAATTAACAAGATTGGCTTTTTATGCGCATTACACTACGGAGTATATACTAAATCCAGACCCTTGTTTTCTCAAAAAAAAAAAGACCCTTGTATAAAGTGCTACCCAGTTGATACTGATGGCACCACAATTACCATAAAGTAGCCCTCTTCTGGTTTATAATGTTAGAAAACTTTCCGGACTTCTGAATTTGACGCCATACATAAAGATTGCTCAATAGAGAAATCTCATCAAAATTACATGGTGTGCATCGACATTTTGCGCAAAGACTTGTCAGTCTAAGCAACCATAACTAAAGACATGCAAGACCAGGTTTACAGCAGGTGCTCGCAGTGGAATGGCCAGACAATGTAGAATTGCCTGAGAACAAATTCCTCATATTTTGCAACTGATAAGCAGTATAAAATACATGTTCATATGTAGCATAACTACATAGTGATAGCCTATTGACAGAAAAATACAATCATTCAGCTAAAAGATGCTATTGCTAGATGAGAAAAACACAGAATTATACTGTTCCATGTACACCATTAGTCCGATACCTTTTTAATATCTCTGCGTTGAACACAAAGGGCCTTCCAAATCCAGGAAATTGATCTCTAGTGTAGAATTCTCCAGTAATTAGAGCTGACACCTGATGGGCACGAGCAATTCACATTTATGTTGTGCCATATAGACATGGCAAATGTATCTAAGGAGGAAAAGGAAGAAATTTACATAATCTCCTTTTTCGAAATGGCGTGATGTTTTTCTCTCTATAACATCTGGAAAGAGGCCAACCTACAGTAGCATATCAGTAAAATAGTTGTCTTATATCTTCTTAGCCAGAAATTGACAAATGAGGTGTTATAATTAACCCTCAACCTTCTTCAACAAATAGGCATCAAGATCTGCCATCTGTGACTCTTTGAAATCACCTTTTGTGTAAAGTTTTTTACCAGTGTCCCCCACAGCAGACCATAAATCATCAGCGTAACCATTGATATCAGCCTCAACGAGCACTCTGTGAATATATTGGTTCACCTGATGAATATGAGTAAAATGTAAACAGTGATCTGTTGCAAGTTTACCTACAGTTAAATACTTAAATGAAGCGATATTTTTTTTTTGACTAACTAAATGAAGCGATGTAACTTACATTCTTAGCCAAAAGCCATAGGCCGTGATTACGAACTTCCACCACAGGCATTTCCATCCTAAAGGTATACATACCTAAAATTTAGACACCAGCTCCAGATGTGCAACATATATAACGCATAGCAAATGGAGGGCAACTTACCCGCTAGGAGCAGTTGGCCATCTCAGTAGTGATGTTAAATTACCTACATTTGGACTAATATGTCAGGTAGTATCAGAGGCTTCTCAACTTAAATAATAATAGAAAAAACGCCTGTGATCTTTGATGAAGTGATCATCCAATTTGGAACACATTCAAACCTGCTGGACTTTCTGCTAAGGGAACAACAAGTGGAATCAGGCCTCTTTTCGCCCCTGGAGAAACTAGCTTTTCACCTGGCAAATATAATTTTGACAAAGACACAAAGTAATTAGATACTAATGTGCTCATCTTGTCAATTTGATATAGAAAGAAATGTTAGTTAAGATACGATGGAATCAATCAGATGGAGACTATTGCTGCCCAAACCCAAAGAGCAAGAGGTGCCCAACGATAGATGGCTTCAAATTACTACTCTACATGGCATTTTACCACTCCCACAAAATAGCACAGTAAGTATGCATGAACAGAATCAAATCAGCCGCACCGAAAATGAAGTCGTACCTCGTGCCTGGAGCACATTCAGCAACGAGCTAAGATGCTCCGGTGGATCGGTTGCGGCGACCTCCTTAATAAACGACGCGTGATCTGCATTTCAGCGGGCGAACCTATCAGAACCTCGGCTACTACTACTACCAAGCGGCAAAGCTCACGGTCTCACTCACCGTAAGTGGCGGCGGCGACCGACGGGGAGGCGGCCGAAGAGGAGGAGGAGGCGCAGCGGGCGGCGACCCCGACCGCGCGCGGCGCCAGAAGCACGGACGCGAAGGCGGCCCTGCTCACCGCGGGCCTCATCTCCTACCGCTTGCGGCGCGGCTCGATCCGGCGGCGATGTACGGACGACGACGACGACGCGGCGGCGGCCTCAGCTCAGGTGTTGTGGATGGCGTCGCGGCGATCCGGTGGATGACGGCTTCCGCCTCCTCCTTGGGCTGGGCTGGGCCGGGCCGGGCCGCCACGTGAGGCCCATATCCGGACAGAGACACGAGCAAACTAGTACCAAATCGGCTGGGATTTTCCATCGAATCAACCACGGCCTCAAAAATAAACAATTAAATTAGGAAAAAATAAAAAAGAAAGAAAGAAAGGAGAAGAGAGAGAGTCCGCGGCTCGCGCGCGACATTCTCTCCCAACCACACTCTCCCGCAACGGCCAAATCGACGCTAGCTATGCTAACCAGCTCCTCCTCCAACTCCAATTCGCTCACCCTCTCCTATTCTCTCTCTTCGCCACGCTCTCATCCCAGGAAGGAACTCGACGGGGAGGATTCAGGCCAGGTACCTTTGCTGCTTCTTTCTCAATTATTTCTCCTGTTCCTCTTCTGCATTCGTCTCTTGAGAGTTCACAACTGCACCGAATTTCCCCCCTCCTTTGTTTTTTTTCTAATCATGCGGTTTTGCGGTCATAAGCATGACGAAATCTTGAACAATAGGATCGGTTCTTGCGCTCTTTGTCACTACAACTGCAAGCCATGAGGTTTGTGCAGGTTCCAATTAATCGTGCTACTGCAACATTGCAACCTGTTCCATCTTTTGGTTTATTATTATATATGTTCCGTAATTAGAGCATGGATTTACAAGTTTCAATATGTATGTCCATCTGTCCATTCAGCTTTGGTGCAGCTAAGCTAGCAATTAACAAACAGTTGGACCATATCTGCAAGCACGAACAACTTAATTTGCTTAATAATTTGTGTGTAACAATATGTTGCCGTCAGATATATCTTCAGTTTTGTGTTACACCTATGCTGTGGGATGGACGAAGCTCCGGCACCTCTCGGTTCATCCGCCTCTCACCAAGAATCAGAGGGAGATCAATGCCAACTGCAAGCTGATCGGAGCCATGCATCAGCCTCCAATGACAGCAGCAGCAAAGCGTCGGATCAGATGGCCAACCGCTCCGTTCAGACGCGCATCGACACCACGGCGCCCATCGATTCCGTCAAGGGCGCCGCCAACAAGTTTGGAGGAAGTCTTGATTTGAGAGAAGTAACTTAATTACATCGATCTCCATTGCTATTGATCTTGTGGTTAAGCTTAAGCCAGTGATTAGCATTTTGATTTTTTTTGTGTGATTTGTTGTGTCTCAGAGGCGCAAGCAAGCGCAGGATGAGCTTGACAAGGTGCAGGAAAAGGTGAGCGAGTGCCTGAAGAGATCACAAGAAGCGGAAGCCGGGAGGGCACAGGCGGTGAAGGAGCTAGGCGGCGCCAATGGCGTGATCGATGAGCTGACGCTAGGCTTGGAGAAGGCGCAGGCCGAGGAGGCGCGAGCGCGCCAGGACGCGGAGATCGCCGAGCTGCGCCTCCGGGAGACGCAGCAGGGCGTCAGCGAGAGCACCGCGGCGAAGGCGGAGCTCGCCGTCGCCAGGGACCGCCACGCCAACGCGGTCGCCGACTTGCAGTCGGTGACGGCGGAGCTGGAGATCCTGCGGATGGAGCAGCCGGTCGCTGCCGCCAAGGCGGACGCCGCTGCGGCGAGAGCGCGGAGGATGGTCTCCTCGTCGCAGGAGGCCGTCAAGGTCGTCGAGGAGCTCACCGCCGAGCTCGTCGCGCTGAAGAAGGAGCTGGACGCTTCGCACCACGCGCATGACGAAGCGGAGGAGAAGAGGATGAGATTGGCTCAGGTGTTGGAGCAGGACAAGGATCAATGGCAGCTGGTGCTGGAGGTATCCGAGCAGGAGGTGAAGAAGCTGAGGAACTCGCTAATCGCGGCGGCTGATCTCGAGTACAAGGTGGAGGCGGCTTCCGAACAGCTGGCGGCCCTAAGAGCCGAGCTGTTCGCCCACGCCGTCGAAGGAACAATCGGCGAAGAGGCAGCGGCGGCGACGGCGAGCTTCTGGGCGAAGCTGGACAAGACCAAGAAGGAGCTCGAGGACGTGAAGGCGACCGTGGATAAGGCCAAGGACGAGGCCAAGTGCCTGCGCGTCGCCGCCGCGTCGCTGAGCGCTGACCTGGAGAAGCAGAAGGCGGAGCTCGCCGCTCTGCGGCGGAGAGATGGAGTCTCGGCGACGTCCATCCCGTCCCTCGAGGAGGAGCTGAGCCGGTTAACCGCGGCGCTCACGGCGGCGCAGGAGGCGAGAGCAAAGGAGCGCAGCGTGGAGACCAAGTTGGGTGCACTGCTCGAGGAGGCGCGGCGAGAGGCGGCGCAGGCCAAGGCGAATGCCCAGTCGGCGCAGGAGGAGGTCAGCAAGGCCAGGCAGGAGGCCATCCTTGCCAAGGCCGCCGTCGACGCCATGGAGGCGCGCCTGGAAGCGGCGAAGCGGGAGACACTCGCCGCAACGACGTCGGCGGAGATGGCCGCTGCCTCGGCGGCCGCGCTGCAGCAGGAAGATGAAAACGCAAGGAGGCGGCGGGAAACGGGCGTGGGAGAAGGCAGCGTGACATTGACGATGGAAGAGTACGACGAGCTGAGCCGGCGAGCACGGGAGACGGAGGAGATCGCCGGGAAGCGGGTGACGGAGGCGGTGAAGCTGATCAAGGAAGCCAAGGACGCGGAGGTGCGGAGCCTGGAGAAGATGGCGCAGCTGGCGAAGCAGGTCGAGCAGAGGAGGCAGGCGCTCGAGGCGGCGACCATGGAGGTCGAGGAAGCGGAGTTCAGTAAGCTGGCGGCGGAGCGGGAGCTCAGGCAATGGCGCGCCGAGCACGAGCACCAGCGGCGGTTGACCGGCGAGGGCATGGCGTCGCCGCGCACGGGGCTCGCGGAGATCTCCGTGTTCGACGGCGGCGAGGGGCGCGGGAACCCGCACATACTGAGCCCGAGAGGAGGGTATATGCCGAGGACTGAGATGGCGGCGGCGGAGGTGGAGGCGGGCGCGAAGCAGAGGCCTACCTTCTTCCCGCGCATGGTGATGTTTCTGGCGCGCAAGAGAGCTCAGAACTGGAAGTGAGATCTTCCTCTCTTCCGCATTTTGAATTTGTGTTTGTACAACTACATGGTATATACGTGCCCAGATCAGATGATGAAACTTAACTTGTGTAACATCTATCGATCAAAGAGATATAGCTCATGAAATTTTTTGCTCGGAATTTTTCTGGTTGTTGCCTACAAACAAATGATATTCAGGTAAAATAGTGAGATTGACAACAAGTTCTGGTTTAGGCATTATTCACTTTGCTACCATTTTCAACCTCATCTTTTTTTAGCACAGTTACAAAAAAAAGTGGCTACATTTAGTTTGTTGCCAAATTTTAGTAAGTATATATGAAATCTTGCCAAAATTTGGTAACCTTGTCAAAGAGATACTTTTTGCTTGGAATTTTTCTGATTGTTGCCTACAAACAAAGGTTGTTCAGGTAAATAGTGAGATTGACAACAAGTTCTGGCTTAACTTTTTTTTTTCCTACATAAAAGTTCAGGCTTTAGGATATAGTGAGATTGACAACAAGTTCTGGCTTCACTTGTTTTTCCTATATAAAAGTTCAGGCTTTAGGATATAGTGAGATTGACAACAAGTTCAGGTTAGGTTTCTTCTACATCTAACAGCAACTAAAAGAACACGCTTTTCTCTCCATTTATGTAATTGTACTTCAGCTTGCAGCCAAATGTGGATGAAAACCCCAACTCTTCATCATCTTCAGACTCATCCTACACACAGTCCGGGTGGCATCAATATGGCATAGGCACTGGCCACCTACAGGTTCAGTTCAAGAAAAATAATTTATGTGTCCAAAACATGCCCACTAGTTTAATATATAAAAATCATTAAATAACTACTTGTTTAATCCGACATTATCATCTTTAGACATTTTCCAAAAAAGCACATTAGAGGGATTACAAACCCTATTGTCATACATACATGTACTCTATCACAGCATGCCTTTTAGAATATTCTAAAAAAGAACAGACATAATAAACACTTACCTTTTTTCCTCAAAGGATGCTACAATATCAACAATCACCTCCCACGACAGGAAAGGGGTTCCTATTCTCGTATCATAGAAGTTCATACCAATACAATCCCCATCAAGAGTAACAACAGGGCCTCCAATCCCAGCCTAACAAGATGACATAGTTATCATTTCTATTCCAAATAGGTATATTTAGCAAACTTATTCTAACGCAGCTATGCACCACAACCGTGAGAAAAATAGACAGAAGAAAAAAAAATTACCTTTGTGATTTTACATGACGAACGTTCGAGGAAGTCGCAATCGAGTGTGCCTGTCCAGGGGGTTACCGTTCCACTTGCAGCCATCAATGCACCTGACTTGAAGCAACGCCCTACAGCCACTACCTTACTACTCTTGCCCCACCAATCAAGCTGACCATGTGCTGGGCGAAGAGCACGGTAACCCACACTGACTAGAGCAACATTGTAATGAAGATTACAATGCTGTAACATCCCTTCTACGCGTTGTTTGTTTGGAAGCAACACTTCAATCTGCAAATGATACAATGATGACTAACAGCATCACCTTAAAAGAACAACAATCACAGAACAATCAGGAGCATCAAACAATCACAGAACAATCAGAAGCACCGAACAATCACAGAACAATCAGGAGCACCAACCCTCAAGTTGTCAACAATCTTGTTCTCATCGCCAGAACTTCTAACCAAGCTTGCTGATGTCAAAATAACTGTAGAACCATTCCATTCAACAAAAAAGCCTGTGCATGCAAAAAACCTTCTCTCTCCTGCATACCAAATCTTGGTAATCAGCTAGCTGTGGTCAAAACAGAGATAAAGTAACTAGCACAATATTAGCAAACTCACCACTGAATGAAGCTAGTGCGACAACACTGCGGTCTATGTTAGAACAAGATTTTTTACTGAGTTTACTCCATACACCTTCACCACGTAGATCGCCGAAAGTCTCTTCGAAAGTATTAACCAAAATCATCCCATCTGGTGATAGATACATTATAGCGTAGTTGTTAGTGGTGCAGAAAGCTGTAAAAGATTAGCAAATTTAAAAGCCAATGACTCACCAGCAAACATGTGTGTTGGAAACTTTGGATAGCCCATAGAGTCTATATGAATCTGCTCCGGGTCGAGAATATCGTTGTTTACTGTTGCAATATGGTTAAGTGATAAGTACTCACATAAATATGTTACTCCCTCCGTCCCAAAATATAGCAACATGGGACCGCATGGGACACATCCTAGTATTAAGAATCTGGACAAAGCTGGGATGCGTCCCATCTAGTCCTAAGTTGCTATATTTTAGGACGGAGGTAGTAATTAATAAGCACTAATAATATAAGTGAAAGGGCCAAACTAGTTGATAGTTATTAAGTACAGATATAAAAGCTAAACTTGCACAGCTTGTGAAGACTAAATAGATATCATTACAATCTGCAACAATTTGTATGTTACCACAATCTTAAGCAGTCTCAAGGCCACATGGCTGTGTGCTCACCTTCTGGATGGCTGTTAGATTTCTCAGCTGTGGAACTTGTTCCAAACCTGCAGAAGAACATTGGAATGACTACTAACCCAAAAGTAAAATGGATCAAACCAGTGCATTAATATGCAAAATGGTGCCAAAACCTACATGGGTAGAATCGTAGGCAAGGAACGAGATAGATAGAAATGAAGGCCTGAAGTTGTATGATCCTTCTAGTGTGCACATTGAAGACAAAACAGTTTTAAACATTGGCATAAGAAACATGACTAATCAACACGTCAACTGTGGTACATGCCCATGGATGGTAAATATTTTGGTAGAGGTGGCAAAGAAACAAGTTAATATTGAAAGTAGGAATTGAAAATTTGCCAAGCACAGATGCCAAAAAAGCTAAGAAACATCAGCTAAAAATCCACATTATTTCATACATATGTTGTCTGGCATACAAAAAGGCTTGCTTTATATGCTCATGTAGGGGAAGGGGAGGTGAGATAGAATAGAGTAGGTGAACTAATGATGAGCATATATCAATAAGACACACCTATAAACCTTCAAACTGTTTGACTCTGGAAGTCCCGTCTTGTTTTGCAGGGATGCCCAATGCTTCTGAATAGTGCCCCATGGCAGGAAAAAGGCTCTTCCCATAGCCAAAAAAAGGTTCATGCCAACAAAGTTCCCATCAAAAGAAAAAAGTGGTGCACCTTCCCAAGCCTAACACAATAAAGGTGCTATAAATCAGAGAGTTACATTTTATCAAAACAAACGGATATAAATCAAGAGTTACATAAAAAAGAATCATTTTCGGTGCCTCTGTGCATATAATAACAGAAACAGAATAAAATGCATGAATCATCATGAGGGTGTACCTCTTTGATTTTACAGTCAAGATCTTCACTATCTTCAGATACACTTAAATCATCCATTAACTGCACCCTCCTGGCCATCAGTTTGCCAGTGATTTCACGCCCTATAGCTATTACCTTACAATGGGGCAGAAATTCCACCGCATGTTGGAGAAGTCCAACATGAACATCAAAGTCAGTCCAGATTTCGACGATGGCCAGATTGTGATCCAAATCAAAATCAGTCAAATAACCCTGGCATACTTCATTGCCTTCATGGTACACTTCGAGCTACAAAATGTTAAATGATAAGGCAGGAAATGAGCTCTTAAGTCACAATTATCTTAAGTAAACAAATTAGTGAAGAATGATTGTCAGTGCCAACCTCTAAGTCACCATGGTTTTTGTTTGTATCATTGAGAGCTCTAACCAAAAGCTCTACCAAACTTGCAGAAGTGAGGAACTTTGTAAGACGCCCCTGGCGGTCTACAGCTACACCTGTGCATGCAAATAAGACCGTGTCTCCTACAGAAGATCACAATTGTACTCATTTATAGCCGGTGATGTTTCAATATATATTTGTTCTGAAATTGAGAAGAGTACAGCAGCATATATAATCACCATTGCGCAAACTAAGCGACGCGACACTTTTAGACAAATTAGATTTAACCACATCATTGAGCTCAGTCCAGACATCCTCATTAGGGTCCCCATGCAAGCAACCTAGTTAAAGAAAATTGTTCAAGGCAACTGTGAATGCACAACTAAAGCTGTGAAAATGTGAAAAGAAATGAGGAATAGAGTACGAACTAGCAGACCTGAGGCCAATGAGTCAGTTCTTCCACCATTGCAAGTTTTTCTGTTCTTATGCAAGCTTCTAGCGAGATCATCACCACCCCTCTTAGTTTTCGGCATATTTTCCAAGACTGAAGCAGATTTTCAAGGTGAAAAACAAAAAAGCTTGTGGGATCATAATAAGCAGTAAAGCGATAATATTTGCTTAACTAAAATGAAAAGGCAGTACATATGTTAATGGATTTCTAGATTCATTAACATCTATATGAATGTAGGCAATGCTAGAACGTCTTATAATATGAAACGGATGGAGTACTTTTTTTCTTTCAAGAGCAATATTTTTTCCTAATAAAAAGTTGCAAAAAAAACTATCATAAGTTTAAGATTCTCTATGTTCGGGTTCGGTGGGAACCTATCCTATCCAGGGAATGATTGGGTGTATCCTTCCATATCACTTAATCGAGGGTTAATTGGATTCGTGCCATTTTAGAAAAAAGTTATTACTACTTGTATTCATATCCATGTCATCCGAATACGCATAAAATTAAAACCAAAATACCTTTAGATGTAAGACCCACATGCAAGTTCTATCTTCCTCCTCCATCCTCCACTCTTCTTTATTTTCCATCTCTATCCACCTTGTTGAGCCAAAAGCGTTGGGTATACATTTAAACTAGAGTCTAGGGCGCGCGCCGCCTGGGGACAGTAAACCTGGCTATTGATTATATGGTGAGTACATTTACCATGAAGGAAAATAACAGTTTTCTTTTTTGATAAATGGACAGAACAATGAAAGCATTGAAATTTTGTTGTGGAAAGGTTAACAGATAGATGACATTGCTAACCAGGCACAGAAACATGTCTGTTTAGTTTTTTTTAGCAGCAGACATACATATAGACGCTAGCTTAAATTTACATGAAACATACGAGCCACATTAAGTGTCAATGATAGAGTGGCTATCAGTATAGATATAGTGGCAGGTTAGGCAAGAGTTTCACATGGATAATATCGCAAGCCTATAGTGCAGCGATAGCAAAATGATATCTGTGGGACAAGGTGAACAGTTGTTTTTCACCGAACATCAACTGTCAGTGCAACGTGGGTTGCTTTGTAGAAAAGAAACATGCAAATTGCGTGTAGGTGTATGCCAATGTTTTTTGCTGCAAAGTCCTTCCATCCTTTCTTTAGGTTGCAACGACCATCTGTTGATGCGTTTCATGTGAGATGATAGCTGAACATTCTGTGCCAAGAAGCACACATGATCAAATGTATGCCTGGTGTTGCCTGCATTGTATATTTTTAGTAAGTTTCTTTTGTGGTTATTGAGAAAGGAGTTGATACTGTAGATAAATTATTATTTACAGTTATAGCTAGGTGATAAGATTTAAATACTTGTAAAAATGCATGTGAATAAAATGTAGATGTACGTTGTATTGCATGTCAGTAAAGTAAAGGGGATTTCTGTATCTTGTTTTGCAAGAAGATTCATAAATAGGGTTGCTAACTTACTTGGCAAATCGATATCAGCAGGGATAGGCATCAATGGATCTGTTTCAGTATCGCCTGAAATATGAGCATTGAATGGATTAATATTGGAATTAGATGTGCATGGGCAAGTGTATGTAGATACATATATGAAGACAAAAGTGTATATACAGAAAATAAGTAACCACAAACGCGTAACACTTAATAGAGAAGTTGTTGAAAATATTAAGTTGTACCAAGTTATTAAGTAACAATAAATAAAGAACATAATTTCCAGAAACTAAAATATCAAATTGCAACTGCCAAAACATTTAATGGACATGTCTCTTTCAATGTATCTAGCTCCCATTAAATCTCGTGAACAAATCATAAGCAAGCACTAAAGGTCAAATAAAATGTTCATTCGCATAGTTTTGCAATTCAGGCACTTAAAAGTGAAGGATTATGCATATTTCTTAAACAACCATAATAAACAGGAAAAAAAAGTTTCAATCTAGTTTCTATCCTGCTCGTTTTCCAATTAAAATTATACTTCATTAGAACTGTTCAAACAAAAGCCTTGCTAATTCGAGCCTAAATGCAAATTAGTTTTTTTTTTAAAAAAAATCGACCACAGCAACTCCTTAAAGAATAATACATGAATGGATTACAACAGTTAGGGAAGTTTGAGTTATCATCCATACACAAAACCTAGGTGAAATTTCTAGTACCATTGAAACTAACCGCCCATTATAATTTGTTCTCAAAATCTTCAGCCTAACAAATGAAACCTAGGGTTGATAAAAAAAAAAGCCAAATTGAATCTAATCAGGTCAAACGACACTAATATCATATAAATCCTTCACACGGTACTTTCCTAGTCGAATCCCCTCATTCAAATCATCACATACATAGAGCATCAAATCCCAAGCCCAAAAGAGTGTGGACAGGGATCAATGATCGAAAGAAAAAGATATGGTGAGGGATTAGGGCAAGCAGTAGGAACTTACCTGGGGTTTTACGGCAACGTTATTGGGCGAAGACGGCGAAGATCGGCTTATGGCGATCTTGGTGGAAATCGCATGATGGTGACTTCGGTGGTCAACGCGTTCGCCCGTTGGTTTCACTGCAGTGGCTGGTTCATGTGTGGAGGAGAGGAGGAGAAGAGATAAGGTTAGCGAGAAAGAAGGAAAAGATACATGATAATTTCAAGCAGCCACAAAGATGTTCGCAACAATAACCCATTCTCCTCCATTGTCTATGACAACAGCTCCAGGTTACTAATTAATAATATAGGAAATATTATGGATCAGCCTAGTCTTTCAAGTTGACAATAGATAGAAAAGTATGTGTTTATGTGACATCAAAATTGTCAGCGGTGAAAAGTAAAGAGTTACAGGATAAGGTAAAGATAATTGCCTCTCTTAGAACTGGGAATTGGAAGTTCCTACTGAGTTTAAAACCGACAAAGATTATAGAAATCAGATAGGCTTTTTGTCTTATGTTCTAGAGATCATTTAGTTCTCCAGTTCTCCCAATGCCTTCGTGCAGAAGGAAAAAAACAAAATGCATGTAACTCTAGGTAATAATAAAAACAAAATAAAGGCACATGATGATTATACATACCAGATTCCTTGTTCTTCTGTAGATGTCCAGAGCTTTGATAACCACAAGTTTTGTCATGTGAAAGAACTACAACAGTTCAAAAATAGAACTTGATCAGGATCAAATCCAATGGATCTATCTACAATTCAACAGAAGAAGAAACCGGTATATGATAGAATTACCTGTTGAGATTATGGGCATATAATGATTTAATTTATTCCATAAATAAGTCATGACATTACAGATGAAAACTAGCATGAACGCATCATTAGATCTACACATGTAAACTACGCAGAATAACATGAACAGATCAAATATGCGCAACATATTGAACACGTACCGAGGTGACGAAAAGACCGGCTGCTTGGTCGAAACTTTTCGCAGGTGTCTACGAAGGCACGAAACACGCGAGCGAAGAGGAAGGCGAGCCGTCGCGAACGAACAGGGAGCAGTCGCGCGAAGCGCTTCCCAAAAACCTTATTGCCGCCTTCTCCCGGTGCAGGACGTCAAAGGCAGAGGTTCCGGAGACCTGCTCTCCCGATCGCTGGTGCACGCCGGCGAGCGGGATGGAGTAGTCTACGAGCGACGGCGCAGTACAGAGTAGGAGGCAAACCCTAGATTGATTTTCGCATATATTGCGTGAAGACGGCGGGTCGGTTTATATAGAGAAAGGTCGCTTGATCAGGGCGCCCGCACGATCTCTACTGCGCGTAACCGAACCGGATAAGTCGCGCGTAACTTATCCGGACTCCACGCCGTTTGCACGCATCGGATTTTTCGGAACGTTTCCAAAACAAAAACGAATCCGAATTTGCAGCAAAACAAAACTGCAAAAAGAGGCTGTTGCATCTGCGCAAGGGTGAGGAGCCAATTTTTCGGACCATTCGACGCGTACGTCGTGCACGCGCGCCGCCTGCCCTGCCCTGCCCAGGCCAGGCCAGGCCAGGCCAGGCGAGCGAGCGCGCGCGTGTGTTTCCCCTCTTCTCTCCACCACACATGCTTCAAGTGGCTAGGAGGGCATCCTCCCTTTTAAGGAGGTCCCCCTCTCCTAGAATAAGCAAGGTGGTACTAAACTCCACATGCATGCCATCCCATGAGGTGGGCTTTTGTGATTTTCCAAAGAATTAATCTTCGAGTGGGCTAAGACCCATTCATTAATTCCAACAATCCCCCACCAAATCTCAAAATCCCACTGAGATTTGCCTTTTCCAATGTACTGTTTATATACCAGCGGTTCGATGGAGACCAATTAAGGTTGAACATCCACCTAGAACTCCAAGCTACACTTACTCACAACTTGAACAATGGACTACGCCTTGAATTGCAAGTCTTGTGCAAGCAAGTTTCACTCAAAGTCTTATCTGGTACTAGACCGTCTGTAGACTACCCCTCGGGTGGAGCGTATAAGTCATACTCCTAGGTCTTTAGTAAGCTTCCTAGAAGATTCACCCAAAATCTTCATGGACTGCGACCAACAGTCAAGCTCACAAAGGTGAGTTCCTTCAAGAATGCTCTGCAGGACAACATCTTTGCTAATTAAAGCCAACAGAACTCATTAAGGCATAGCCAACCTGCCTTGCAGCTCACGAGAGTATATGCATCTTCACTTAGAGAGGGTATATATATTGGTACTCTCCTCTAGTTTATTAATGGTTTGTTCTTCCCAGGATCTAATTCACGGGATCTCCGATCACATAGACTGGGTTACCACCATAGTATAACTCACATGGGTCTCAAACCCATCTCCTTCGATGCATTGTCTATCACATTTCGTGATAGTCCCTTCGTGAAGGGATCTGCCAGGTTTCTCGCTGTTTGGATGTAATCCAACGTTATAACTCCGGAGTTTCTTAATTTCCTGACAGACTTCAATCGTCTTTTCACATGTCTAGACGATTTCATATTATCCTTAGAATTATTCACTTTGACAATTACCGTTTGATTGTCACAGTTCATAAGGATAGCCGGCACCGGTTTTTCAACAACAGGCAGATCCATTAATAGATCACGCAACCATTCTGCCTCAACAGTAGCAGTATCCAGTGCCGTTAGCTCTGCTTCCATGGTTGACCTCGTCAAAATTGTCTGTTTGCAAGACCTCCATGAAACAGCACCACCACCCAGTGTGAAAACATATCCACTAGTGGCTTTGATCTCATCCACATCAGAGATCCAGTTAGAATCACTATAACCCTCCAGTACCGCAGGATACCCAGTATAGTGAAGCCCCAATTCCACAGTACCTTTCAGATAGCGCATTACTCGCTCAAGCGCACGCCAGTGATCATCTCCCGGATTAGAGGTAAATCGGCTCAACTTGCTCACAGCAAAGGAGATATCAGGCCTAGTTGCACTAGCCAGGTACATCAACGAGCCAATGATTTGGGAGTATTCCAGTTGATTCCTAGCAATTCTCTTGTTCTTGCGAAGCGACAAGCTAGGATCATAAGGTGTTGGAGAAGGCTTACTATCAATGTAGCCAAAGCGATTCAAGATCTTCTCCACATAATGAGACTGCAAGAGTGTAATCCCATTCTCACCTCTAATTAGCTTAATGTTTAAAATAACATCAGCTACTCCCAAATCTTTCATATCAAAATTTTGAGACAAGAATGATTTAACCTCATTTATCACCTCAATGTTTGTCCCAAATATCAGTATGTCGTCAACATACAAGCACAAAATAACTCCCTCACCCCCACCATGGCGATAGTACACACATTTATCTGCCTCATTGACTGCAAAGCCTGCAAACGTCAATGTTTTGTCAAATTTCTCATGCCATTGCTTAGGAGCTTGTTTCAGACCATACAAAGACTTCAACAATTTGCACACTTTGCCTTCTTGACCTTCAAGTACAAACCCATCAGGTTGATCCATATAGATCTCCTCATCCAGCTCTCCATTAAGAAAAGCTGTCTTAACGTCCATTTGATGAACGAGAAGACCATGTGAGGCTGCTAGGGAAAGTAGCACACGAATTGTGGTCAATCTAGCAACAGGTGAGTAAGTGTCAAAGAAATCTTCGCCTTCTTTCTGAGTATAGCCCTTAGCAACAAGCCGAGCCTTGTACTTTTCAATAGTACCGTCAGGCCTAAGCTTCTTCTTGAACACCCACTTGCACCCCACAGGTTTACACCCATAGGGTCGCTCTGTCACCTCCCAAGTCCCGTTAGCGATAATGGAATCCATTTCACTACGGACAGCCTCCTTCCAGTAGTCTGCATCAGGAGATGCATATGCTTCTGAAATTGACTTAGGAGTGTCATCCACGAGGTACACAGTGAAATCATCACCAAAAGACTTAGCCGTCCTTTGTCTCTTACTCCTTCGAGGAGCTTCACTGACATCCTCCTCAGAGACAAGTTCATGTGTATGTTCAGTTTGTTCTGGTGGTGTGATTGAACTGGGAATTATTTCAGAGGGTTGGTTCGAACCACTATGTGTATCCTTCATTGGGAAAAAGCTCTCAAAGAAGGTAGCATCACGAGACTCCATAATTGTACCAACATGCATGTCCGGTACCTCGGATTTAACTATTAAAAATCTATAGGCAATGCTATGATGAGCATATCCCAGAAAAACACAGTCCACAGTCTTAGGTCCAAGTTTGCGCTTCTTCGTTATTGGTACATTGACTTTCGCCAAGCACCCCCATGTGCGCAAATAAGAAAGTGATGGTTTTCTACCAATCCATATCTCATATGGTGTTTTGTCCTTATTTCTGTTAGGAACTCTGTTTAACACATGATTTGAGGTCAACAATGCCTCCCCCCACCATGCCTTAGGCAGTCCCGCGGTGTCCAACATGGCATTCACCAAGTCAGTCAGTGTGCGGTTCTTCCTTTCAGCAATCCCATTAGACTCGGGAGAATAGGGAGGCGTCCTCTCATGTATGATGCCATGTTCCTCACAGAATAAGTCAAACTCGTTCGAGAAAAACTCTCCACCACGATCAGACCTAAGCCTTTTTATCTTTCTGTCAAGTTGATTTTCAACCTCTGCCTTATAAATTTTAAAATAGTCTAGAGCCTCGTCTTTCGTTTTCAACAAGTACACATAGCAAAATCTAGTAGCATCATCAATCAATGTCATGAAATATCGTTTTCCACCCTTCGTCAACACCCCATTCATTTCACAAAGATCTGAATGTAGGAGTTCTAGTGGTGCCAAGTTTCTCTCCTCGGCAGCCTTGTGAGGCTTGCGAGGTTGCTTCGATTGCACACAACTATGGCACTTAGAACCTTTGACAATGGAAAACTTAGGAATTAAACACATGCTGGAAAGCCGAGACATCAAGCCAAAATTAATATGACATAAACGTGAATGCCAAACATTAGCCTCATCATCCACACTGCCACAAATATGGTTCACAGACTTATTGCAGAAATCAGAAAGGGAAAAGCGGAACAGGCCTCCGCACTCATAACCTTTACCAATAAAATATCCATGTTTAGACACGACTACTTTATTAGACTCAAAAACCAACTTAAATCCGTCTCTAGTCAGACGGGAGCCACTAACAAGATTCCTGTCGATAGAAGGGACATGCTGCACGTTCTTCAGCTGCACGATCTTTCCCGAAGTAAACTTCAGATCTACCGTGCCAACACCATGAACAGAAGCATGTGACCCATTCCCCATTAGGACGGTGGAACCCCGTGCGACCTGAT